GTCTGTAATTGCGCTGGCTACCTTATCCTTCAAACCGGAACACAACAATGTAAACATTGTTGCTTGGCGGAAGAAATAGATAAGGGGGTGTTACCCATCCAGTCGGACTCCTCAGGCTTGACAGAGTCCTACCACCAGATTGCCGGACGCTAAAGAGCACCCCACCACGACATGGTGAAGATATTTAAAATGTAGATTTTATCAGATAAGCTAATACCGACTAGGCTTTAGAAAGATCTCAATTCTCCTACATCTTGCTCTCATACTTGAAGTTATTTTAAAGACTATAATATAAAGGCATAATAAGTATAGCCTCACATCTAGGTAAGCTAGATAGTAGATACTAGATGAAAACCTGAGCCGGTGTGTTGTCACTTTGTGATTTTGACTTTCGCCAATACTAATCAGTGATGTGTCTTTCTGTTTGTCCAGGGTAATCTTTGAAGTAGCTTAACCGATTATAAGGAGATTTTCATATTCAAATCAAACATTCGAGAATCGAATACTAGACCTCTATCGTAGATTATGTCTACCACATCTATTTTACATAACCTGGGATTCAAGTTTTTGACGAAGTAATCAATTAGCATCAATTATCATGTTATATTACATATATTTTCCGCTAGGTGGACACTTACCATAAGATTGAATTAAGTTGCATTAACTGTAGACAAATAAATCGAAAAAATTATAATCGGCCACTGTAGACAAAACTGCAATATTCTTTTAAAAATTAAAAACTATATATTAAGTAGGTAGTGGTAGCCTTGTGGTGACGCGCTCACTTGGGACACTGAGTGAAGCGAGTTCAAATCCCAAGTCTCGCATCACTGATATTTCCATGTGCGAATCATTTCCAATATTTTGTTTGATTACCACGCCACGCAATCACACCTTACGGTGAAGGAAAACGTGATTCGTGAGGAAACCTGCATGTCTGAGAGAACCTAGGAAGTTTCCGAAAGACATGCTCAGTCCGTCCGCACTTGGCCAGCGAGGTGGACTATGGCCTGATCTTCTCACATTGAAGGGAGGCCCGCGCCCAGCAGTGGGACTTTAAAAAGGGCTGTATACATATATACAAATATATAAAATAATACTAAAATATTTTGTTTAGCAATCAAGTGGGTTAATAAGACTATGTGCCAATAAGATTCTCACATAACAAAAACGAGGCTACTAATTTTCACACCGTCAAGATATAAAATCACGAAAGGCGAACATATTACTAAATATTGTGCAATCCAGACATATCATACTGTAGCACTGAATGAAAGTAATAAGAATTGAGAAACCTCATATTAGTGCCATTCAAAATGACAAAGTCTAAAACCTTTCCCAGTTAATTTACTGTATATATATAGATTAGGGTGTCACAAAAAAAAAATTCGAGTCCCTTACGAAAATATGTTTTAAAATGCCAAAAAAAGTCCAAAGCGCAGTTCAAAATTTTTTTTTATGAGGTTTAAGTAAAGTATACTTGGAAACTAACAAAAATCTTGAGCGATCTTTAATTTATATTAAAATATCGACTTGAAAATTTCTAAATCCTAATCATTTTTATAGTAGAAAATAGAGAAATGACGAGAAAAAAAAATAATAGAAAAAATCGATATTAAACGATTTTAGATTTTTTTTTAATATTGAGCGACCTCTTAATTTTTTTTTAACTACGCTTTGGGGCTCTTAAAACTTAATAAACTAACACATTTTCTTAAGAGACTCGAAAATAAAAAAAATATTTGTTTTTTTTGGACTCTATATAAAAAAAAAGTTGAAATATTCATTTTAAACGAAAATTCCAGTTAGACCAACATTTGGCGTCTCAGAAGTAGTATTGATTGTAGTTTAATTTCTCTCATTTATTATGTTATCTTATCAGGCAGTCTACTTTCATAATCTATAAAAGACCAAATCATATGACATAATATTTTTTTTTGTTATTTTGAGGCAGAAATGAGGCCTTATCCCTTCTTTTCTAGCATTTACATCCAATTAAGTGTTAAGAGAAAGGTATTAATCATTCAGTCAGAGACCTATACATATTGTAGATTTTCTAGCGTTTTCGAAAGAAATACACCATCATATTATACTATGATGATACAAATGCAAAATTTTAGCTGTAGGTCTGTTTGTTTGTATATAATAAATTTGGTAGTGCCCTTAGTCCTTACTTATTGGTACCTTTGAATTATATTTTGTACTATCAGCTCACCACTTTATGTTAGTTAGTTATATATATATATATATATATATATATATATATATGATTATAACGTATTTATCCATTGGAATGAGATAATCTACCGCAGTAAACAGTATAGTAAGCCAGTAAAAAGTAAAGTAAGCCTATATCATTCTCCCGCCCTCCAATTGTCTCCACACAAAAAATCACGTCAATCCGTCACTCTGTTTCGACGTTAAAGAAGGACAAACAAACACTTACATTTATAATATTAAGTACTTATAAATTTCTACAAAAAATTTTTTGCTATAAGTTAAAAATAGGTAGTGTATGTATAGTATAATTTACATAATATGATGTCTTTAAAAAACAAGTTTTCGTGATAATTGGTGTTTAATTATTGCACAGTAACAAAAGGTTTTAAATAAAACGCTAAATTGTAAAGTACATATATATTAAAAGACTAAAATTAAAAAAGCAGTGTGTCTCTGTTACACACTGAAATGGGTAGATGGATTTATATGAAACTAGCGACTCAGTTCATCCCTAACTTGCTTCCACTAACTTTCATGTCATGTCATGTATGCCTTTATAAATAAAACCATTACTTACTTATTATTTACACTTCTTTTTATATCAATAAAAAAAAGTTGGTTTGATCTTTTCTTTGTGTATGACCCAATACAAGAGTCAGATATATGCTATATGAATTGTAAACATTGAAACATGCTTGATACAAACATACATAATTAAAAAAATAATAATTTGGAAGATAATGATTTTTATAAGCAGCACATAATATTTTTATAATTGAACACCAAATAAATACAATTAAAATTAAGAATTTAAGAGAAAAGCTGTTTTTAATTCAAACTTACAATAGATCATGAAAATCAATGAATTACCATTTAAAAAGACCTATTGTAACCCAAGTAATGCCTTTTTAAGAACTTTGATCCAACATATACTAATGCAGAAATTTAAATTTTATATACAAACTAGAGACTCACCCTCGCTTCGTTCGGGTTCGTCCCTAGGTATGTTTTAACGGTTAGTATGGAATACAAATCTTTGAATTTTTCAGCTTTTCTGTACTATAATATGCACGTATTATACATATAAACCTTTCTCTTGAATCACACTATCTATTACTGAAAACTGCATTAAAATCCGTTAAATAATTAAATAGGTCTAAGGGAACAGACAGCGGAAGGGACTTCATTTTATACTATGTAAAGATGATAGTAATCATTTTGTATATATGTATATTGTATATTATGTTGTCTAGAAAAAAGAAAAATAATTTACTTTAACTTATGGCAGTTACGAAGCAAAAAACTATGTGAATAAAACAGCATGTGTTAAAATATATCACATATCTGTATAAATATTATAAATGTGAAAGTTTGTTAGTATGGATGTCTGTTACTCTTTCACACCAGAATGGCTGAAAAGATCTGGATGAAATTTGGCAAAGAGATAGATTATAGTCTGGAATAGCACATAGGCTACTTTTTATCACATTGTTGTTCCCATGGGATAGGTGTGTTGTTGTTGTCCTAGAGGCGAACCCGAGCAAAGAGAGAGTTAGTAAGAAATAAATTTGTTTGTGTACACAAGATTATACCATAACAAACATAGATTTTATATAGCTATGTTTGTATGCCAATATTCAAAATAATATGGTGTTCAATTAAAATAAATAATTACTCAGATGAAATCACAGACAAAAAAGGTATTGCATGGCTCCCCGCAAATTATTCTTTGATAGCCAACAAACAGACATATCTTACTGTTCTAATAATAATAAAACTTTTAAAATTTATTAACAAAATTAAAGCACTATCCAGTATTGTTTTGTTGACAGGAAGGCTAACGATAAGGCCTTATTTCGCATGTTGCACCAGAATAATAAAAAAAAATTGTCATAATATTTGATTTTTCTTTACATATTCTAAAAGTGGACTGTGTGCTTGATAATAAAATATATTTATTTACTTATAGAAAAAAAATTTCAATGAATGTTACTTGCGAGGCGTCAGACTTTGGTCAGATTTGTGAAATTACTAAATACTGCAGTACTTCACAGAAAGTACTACAGAGTATTTATAGGCATAAAATGATGTAAGAACTTAAGATTGCTCCTATTAAAATTTAGATAAGATATTACTCAATTACTATAACATGTTCTCAGAATTCTAACCTAAAACTATTACAATAGCATTTATGTCACATGGGAAAGGTATACAAGAGGTATTGACTGATATATTTAAAAACTTCATATGAGAATTGCCAAATTGAATTATTCAATTGAAATATACATAAAAACAATAAAGTTTTATCATTTTGTATATCACTGATGACAAAATATCTTAATTCTTTTAAAGTATAATAAAAAAATAATGTCTTAGTGAGTTGTAAAAAAGTTTCCTCTACAAATAAGGTTTTTATATCTATTTTTATCTAAAATATTGTGAAACTAAACCACCATAGTGTACTTTGAACTCGGTAATTTTTATCATATAAGCAAAGTAGGATTACAAATGCTTGTATTGTATTTAAGTGATAGCCTAGCTTATATTGTTTGTTTATCCTACACATTGTGTAAGCTGCAATTCATTTTATTTACTTTTGGTATCTGTATGGCATGTAAGTAAGTTTATAGGTTATATTGTAAGTTAGTAGTGCTTATGCAATGAGTATAATATAAAGTCATAACATGTATTGATTGGACACTATAATGAAAGATTTCATAACATAACTTATATCTGACAAGAAGACATCAATATGAAATTAAAGGTGACTGTTTACATACCTGCCAAGGATTGACCTTTGGGATTGGTGCTTCTACAAACTTCTTCGGTTGCTGGTCTGAAGATTGTTGTTGTGGATCCTGTGATGGTTGTGGATCACTGTGAGGTTGTGGTGCCTTGTGCGGGCGAGGTGGAGCCCTGCGCTCTCGCTCCCTGCGGCTCTTGCCCGGGCGCCTCCCGTGCGAAATCACGGGCACGAAGCCCTCCTCCTCCTCGTCGTCCTGACGAGGAGGAGCGTCCACCACCTCCTCCGTCACCTCTATATTCTCTATGTTCTCTTTATTACTGTCACTGCCCTTGAAGTTCAGCACTGACGCGTACGAGGGTCCTGCGCCCTCGACCGACACACGAGCGGCCATACCGCCACTACCCTCGTTATATAAGACCGGGCGCGCGCTCCGCGCCGACCTAGGATCACGAGCGCGCCGCCATGCCCCTTAGCACGACGGCATGTTGCGGGTCGAACCCACGAAATGCAGAACTTTCCCGATCTTACGAAAGTCAAACACGGTTATGATAACGTATCCAACACGGCTATACAGTATCGGCACAGAATATGCGCACAGTCCGAAATGCACACCAGACTGACCCTGGATCGACCGTATTTACATCGAAAAAATTCACTTCCGTTGACTTGTTCCAACTTTTTAGCGACACTCAACGCTCCGGGCACACTGTATCTGTCGATTACGTATATTACTGACACGAAAAACGGCTTTTTAATCCTGAAAATTGTTAAAGAACCATATTTTGTTCACAATTCACACATGTGGTCGGACGCCCAAAAAGGGTATTTTCCGCAACACACACGGAACTCGCGGAAGGCTGTGACTTCTAATTTTACAGAAAGGACATTTTTACGGCAGATGGCGCTGAAAGACGGTTGACAGTGAATGTGTTCAAGATACGACTACAAATATATTAATTTTCATAAAAATGAAGCTAATTATAAGTGTATTTGATACAAAATCATATATTAAATACAAATTCCTTTGTTTTCGTCTATAATAAACAAATGTTTTTGTAAAATTGATATATACATTCCGAATATTTTATAAAATAATCTTGAATGCTACTATAACTGAAATCACATTTCATTCTTATTTCTTCACGACCTTGCAAATCGTGCTAATGTAACCTATTTCATAATATTTTTTTTCATAAAACACAATGAAATAAAGAAATAATTATTTGTTATGTCATCATTTAATAGGAAAACATTATAAATCTTTATAATTAAAAATAATTAAACATATATTATAAGTCATCCTTTTCCACATTATTAGGACCTAGCAACACTAATTACTAAATATTTGTTCAGAAATTAATAAGTACATAGGTAATAATATTCACTAATAATAATAAAAAGAATACTAAATCAGTAATAATAAGTAAAATTGTAATTAGTTTAAGTCTTAAAAAACTTACAATTTACATGACTTCAAATTATTACATAATGATTATCAAAATAAAAAAATAACCAATAACTTTTCATCTATAAGCAATACCTCGGAAAAGCTGGCATTACGGAAAAACCTATAAATATCCGGGTACAATATTTTATTATTTATTTAAATAACTTCTAATAACAAAAATGAAATAACCGACAAGATTTTATGTGTTATACGTATTTTCGGGGTTAGTAGGACAGTACATCCCCAGGAAACTTCTGCAATTTCTACAATAATGGTATACATCCTTGCATGACCTTAATACATAAGGTAAAGGGGCACAAACCCAACAACATAGTAAACATAAAATTATCGCACATAAATGCGTGCTCAGTGTTATTTTGCTTGCAACGACAGTCATTCCTGTAAAACCACATTCAGGACATATTATAGGCGTAGGTGTAAGTCCAAAGTTATGCACTCTTGGTGGAGGTGGGGGTATAGCATTGTCTACATAAATATCAAATGCAGTTGCATAATTTGGAGGCGGTGTATGCTGTACAAACGATGGAGAAGGAATAAACGTTCCCATTAGCCTAGGTCTTCTTGCTCCCATCTGTCTTAATACAAACGAATAAGATGGTGGTGCACTCGTTAATGAATCTGGTGGCGTTAATTCTGGTGATCTAACAGTAATATTAGGTATTTCTCGCATACTTTGTAGGCTCAAACATAGAGGTGTATTTAATTCATTCTTAGCCATAGCCAAGCTAAGTGAGCTTTCGTTTAACTTAGCTAATGCTTGTAAGAACAATGTTTGAGGTCGACTAGTTGTAGGTATATTAAATGATGTTGGAGAGGGTAAATTTGAATAAATGAAAAAGGGCTGATTGGTACTTGGCTGATTTATAAGTCTACTAACAGTTTTTATAGAGATAGATCGTGATATATTAGATATAGGTTTCTCAATTTCATGTATGTGTAATTTGCTATCATTCTCTACAATGATATTATTGCAAATATCAAGACTCTGTGATGTAACTTCCTTAGATGTTATAGATGTAGAGGAATTATTATTTTCATCATCTATTTGACTTCGAGAGACATTTGGCTTACTGCTTGGAGCAGCATTTGAACTTTCAGGATGCATTATTAATAGTTTATATGTAATTAGTAAATATATGTTTATAGTATTATGTTTCATGTATTTGGCAACTACTCAATCAGTTACTTTTTTCTATACATAATATGTCACAGCTTATAAACATTTTATGGCATTTTTAAATGTTCATCGAAGCTAAAGATTTTCCAGTTATATTTTTTTGACTTAGTTTACTTTTATATTGTTTTCAAATAATTATGCCTTTTAAAAGGTGATTTAAATTTAAACTATTTTGTGAAAGAGTTCTTGCCTAATAACTAATAAGTTACTATTGCAATGCTATATATTATTGTATTTATTAACTATGTGCCAGTGAAAGTTCCCTCAAAATCAATCCAGCTGTTTCAGAGATTAGCCAGAACAAACAGACGAACATTTTTTTTAAACCAGCATTAATTATAATTTCCTGTGCATTTAGTAACTCATATTTTGACATTACAAACAGGCACTTCACTTTTAATTATCTGTATAGATTTGGAAAAAAAAATCATAGACTATTTCTTTAAGGTAATTTTAATATATGGCAACTGTCGGTTAGTATTGTCAGAAAAACCTTTTCTTCCGGTCTTTTTACTCCTCCGTGGCATGGCGGATGGTCTATACCGCCGCTTATAGTGTTTATTTGGAGTATTAACTTCGCTGATATAGCGAAATGGTAAGTTATTGATTTTTAAAAGTGTAAAATTTAATAAATTAATGTTTTATTAGTGCAAGTTGCCAAGTGAGAGTGTAATTATAGTGTCACAAAATGTCCGTGTTGCTTCCACGTGTTTGTGACAAATTTGATAGAAATAACCACAATCTGACGACTTTTCGTAAGTTGTAATCTTTTCGGAAAATAAAATGAATAAATTGAAATATTTTATCCAGAAAAGTAGCACAGATGGATATACAGAAACTGATTTTCATAATGTGTATAACGCGTGTGATCAAATCATTTCTGCTCTTCAAGAATGTTTACCCTCATAAGTTAGGGTAAAAGTTAATAATTTTAACATTTCTGCATAATCGCTATCTAATAAAAGTATTGTTAACGCAAATGTATTGCTTTTACGGATAATTATTATTGTAAAATATCTAGAATGTTGAGGTTATGTTCAAAGGTTTTTTGGTTACCTACATTCTGTTTTTTTAGTTTTAGCTGGATCTTATCCTTTTGAAACGCATAAAATGTTTCAACAAGTGTTGTTTTGTTGTATGTTTATGTTGTATAGTGTTTCGTGACTATTTCCAAGACATACATAATTTCCGGGTTCAGGAATTTTAATTTTTATTGTTCTGAATATTTTTTGCAAATTATTGCGACAAGTGGAACGCACTAAACACGTTACTAATTTTGGGAGATATGCTTGTATATGAAGACGATAAAAGAATTTACTTATTTTTCACTTTGTTGATTTCCAAGATAAGAATCTTTCATATTATAACACCCCTAACTCTTCCTGTTTGTATGAATTTTCATCTTGCAGGTACATTTATGGGGTATATTAAGTTCCAGTAGGAAACATCACTATGAAATAGTAGTGGTGTGTCGACAAAAGGAATACATTTAATAATTAAACTTTAATATAAATTTATAATTGGTATTTCAAGTAAAATGACTTACTTGCCTTAAAATATATTATTCTGTATATTTTCACCATGATCTTTTTTAAAAGTAAAATAGTTAACCAATGAAATCATTTTTCTCATCTAGAGTCTATCAGTAGCCCGGCCTTTAGTGTCGGTGTACTCTGAAAAGAGTGAGAAGGTGGCTGATGCCTCCGTCCCACTCCCATTCGTCTTCAAGGCGCCAATCAGGCCTGATCTGGTCAATGATGTCCATGTCTCTATGTCCAAGAATGCAAGACAGCCTTACTCCGTCAGTAAGGAGGCTGGTATGTATAAATATTTCTCTTATATTTCAGTACTTAAAATAAATATAACAATTTTTTAGTTATTCAATAAAATATTTTATGAACTATATAATAATTAAGGTTTTGCACTATATGTCCACATTCAATGTGCTTTTACATGCATTTGAGTGTTACCGCGAATCAGTGCAACAGTATTGTGGTGATATGGCGTTCTGGGTCTGTTCTGTGATGGGCACGGGTGCAAATTTACCACTACATGTTTTTTTATAATTAATTGATTTGTAAGCTCTTTAATATTTTTAACTATAAGTTTTTACCATGTCATTGTTCTTTTATTCTGTACACAATGGGGTTATTATTAAACAAATTTTTTTTTCCAAATGACTTGCATTTTAGACTGCCAAAACAGGTATTTAGAGAGGTGAAACAATATGGGTAGTGAGTATCACTCAAGGTTTAATATTGTGTTCTCATAAACAAAATAGGTCGAATGTTGGTTGCTGTATTCTTTTTCTCTTCCTCTACTACCATTTCTTCTGTATATTTAATATTTCATTGTAAATTTCAATAGGTCACCAAACCAGTGCTGAGTCATGGGGTACCGGTCGTGCTGTAGCCCGTATCCCCCGTGTCCGTGGTGGTGGTACCCATAGGTGAGTAACAGATATTACAAGGTTATTCATAAACATTCCACATTTTCAAAGAGTCTCTGATATGATCTATAGTTTTATCTATGCTTCTATTAATTACCTAATGTATGGTTCACTAAAAAAAAATACTTTGTCTTTTTGTTGATATCTCAGAAAATTATGTATGTAAAATGTATGAATAAAAACACTAAGCAGTTTCAGTGCATGATAATCTCATCAATATTTTGATATAGACTTAAATGATGAGTTTATTGAAGTATACTTCTTTTGGCATGTTTGGAAAAAATTATGAGTAAAATTTTGCACAGTGACAGCCAAAAAGCAACATTATGAAGTAAGCTGCATTCCTTTTAAAAACAGAGAGTTGTGACATACTGGATGGAATCTTTAGCTATTTTTGTTCTGTTACGCCAAAGATGTACAACTTCTTACATGCTGTTATATTAAATTAATATAATATTAATTAAAATAAAACTACATGATAGCTTGAGAATTCATCTTGTAATGTGATCATTTTATGTTTTGTATATAGTAATATCATAAAGTTTGTATATCTTTTAATAAATTAATAAAATAAACTAATACAACACATGAGTACATGAGTAAACGCACACGTTTTTTTAGAATTGTTAGTATTTTAGTTTCAATGTTTTATATACAAGTTATAATTGAAGATGTATTTCCTTAATATTTTTAAACTCATTGTTGCCCTGTAACCTTACTCGCATTGCCACATGCAATGTGGGAGTCACTACGGCAGGGTAAAGCAACTTCCAGTAACTCAGCTCTTTCCCTTATACCATTATGATATCTGGAATACATGCAATAACAGTATGTGTAAGCAAATGACACAACACACTATACCAACTGTGTAATTTAAATTTATTACAGACTAGCGACTCACCCTCGCTTCCATTCCCATTTTCAGCTCCTTAAGGGATAAAAAGTATCATATGTCCTTCCCAAGGTCTCAAACTATCTTCTTACTAAATTTCATCTAAATGGGTTCAGTAGATCCAGAGATTACCTCCTACAACATCACAATCTCACAAACTCTTTATAATATTAGTATAGATTTGGTAAATATTACCAATATTTACCAAAATAGTAATAAATTTTATCACTACATATATGTATTAACTTTGTAACTGAGTCTAATCTGTAAATCAAATATTTTTGGAAACTTTGATTGTAATAGTTATTATTATCTATATAGAGGTGGCGATCATAGTTTTTACTATTATTGTCTGCCTGTCTGGGACCGCATCACGACAATACCACTGGATGGATTTCCTCCCAAGTTCAGAGTGTAATTTTATATTAAGTTATAAAATATGCAAACACTACTACTTTTTATCCCGGAAAAATGTAGGGTTCCCGTGGGATAGTTTTATTTTTGTTTTGTGCTAGTTTCTTTATATGAATGTTTATGTTTAGAAACATTTCAGTATCAAGAAGTGACACACTTACATACATGTTTTTATCTAACAAAACGAGCACATTCATAACGCTAGCCTGCTATCCCTCCAGATCCGGTCAAGGTGCGTTCGGTAACATGTGCCGTGGTGGTCGCATGTTCGCCCCAACCAAGCCATGGCGCCGCTGGCACCGTCGCGTGAACCTACGTCAGCGTAGGGCTGCCGCTGCGGCCGCCGTGGCCGCCGCCGGGGTGCCAGCCCTGGTCCAGGCTAGAGGTGAGTGGACCATTGAACCGGTGGACCGTTTTATTGTGCGTAGTGTGGGTTGGACCTCTTATTAGCAGTAGACACTTGCGTGTTCATAAATTTGGCGTTCTGGATGGACCGCTTCGTCCTGGTCCATGCTAGATTTTTGTTGTTGTTGGGCGTCTTAATTATTAATAGACATTTGGACCTAGATAGAATCTTATCATCTTTTTATAAATATTCCGATTTTTTGTTTGTATAAACCATACAGATGTAAATCTCCAGAAATTAAAATATTAGTGTTTTGAATTTCATCAAAATCTGTTTAGATAATTTAACATGAAGAATTAAAAAACAGTTTGTATGTATGATCAAATCAAAGTGAGGGTAAATAAGAGTATATTCTAAGTATTATTAAAAATATTAATATAGTTTCCGCTAGCTACCGGTCTACACACCTTGTGTAGTGTTGGTATATTTAACGAGACAGATTGCGTTTCTGGCTTTCGGCCGAGATCTGTAAAAAGGAGATGCTCGGTTGTACCACAGAAATACATCAGAGTTTGTGATAATAATTAAGTTTGTTTTGTTTTTGAACTTTTTACATTTTATGACTTAAACCTTACTTAACTATAATTATTACAATAATATGTCTCTTCGCTCGACACTCGCAAGGGAATCAAACAATATTAGGTTCTTCACTTTGATCTAGAATCATGAAATATGGCATCACCAAAAAAAACATTTTTTTGTGATTATAAACTTATTTTAATGTTTAATGCTACGGAACCTTTAGTGTACTAATTAGATTCGCGCTTGTCCGATTGTTTATTTATAAAATGTCTTTTTCACAGGTCACATCATTGAAAAGATCCCCGAGCTACCTTTGGTAGTCTCCGACAAAGTGCAAGAGATCAACAAAACCAAACAGGCCGTTATCTTCCTGAGACGTGTCAAGGCCTGGTCTGATGTTCTTAAGGTAAAATTTTATCAAGATTCAGTAACATATGTTATCTTAGTTGGTATTTCATATATTAGTAATTATAAGCAAGTTTGATTTGATGACTAATGGCTAGCTTGTGCGGCGGCAGATCTGAAGATTTTGGGTTCGAGTTCCGGGTTGAGTCAAGTGCGAATGCGCAATGCGAATGCGCAAGCTAGTGTGAATGTGCTCTTTTTCACTTACTTTGCACTATTATATCTCCACAGTCGTAAGAGTGAGAAGGACAGAGTGCTGGTGTGTATGAGCTCTCTCTCTCTCTCACATGTACTGCAGTATAATATTTTCTATGCAGACTCCTCTTAGTGATATAGATAGATCGCTGTGGCCAAATTCTGTTACGATGACATTATTGTTATAACAGGAATAGGCTGTCATAATTTGTGCATAATAGGTCTAGTGGTTTTGTCTAGATCTAGATAGATTAAAAATGAATACTAATTACAAAAATTATACTTTCTTTTATTTATCCCTTTAAACTCTTACTCTTTACATTAAATATGTTCTGAGTTACAACAAGTGAGGGTATATCAAACACTCCCGGAGGAAACATCGTACGAGATTGCCTCGGACGGTGTGTCGACATGTGGCTTACATATTTTGATTTATATGTACATTGTACATCTATTTACTATAGTTTAAAATAGATGTATTTTTGCTTCAAAAAGTTAGAAAGATGTTAAATGTCTCCATCCGTAGGTATACAAGTCGCAGCGTCTGCGCGCCGGCAAGGGTAAGATGCGCAACCGTCGCCGCGTCCAGCGCAAGGGACCCCTCATCGTCTACCACAAGGACCAGGTAATCCCGCAGAATAGATACTATAATTATTGTCCTAAATTATCTAAGATTTAAGTTAATATATCCCTTTAAACTCTTACTCTTTACATCAAATATGTTCTGAGTTACAACAAGTGAGGGTATATCAAACACTCCCGGAGGAAACATCGTACGAGATTGCCTCGGACGGTGTGTCGACATGTGGCTCACATTTTTTTATATTATATCTAATTTTATTTATATCTGTAAAAAATCATACTAATAATTTGTTTAAAAACATACAAGCGCCATCTTTTGACAAATATCTAATATGATAATAATTTTATTTGTATCTGTGAAAGTTCATATTCATAATAAATAAAATATATATAAAAGCGCCATCTTTTGGCAAATCTAATCACTAAAAGTAGCTTATATGTTTTTTAGATTGTCTGTGCAACTTAAGTTCATCTAATTCGGTTTAGCAGAGAAGAATTAACAAACATACATGTACAAATTTTCACATTTTTATTAGTGAAGTAATATTGTTTTAAAGTCATTTTGTTAAATAATTATTCTCTTGTCCAGGGTCTGACCAAGGCATTCCGCAACATCCCTGGAGTAGAAATGTTGTGTGTCAACAAACTAAACTTGCTAAAGCTCGCCCCCGGTGGTCATGTTGGCAGGTTCATCATTTGGACCCAGTCTGCTTTCAAAAGGCTCGGTGAGTGGGTGGAAATAAATATAACTGGTGACTCAACCTCGTTTCGCATCGGGTTCGTCCTTAGACAAAAACAAATCATCCCACGGGAATCTTACATTTTTTCGGGATTAAAAGTATTCTCTGTGCTATCTCTAAATTATAATCTATCTCTGTGCCAAATTTCATCCATATCCGTTCAGCCGTTCTGGCATAATTGAGTAACAAACAACCATCCATCCATCCTCACAAACTTTTACATTTATAATATGAGTACCTCGGTTTCTTCTGTTCTGTATAAATGTATCTTTGTAAATATAAAACTTAAGGTGATTCGCCATATATGTAAAGTGTAAGAACGGGGGAGGGGTCTAAAAATTGGATTTCGATTGGATCATGTATCATAATTGAGTTAATGTGAAACTACCTTAAAAATTTTAAACAATCTGTATACAAAATTTTTACAAAATAATATTTGATTTATAAGACTTAGGTCTAATTAAAATATGAACACTAGTCAATAGGTCGTCTTAATTCTTCTGTTTAAACTGATTGATAAAAAATTTTTTTAGACGTGTACCTTTGACACGTAAGGGAGAAAAATGATGAGAGTGATTTTTTTACAATGGGACAGATTTAGACAACAGTATGAAGTTAGTCGTTATTTGCTACAGTGTGAAGTTGTTAAATCTCACTTTAGTGTAGTGTGATTTCTATATTCAAGATATTTATTTTCAAAATTATAATTAACAAATGAACCATTTCACCCAACAGATAACCTATTCGGATCATGGAAAACACCGTCCAAGCTAAAGAAGAACTTCAACCTGCCGCAGCCCAAGATGGCCAACACGGATCTGTCCAGGTTGCTCAAGTCTGACGAGATCAAGAAGGTGCTCCGTGCACCCAAGTATGTTATTTATATTATATTATTTAGTTCTAATATATGTAATATTATTTAAAATGATGTAAATCAAATCATTTTCTTCAATAGTAATCATATATGGGGACATCTATTATATTACGTGAGCTCTTTTTCTCATAATTTGGACCAACTTCCACCCACTAGGTGAGATTTGGTGTTTGGTTAAAACTAATGCAATGTTCAGGTACTCTCAAAATAAATGATTTTTTTATAATACCTTCGATACTTTATCAGGGGGGCACTTACAAATGAAACAAAAGTAAGATTTTTAAAGTTATACTTCTTTTGGCACGTTTGGAAAAAAATATGAGAGTAAAATTTTTACGATGCGCGCGCACACTGACAGCCGCAAAGCGACATGATGAAGTTAGCTTTATTCCTTTTACAAAAAGAAAGTTCTGACATACAGGATGAAATCTTTAGCTATTTTTGTTCTGTTGCGTCAAAGAAGTATAACTTCTTATGTGCGTACGCAAGTACGCACATTTTTTTATTACCTATATAATATTTATTCTTTTAAAGTTGACGTGAGAAATTTACGGGAGATTTAATGGGATTTTACCAAAACCCTTCCCCGTTCCGTGCTCACGTAATTAATGTATGTCACCTTATATGATTTGTGATACGGGAAAGTTTGGGCGAGTAAGTATGGTGCCTTACACCACCTACTACAGTGATGTATCTGTACTTCCTAAAAAAAAGTTGTATATTTTTTAAATATTATAGATATTTGAATGCTGGATGGATTTTTTACAGAATATGTTATTCTTTTTAATATTTATATGATGATATTCTCTTGCAGAGCATTGGGTTATGAAAAACCATGATTACTCTAACACGTTGACACATACTGATTGATTTTTCTGTATTTCCTATTAAAATTCTAACAAAAAGCAAATATTAAATCGTTAATTCTTGTTCCAGCAAGCGAGTGGTCCATGCTACCAGGAAATTGAACCCGTTGACAAACTCGAGGGCAATGCTCCGTCTCAACCCATACGCTGCAGTCCTCAAGAGGAAGGCAGTGTTGGAGCAGCAGAGGAAGAACAATGCCAGAGCTTTGATGCTGGCTGAGAAGAGAGGAGTGAGTGGTTTTTTTTATAGTATTTATTGTTAGAAACTTTATTTTAAATATAGGACCTGGGTGACCAAGGTTTACTTTTTAGAGAAGATTGCGTTTTTCAGAAGAAACCTATCTATGTAGGTAAACTTAAAAAGCAAAACCTTATCTAAATACAAAGTTTGATCCAAATCGTTAGAGCCGTTTCCGAGATACTAAAAGTAAATTTACATTATATACATATATATACAGCAATGGATTTTTGATACAGGACAGTAAGGATAGGTACCCTAACTGCTATAGTTTCAGGAAAACGTTCCTACTAGACTATCCATAACTTAATGAGATATTCTGAACGGCATTCACATATTTTGGAAAAAATGTACAGTCAGTGAAAATATGCTAAAATACTTAAATTATTTTTTTGTATGTCAAACATTACGTATATTAAAAGACTATGGCACCATGGAGGTATGAGTTCTATAAGTGACATAAATTGCAAAAAACTTTTCCCATACATTTTTTATGGAAAAACACTTTAAATTTACAGTTCCCGTGGAATAAATTTGTTTTTGTCTTTTGTGTGAAGCGAAGGTGATTCCCTTGTGTATACATTTAACTAGCGTTTATATGATGATATTCTCTTACAGAGCATTGGGTTATGAAAAACCATGATTACTCTAACACGTTGACACATACTGATTTAATCCTCTATATATAAAACTCACTCCCCCCACTAAATTACTTTACTAATTCTCCCATTCTTCATCAGATCAAGCTCCCCGAGTCTGACCCAGCAATGAAATCCCAGAAACTTCGCGAAAAGAGAGGCAAATCCATCAAATTGGCGCTCTCGAAGAAGCCCAAGAAGCCCGCGGTGAAGAAAACCGCTCCTCCACCCAAGAAGGCTAGAAGGGAAAAGGTTGAGAAAAAGGAAAAGGCTGCGCCTAAAAAGTGAACTGAATAAAGTTTTTAACTGACATTTTGTGTTTTATTTTTATTAGATTAGTTGCACACCTGATACTCTAGAGATGTTTTGTTTATCATATTGTGAGTGTGGTCTTTGGAGTCTATAATGAAATTAATAAATTATAGAAAAAAGTTTTTTCAGTCTATTACAAATAATTTCTAATAAAAGTTAGCCAAATTGGTCTGGCCGCTCTCTAATGCGCTTGCCAATGAACCTTTTATTTATATCAATAAAGTTGCATCTATAAGATAGAATAGAATCTTTATTGAAACAATTGTTTGTTGTTACATAAGCCTGTTGAAGCCTCTGACTCCCAAACTAGAATAAACCTGTATGTCAGGTCAGATATTAACTTTATTATAGTAGTACAGTACAAAAGTTGCTAAAATACAAAAATACTGTTCCAAGTCTATACATATTATAATGAAATTCTGGGTCGAATCTGTACATTAAATGTTTTTTGGAAATCTTATTGAAATAAGTCATTATTATCGATACAGAGGCCGAATCTATAGATTTTAGTCTGAGTCTGCTGTCTGGGAACGTATCACGAGAAAACCACTGGAGGGATTTTGATGAAATTTAGTATGGAGATAGCTGGTTATCCGGGTCAACATATAGGATACTTTTTACCACGGCAAAATGTCTCATTTCTAAGAAAAATACAAAAACTGCAATGTAAGAGTATACTAATATTTAAAACGTAAGAATTTGGTTTTTGGTCATCTGAGCGCGGGCGGAGCCGCGGGCAATGCTAGTAAAAATATAAAATTTAATTCCCCATTTTAGAACAAAAAAGATGAATATGTCTCTTAATAGGAGACAAACAAAAGTGCTAAATATCTAAAAATCAATAGAATAATCCAAAAATAAACTTTAAAAAGCATTTTATTCAAACTTAATAATAGAACAACATGCATCACAAATTTCATTATAAAAAAATCGATTAAAAGGAAAGAGTCACTTGGAAAATAATAAAACAATGTACAAATACACTATATGGCAGCGGTTCCCAAATTGTGGTCCGCGGAACCGTAGGGTTCCGTAGTAAGGCCACAGAGGTTCCGAGTTTAATTTTAGTGCTATTATAAATAAATAGTTATGGTATATTTCTGGTACAATAAATATTATTAAAATGATGAATATTTTTCATTTATGATTTGTTCTTTCAAGTCAAATAAGAATGTATACAAACTACAACACAATCAGTTTAGTTATTATCAAAATGGGGATCCGTTTAAAATAATATCACCAATTACGGTTCCACGGCCAAAACAATTGGGAACAGCTGCTCTGTGGTTCAATCTGAGTGAGACGGCATATGACTATATCTATTTCTTAGGATTTTTTCGCGGATTTTTTTGGATTTTTGGTTCCAGACGTTTCGAATGGTCTCTATGTATGTTGGTTTCTATGTGGCTTTTGCCGCTTTTGATGGGATTCTATTGGAGTTGTTCAACAGGGGAGATCCACCATGATTGCTGTAAAGCATTCGAAACATCGGGAACCAAAAAACTAAATAAATCCGCAAAAAAATTCGAAAAAACAGTTGTACTTAAAATGTAAAATATTCGCGTAAACCTAAGAAAGCATTATATCTATCTATCTCTTTCTTTACTACTTAAACAATATAAAGTCAAATATACAGTCAAAAAAAATTCAAATAGTGTCAAATGTAACGTCAACATACACACAATTTCGCCATACAAAATGAAACACAAAACCAAATAAAATGTAACCATTTTGTTGCACATGTTAAAAAATTGTCATTTTAAAAAAAACCGGCCAAGTGCGAGTCGGACTCGCTCACGAAGGGTTCCGTACCATCATTATTTATGAAAACGACAAAAAAATCATGTCTGTTTTACGGTAACCCTACGGACGGACAGCGGAGTCTTAGTAGTAGATTTCTATACCCTTTGGGTACGGAACCTTAAAAAAAATAATTTATATAAATAAAAATAAGAATTCTCCTTAAAACATAATCCGAGTTCGAACAATGTCAAGGGAAGTCAAAAAGAAAAAAAAGAAACATTTTGGAATAAGATATTTTTCTAATAACGTTATATTGTAAATAATGTCCTACCGACCGGTTTCGATCACGGCGGTCAGTCATATTAATTTAGCCAACTGCGCAGGAGATATTATAGTGTGTGGGAGTGAGAGAGAGAGATACACAGGTGTACTCGCTCTCACTCTGTTCCTGTCACTCTCACACTCCGGTGGGACGACACGAGACACTCGCGGTGAGTGTCGGCGCAGGACCGACAGCTTTACGTGCTCTCCGAGGCACGGGGGTGACACACCGCCAACTTCCCAACTCCGGGCTGTTACTGAGGCTTACTATACAGAAAGACTCAATAACTAAACTAGACCCGACCGTACGTGCTAGCAGTTACATTATATTTTTGATAACTAAATTAAAATAATAAAAAAAATTACTAAATCTTACTATCTTACATAATAATATTACATATAAATAAGCCAGAAAATTTCATTACTTTCCCTAAACAAATCAATTAAAAATATCACAATTTTTTTTTTAATATCGATCAAAACATACAGAATAATAAATAATAAAAAACTAGATACACAATCCCATGCAAAAGTTCTCTTAAATTGTGTTTGGGTAATTGTTCTAGTTGAAATAAATATACAACAATGTAAATTTTACTGTTTAATTTAAAAAATAAATAAATTAAAACGCGCTCAAACGTTCAAAATGAGCGCTCATTCGGTGAGGACATTTTTATCGCTGATTGTGTATCTAGTACTTTTTGATCGACGTTTTATAATCTTAAAACCTGGTTAAAATTTACAAAATATCATATCTTTTCATTTAAAATAGGTAAAATTACATAATGACAACAATAGAAAGAAAAATTATTAGCATTCCGCGCAAAAAAACTAAAACCCAGGAAATTGTTAGCAAAATCCGATTGCCTTAATAATTTTAATACAGTTTCATTTTTATTGTTAAACCTAGGTAAGATTCAACGTTTAGTATGGAATAGATAGACTATTATATTACTGCTCCGCTAACTTGGACAGTAGCATGATGATATATATATATATATATATATATATATATATATATATATATATATATATATATATATAGCCTATACCCTTCCTCAAAAACGGGTTATCTAATGCAAAAATAATTTGTCAAATCAAAGTTCCTAAGATTATCACATTGAAACAAACAAACAAACCCCTATTTATAATACTAAATAAGCTTTAAATAATACTAATTAAGCTTACAAATTATCACTTGTACAATATTTTAAAACATTATTAGACTTCATGTATAGCTCTTTGCCAATCTATATCATTTCTTAGTCTGAAAGCTAAAATATAGACTTATTCGGTACAATTTTCATCTTCGCTTTTCACTTTACACTTACCATATTTATTATAATACACATGATAAGTATCATTATGATCTTTTTTGATGTGTTTCTTTACATCTGAAAACTTTCTGTATGATTGTTTACAAAACGGACAATCTGCTACGTGTTTCCTTTCTTTATGTATCTGCAAAATTAAAAAAAAAAGTTTAAAGACAGGACGGCATGTTTGGCTCAGTTTGTAGTGATCCTACTTGCTGTGCCAGCGGTCGCGGATACGAGTCCCGCTGGGGGCATTCATTTGTGTGATGAGCACGAATGTTTGTACTCCAGTCGTGGGTGTTTATGTTTATAATATGTATGTATTTAAAGTTATATATGTGTAGTGTATCAACTATCTGGTATCCATAACACAAGCCTCGTAGCTTACCATGGAAGTAGACGGTGCTGTGTGTTCATGTACCAACATATTTATTTATTTTTATATAAAACTTTTTATAATTAGGCGAATATTCGACATTTTAAATGAAACTATCATTTCGCGGATTTATTTCAAGTCTTGATTCCCGACGTTTCGAATGCTTTACACATGGTCACGGGAGAGACTAAGGTTTTAGACGTCTCAAAAGTATAATTGTTACAGACAGTGCCTGCCCACAAAATTATACAATGATTTCAAAAAATAGAAAAAACAAATGAACAATTTTTGTATTTTCCTCCCAGTTATTTCCTTTTACATATTCATAAACATCACACAAATGAATGCCCCCCAGCGGGAATCGAAACCGCGACCGCTGGCACAGCAAGTAAAACCTTTTTTTAGTTTTTAATATTCCTATGTAGTAAATACATCTCTTACCTCCCACATATGGTCCCACTTCGCTTTCAAATTATTATAGAAGATCCCACACACGTGACATTTAAAACGTGGGCGTTTCATTTTCAAATGCTTGGTATAAGACGACTGCGAGTAGAATATTTTGTTACAATCATTACACACGATCGGTTTTGTTATTTCGTGCATCTGAAAATGAATAGAGAAATTTGTTAATCGAAAACTAAAAATTACAATTTATTAATGGACAAAAACTCAGCTCTTTAAATGAGAATAAAAAAAAAATAATGGACAAAAAATTGAATTGAATTGTAATATTGTTTATATTACAGGAAAATTGAATTGTAATATGTTTTATATTACAGGAAAATTGAATTGTAATATGTTTTATATTACAATTCAATTCTCTTGTTAATGGTTTCAAAGCGTGCCAGTTGAGATCACTTTGCCAATGTCACATAGAATGGAGAATACAAAGCTATAATACATTGTTAGACTAAAGAATTATACAGACGAAGTCAAAATAAACGGCTAAGTTAAAAATAGTAGCGTGATGTGCTGTTTATGCTAGTATTCTCGATTTTGCCATACAGATTGTTTACTTTCTTCAAAGAATAAGGGAAGTTTTATATATGTACTAGCGGACCCGACAGACGTTGTCCTGTCTACACGTCTTTAATTTGAAAATTTCAAACTTTTTTTAATAATTTTTTGATGAAAATTATTATTCAAATTGTGAATCTAAACCATTCCCAGATCCCCTTGAACACACACAAAAAATTTCATCAAAATCGGTCCAGTCGTTTGAGAGAAGTTCAGTGACATACACACTCACAGAAGAATTATATATATAAAGACTAGCAGAACTCGCGGCTTCGCTCGCGCTAAAATTACAAACAAAGCTCTAAAAAGGTAGTTTCATACAAACTTTCATCCCCTATTTTACCCACTTATAGCATGAATTTCATCTGTCACTCCGTTTCGAAGTGAAAGAAAGACAAACAAACACACTTTCACATTTATAATATTAGCATGGAGTATGGAAGGAAATATGGATTACAATTTTAAATTAAATTATAAAAATAAAAAAAAAAATACTATCAACAACTCACCTCCATGTGTTTGGTGAGACACTGTTTCTTCTGAAACTTCTTCTTACATAAATTGCATACGAGTACAGAGAGGTTGTGCACTTTCTTGTGTTTAGAGAAATTGCTCGAGTCACTGAAGGATTTGTTGCACAGCTCGCACTTGTAGACGGGCAGCGAGGCGTGGTCGCGCAGATGGTGTTTATATCTGGAAAGAAAAAAATATGTTTTTAATGTATCGATCAAAGTACTAGATACACAATCAGCGACAAAAAAAATGTCCTCACCGAATGAGCGCTCATTTGAACATTTGAGCGCGCTTTTATCTTTTTTTTAATGAAAACAACTTTAAGGTTCAATTTACATTGTTGTATATTTATTTCAACTAGAACAATTACCTAAACACAATTGGTGACAGTTGTAAGAGAATATTTGCATGGGATTGTGTATCTAGAACTTTTTTGATCGATGTGTCAATGACTTCATAGCGTGCCAGTTGAATACAGATTACTTTGCCAATGTCACGTGGAATGGATGAGACACGAAGGAAGTTTGGTCAATGGGGAATCAGCCACACAACGCCAGCCAAATTTCTAGGTTCTCTCAGACATACAGAGTAGTTACTCTCTTTCATCGTAAGACAAGTGGTGACCATGTTGGAAATGATTCGAACATGAGAGAGAGAAATGGATTGGCAGTGAACAAAATGACCTGTAGACAACGATGATGATGGTAAAGTACCTACTACTGATTATATCTTGTAGAATATGTTAAGGTGCCATGCAAGTATTACGTAAGCACCCAAGGGGAGGGGGGAGGAGGGGAATATTGGCTTAGCTTATACATGATGACGACAGGGGGAGGGGAGTTCTGGATGGTAATTAAATCAGAAATATTTATTTATTTCAATAATTAAAATGAAAATGTAGTACATTTTGACACACATAACATGACGAAACCCTACTTGTCTATGTTCAAAAGCGAATAGCATGTTCAGGGATCCCCAAAACAATGTTTACGTGAGAACAGGAGGGGGGAGTAAGAGCTTTGCTTACTTTTGCTGACAAGGGGGAGGGAGGGGTTAATAATTACTAAAATTCTGCTTACGTAATACTTGAATGACCTCTAATATGTTGCATGTGACGTCGATCTTTGTCACGAATGCACTTTGTACCTTTTGTAATATGATGCAAACGGATTATGTAACTAATAAGTATAATTATACTAGCGGCTCACCCTCGCTTCGCACGGGTTCGCCTCTAGAAAAACAAAAACAAATCTATCCCTCGGGAACCGTATATCTCTCGGGGATAAAAGGTAGCCTATGTGTTATTCTAGACTATAATCTATATCTGTGCCAAATTTCATCCAGATCCGTTCAGCCGTTTTGGCGTGAAAGAGTAACAAACATACATCCATACATACATTCTTACAAACTTTCGCGTTTATAATATTAGTAGGATATAACAATCTTTAACCTTCCATCTCTTAAGGGAGTGAAAATGGGGATGAAAGTTTGTATGGGGAAGCAACCTTGGGATGAACCCGAGCGATGCGAGGGTGAATCGCTATATCTTCATATATATAATTCTTCTGTGAGTGTGTATGTCACTGAACTTCTCTCAAACGACTGGACCGATTTTGATGAAATTTTTTCTGTGTGTTCAAGGGGATCTGGGAATGGTTTAGATTCACAATTTGAATAATAATTTTCATCAAAAAAATTATAAAAAAAAGTTTGAAATTTTCAAATTAAAGACGTGTAGACAGGACAACGTCTGTCGGGTCCGCTAGTATATAAATAAAACTCACCGTTCACCTGAATTGAACTCCTGCCCGCAGATCTGACATTTCAATGAGCCATATTTAAATTTCTCAGTGAAAGCATCTCTCAGTAGATGTTCTATTAAATGCCTCTTGCAGTCGTCTTTCCTATCGAAACGTTTGTTGCACTCGTAACACATTCGTGTTGTGCTTATTTTCTCTGGATCTCTCAAGAGCACTGAAAATAATAAGTTGAATGTTTTTTTATTAAATCATTTAAAAAAAAAGATATTTTTATTAAATAAAACTTTTTTAGGTTATTTTCGGAGTTTTAATTTAATTTTTCTGAAACGTTTCGAATGCTTTGCATCAAATATGATCATGAGAGGGGGAGTTAGGCGAAGAGAGAGGAAAAGAGGGAGATGGAGAGAGAGAGAGAGAGAGAGATCTCCAAGTCATAGTTATTACAGTTTCTATCACGGTAGAGAAAAAACCATGAAAGTGCGATATGACTGCGGTTGTATCGGTACCTGTGTCGCCAATCTGACAAAAATACATAGTATGGCCATAAATACTGTTACAATTAAAAATAAACAATATATTACATTTGAATTTGGAATCTGTCATTTTTATATGATTGTTCATTGTGTTTTCTCGTTTTCCCGCCAATACATTGTAAAATATTTTGTGATATTAAAATGGAGTGGGGTGATAAAGAGAAAGGAATGGCTGTGATTGCATTACACAAAGTAAGTATGGAGCCAAATACAATTTTTAAAACTCTCCATACGCTTGGTATTAGTCAAATGTTTGTGTACCGGGCTATTGATAGGTAGAAACCTTTGTTTGTTACAGAAAAAGATCTGGCCGTCCACGTAGTATTCGTAAGAAAAAGGCGATCAAAGAAGTAAGGGACAGAATTCGAAGAAATCCTGTCCGAAAGCAAAAGATTTTATCTCGGGAGATAAAGATAGCACCTAGAACCATGTCGCGTATTTTAAAAGATGACTTAGGACTTGCAGCCTATAAGAGACGCACTGGTCATTTCTTAACTCATAATTTAAAATAGAATACGGTGGTAAAATCAAAACAACTACTTAAGCGGTACGCAAAGGGAGGTCACAGAAAAAAAATTGTTTACGGATGAGAAAATTTTTACACTTGACAAATATTTTAACGAACAAAATGACCGTATTTATGCTCAAAGCTCTGAGGAAGCTTCCCAATTAGTCAACAGAGTACAACGTGGGCATTACCGACTTCAGTGATGGTTTGGTGGGGTGTTAGCTATGAAGGAGTGACTGAGCCATTTTTTTTGTATCAAGATACCATTCTTGAGAAGTAGCTAAGCCTTAACAAAACAATGTTCAATAACCAAGATTGGTCCTCTCAGCAAGACTCGGCGCCGGCTCATAAAGCTCGATCCACGCAATCTTGGTTAGAAACCCACGTTCCGGACTTCATCAGAGCTGAAGACTGGCCGTCATCCAGTTCCGATATTTATCCGTTGGATTATGATTTATGGTCAGTTTTAGAGAGTATGTCTTGTTCTAAATGCCATGATAATTTGGAGTCCCTAAAACAATCCATACGATTGGCAATGAAGAATTTTCCCATGGAAAGAGTGCGTGCTTCTATTGATAACTGGCCTCAATGTTTAAAGGAGTGTATTGCAGCCAATGGAGACCACTTCCAATAAGCTTTAAAAAAAATTAACACACTGTAATAGTAATAAATGTTACGTGCAATAGAAAAATGTTTTTTTCTTTGTAACAATATTTATGGCAAGACTTTGTACACTATTAATCGTATATTGCACTAAAAATAAACAACCAATCAAATATTGGCGTTTTATTTTAGTCAAAACTAGCATAAAATTTCATTTATAACTATAGCTAGCATTTATCTCTTCTCTCCTAACTTTGATATATGTATTTTTGTAACATTGGAAACAGTCATTGGTTAAGTTTTATTAAAGATTTTCTATTCTATATTTTTTTGTTAATATCGTTTGTTTCTACAAAATCTAAATGAAATCTAAAATAAAAAAAAACTACAAAATCTTTTCAAGTCAAATCGACTTGAAACGAAACTCAAACCGAAATGAGACTCAGCAGATTAGTGGTATTGATCCCCATTTTGATATTAACTAAACTGATTGTGTTGTAGATATGTAGATATCATAAATAAAAAATATCAATACTTATAATAATATTTATTGAACCAAAAATGCAGTTTATTTAATTTGTCGAATGATCTTTCATATAGATCTTTCACATATTTATTTATAATAGCACTAAAATTAGACTTTACATCTGATAACGTTTTATTTAACTCTCTAACGGAACTCGGAACCCCTGTGACCCTTTCACGGAACCCTAGGGTTCCGCGGACAACCGCTTGGGGACCACTGGAATAGGGAACACGCAAACCATTAACTGGAAAAACACTCGTACCAATATTTGACAAAGTTCGAGTATCTTAATCGTCATTAATGAAACCTGCTGAAGCAGAAGGTAATGGTCTACTGCTTTTGATCCATTTCACACTGGCCGTTTAATGTATTATGTGTTCCGTTAGACATCCGAAGTCCAATTATGAGAAAATACATCAACTTTTTCTGTCTTTTATTTATTTATTACTTCCGCTTCCGTTAGATTTTTCTGCTTTTAGCGCCAACCGTGGCCAAAACTGAAACCTAACTTTTGCTACCTATGTCCTATGTAAGGCAAGCCGCCATTTCTAAAATCATTGTTGCGTCATTTTTTGAGTTGCATTTTTTTAGATTTATCAGAAAATTTGTTTAAGAAAAACTACCCTTGTGTTCAAAATTAAAATTATTGTTTAAACTTTCGAGATTAAAGTAGAAAGTTACAGCTTTATTCCGTTACGCTAAAGTATGTATTGCATTTTAAATTGTAATTTTACAATTAGATTTTTTCAAATTTGACAACAATTAAAAAAATACCGAGCCAGTGGGTGCAAAAAATAATAGTGTGGGCAAAAAAATGAAGCTAACAGGAGTAGGCACAAATGACTCTAGGTTTGTGAGCGGCTGTCTGATGTTACTTTTAGTTTTGGCCATGGTTGGAGCTAAAAGCAGAAAATTGAAACGGAAGAGGAAGTAATCTAGCGGAAAGCGACAGAAATTGATGTACTCTCTCATAATTGGACATCGGATGTCTTAGGCATGATACAAATTATATTTTTAGGTAAAACTTCTATCTTAATTTCCGATGTATTTTGAACAGCATCTTGTTCAAAAGATGGTGAGATTATAGAGTCCAGCTTCGCAGCGTTTTTTAGAGCCTTTTTCCGAGCTCTGTATTCACGACAGCATTCTGCTGCAGTTTTTCTTTTTCTTGGTAATGTGTTTAATGGCTTGGCGGAACATTCTGGATTTGCAGCGTTTTTTAGAGCCTTTTTCCGACCTCTGTATTCACAACTACGTGCTGCTGAAGTTTTTGCTTTTTTTGGTAACGCAGAAGATACTTGGTTTGCAGCGTTCTTTAGAGCCTTTTTCCTAGCCCTATATTCCCGACTGCATTCTGCTGCAGTTTTTGTTTTCCTTGTTTTTAGTAAGGCGAAAATTTCTTGATTTGAAGCGTTATCTACAGCCTTTCTCAGAGCTGTTGAAGTTTTTGTTTTTATTGGTAAGCTCAAAGTTGAGCCCACGGACACTTCTGCAACATCCGTCTGTATAGTCAAATTGTCCCATGGAGAATTTTCTTGATGTACATCAGGTTCAAAAACAATCGACGCATAGCTTATTGATTGTTGAGCTGAAGCGTTCTCTGGTGCATTCGCCCGAGCACTGTATTCAGGAAAACGCTGTAATGATGTTTTAGCTGGGATATTTTTTTTTAGTGTTTCATATTTTCGAATGGTTACTTTCGGCATTGTGGGGTCTGAAAATGAAAAACTGTGTATGAGTATCTATTGTACGCACGTAAAAAGTTACGCTTCTTTGTTTTTTGTTTGTAAAAAAAAAAAAGGAAAAGCTTGTTGAAGTGAAACTTCTTTAGGCGCGCCATGAGAGGGAAAAAAGAGCATTGCCGTTAAGATTTTTGTAACGGAAACGGTTGTCACGGAAATGAGTAAATAATCAATTAAAAATTATGTAAATTATTAAACGAATATTTTGAAGAATAAATTGAATAAATTTATATTTATAAAGATTACTTCTTATTTTTAAATGAGCGATGGAATCATATTAAATAGATATTCCTAAATAATTATGTAATTGAAACAATTTTTTATACATTATAAATATATATATTTTGTTACAAAATTCGCATCCCAGCAAAGTATTTATTTTATTGAAGTATGTATATAATTTATTGAATCATTACAACATTTGATTGAGAATTAAATTTTATTTGTATTATGTGTATAGTATAAGGTATTGTTTTTTTTAATCGTTAAAAAATATTGTTTTAGTATCTATCCTATCTAAGTTATTTTAAACATAAAACTGAATTTTATAAAGAGTACCGATAACATAAAGAAGTTTCACTTCTTGCGCATTATATTATATATTCTTATGCATTGATACACGCACTCTTTCAATTTTAGTTCTTTTTACATCTCAGCAAAAACCCTTTCTTTTGATATCCATATCTCGGGGGTGTAAAAAAAACATAGTCCGCCATCTTTGGGTGTCCGCCATATTGGCTAGTGTTTCGCTCATCAAGCCATTTCATTTGATGCCCATATTACAAAGCTCACTATGGAAATAATAAATCACCATTTTGTAACGTCCGCCATATTGGATTAAAAATGGCGGCATTTAGGTAATCGTGCAGTCACGAGAGTTGTAATATTTTTTATATTTATCGATCGTGTTGTGTACATAGATATACCGGAATATATATCTTGAATATAGACATCACACTACACTTAAGAGATTTAACGACTAACTTCATACTGTAGTCTTAATCTGTCGCATCGTAAAAAAATCACTCTCATCATTTTTTCTCCCTAATGCGCCAAAAGAAGCAGAACTTCAAAAATATTCGAATTTCATTACTAAGACGATTATTTTAATAAAAGAGAATATAATAAGAAGAGAATAACGAAAATTTTCTTTTAAAGATCATCAGACACACATACACATACACACACGCAAATAAACACAGGTTAAAGCCCATGTTTCATGGTATCTTCTATATTATATAGAAAAAATACAATAGAAACAATAAAAAAAAGATTACTTACTTTATACAACTGTTTATAAAATTATCAACAAATATTTATATAAAACTTATATCCACAAAAAAAAAACCCTTTAACACGTTCCCTGCGCCATCATTTTCAAAAAACTTTTAGCTGGTGCTTTGGAGACCTAAAAGATCTCGAAACTAACCTACCCTTTGGTGCGTTAGAGACCTAATCAGTCTCCTAAAAATACAGTTTTGAAAATAATTTATAACTTCCAAAAAACTAATGACATATATTTTGAAGTTTTTGTGGTTCAAGAGAGCCTATTGCTCTACATTTTGCTAGATTCGCACGCAGTTATCGAATAAACTATAAATACCAAAAAAAAATTAGACATCGATTGTATCTCATACCGCAACCGAAGATAGTTCAATATGTGTAGTAAGTAGTGATGGGAATAAAATAATATCTCAGTTGTCGATTGAAAAAGTTTTATTAAAGAAGTATATTTATAAACTATGCAAAGTGTTTTTTATTAAAACATGTTAAGCACATTGATTTATTGCATTGCGCGCAAATGGTAACAATTCTATTAGCTTTTTTAGAAGCGTCAGCGCTGTTTAATGTGCGTCGTAATTTTTCATAACAACCCACACAACGTCTTCTTTTGTCGCCACGTTGAAAAACGTGATCTGTATATCTTCCTTCGGGGAATTCTGCAATAAAATGCATTATATTTTTCAAAATTGTTATTTTACTGAACGATGCAGCATTATAATCCGGCGTTGATTTTTCATTCTTAGAAATGTCATCAAAATAAATAGACTTTTTACACTTTTTCCTTTTAAAAAGACTCATTGTTTATCATCAATAATCAACACACTTTAAAATATAAACTCGTAGTGTTATTTTCGAAACGTGCGCGCAACCTCCCACTCGTCGATCTATTCGTCGATGCTAGGACAACACTAAATCGATTCACGCAGCGCCCGCGCCGCCCACCCTCCCTCTCTTGCGTCTACGAGGCGTACGATTCCACGAGTATCGACATGTCTCCTAACGCAAGGAATGAAAATAATTATACTACTGTGCGTTAGGGACCTAATCCATCTCTATTGGAGTGAAACAACACGATTATAGTCAACGCACAATACAAAAGTCTTGCAAGAGATCTAATAGATCCCGTAATGCAACGAACGTGTTAATATTAAATTCCGACAAAAATGTGATTCAAACAAATATCACACAAAGAGGAGAGAATAATATTTTATCTCTTTCTATCTAGCTGTACTCTTACATCTATATATATATATATATATATATATATATATATATATATATATATATACTCTAAGCAATCCCGTGACGCACGAGCAAGCGTCATGCGCATGACGGTGTTCGTAACGGTTTCACATGACGATACCTTGAAATTTTACTCTACTGCGCGCAAAGAAGGTTCACTTCAAAAAAAAAACACAAAAAAAAAAATGACATCCTCTTTGAAGTCGGTCAAATAATAAAATAAACATTTTTTTTATTGCCAACTGGTCCCAAACAAAATGGAAAAATCAAATTTATTTAAAATGTTGAACCCAACCAGCTATCTATCACCATACAAAATTTCATCAAAATCTGTCCAATGGTTTTCTTGTGATGAGTTCCAAACAGACAGACTGACGAAAATTCTAAAAACTATAGATTCGGCCTCTGTATCGATAATAATAACTATTTCAATAAGATTTCTCAAAAAATATATAATGTACATAATCAACTCGGTTAGAATTTTATTATATGTATATATGTCAAATACTGATAATAAATCTATGAAACTAATAAGAAAAAACAAAACTTACTGATCATCTCCTTCAAATTGGGCTTTCCATCCATATTCACACTGAGTTCTGTTGCTACATCAACGGATTTAATATCCAGATGACTTTCCCAATGCTGGAAGAAATCACTATAACTGAGCACTAGATGACACTCTCTACACTGGTAAACACTTCTATCCGATGAATCATTTTCGATGGAATGCACACGAACAAAACTAGATTTTATATGATAATTCACATGTCTCCATAATTGGAGTTCACTTTTTATTTGCTTCATACATTTTGGGCATGTTAACGGTTCGTAATCATGTTTAACGAAATGATTTAAATACTTTTTGTATGAAATATACGTTTTGTTGCATTTCGTGCATGAATAATGGGATTTCGGATTGTGTACTATCCACATATATTTCTCCATATTTTTTTTTTTGGAAATATTGTTGTTTTTTCTGGAAAGACATTAAAAAAAATCATAAATATATATAATTAAACGTTTAAATAATACTATTTTCTATATCAAAGCAACTTGTTTCTAAATTTCGCCTAATTCATAATTAAACTGCCATTTACATAGACAACACGTAAACAAATAAAAAAAAGCAGTCACGAGGACTGCTGACAGAAGTGAAAACTTAAAACAATAAACAAACAGTTCAAACAACAGATCTTAAATTAAAACTGTTTACATTTATCTGGTTTCGACATCTGTCTGCACTCTGAGTGTTAACGTTAACACGTCACGTGACCATGTCGATGACGACTTACATGGATTTACTCCCCATACAAAGCTGCCTATAGAAGTTTTCACTTCAATTACCTATACTATAAGTCAATAGATTATCACGTTTTCAAGATATTTGAGGTAAAAACTGCATGAAAACGATGACAATTATTATTAAATAGTGAAATGATTGCTTCTTAATGAACTATTCATATTCAAACAATTTTTTTTTCTTATAAAAGCCATGTTCCCATAACATAATACTTTAGGTAACCATATTTATTCATATAATAAAATTCTGAGTTGATGTAATGTAACTGAGTTGAATCTGTACATTAAATATTTTTTTTTGAAAACCTTGTTGAAATAGTCATTATTATCGATAAGATGCCGAATGTATAGTTTTTATAATTTTTGTCTGTCTGTGACCGCATCACGAGATAACCACTGGACAGATTTTGATGATATTTGGCATGATGATAGCTGGTTATCCTGGTCAACATATGATACTTTTTACTGGGGGAAGATATCTCATCTCTGAGAAAACTATACTAAAAGTTAAAACGTAAAGTTGCTAATATTTTAAAATAAATACATAAAAAAGTAACACACATACAAAAAAGGACATAAAAGCGAAGATAAAGGATATAATTGTTCAAGAAACATATTCTTACCTTTTCCTTGGCAATTTTTTACATGATTTTGTTGAATTTAAAACATTTTCATTCAAAAGTATTATATCGTCTTCGTACATATCGTCCTTTTCCTCCTTTATCTCAAAATTGACCGGTAATTCATCTATATGTTGCAACACTGATTTCAGAATAACATCATCATTCATTTCATTATTTATATTATTATCGTTATTTTTATTATTATCAATTAAGCCAATATCGTTAATTTCATTAATCCCGTTAATTTCATCAATATCCATGGGCTCTTCTTTAATTTTTGGTACATCTGTGCTTACTACTTCTTTTATACCATCTCCAACATCTGTTAATTGTAAATTTTTTTTGCTTTTAGTCCGGCTATAAGTATTCAACGTCTTATGCAGACCATCGTTATTTTTGTTAATGTGCAAGCTATTGTTATAATTATGCGCTTGCAATGTAGTTTCATTACTGTTGTTTACATCATCTATATTTTCCTTTTTGATATTTTTTATTATCTCTGGTATTTCTTTACTCTCAACACTGTTCATTATCTTTCGAACGGTATTTTTGTTTATTATTGTTATTTGAATATTATTTTGAAGGTCTTTATTTTTTTGGTTTACAGTTTCGTTGTTCTGTGGCGTGTTCTGCTCAGCGTTTTTGTCTGAAATTATATAAGCTTTTATCAGACTTGTCATAAATGGGAAAGTTTGTACATATTCAGTGGCATAACTAGCTTATTTGGGCCCCAATGCAAAACAAAAATGGAAATGCCCTCCCTTGCCTATTATGAAAACGAATGTGGAATGCCGAGCATTGAACGAGAAGTCGTTTGTGACCTGCTAGGCTCCCCTTGGATCAGGGGCCCCATGCGACTGCATTGGTTGCATTGGCATAGTTACGCTACTGCATGTATGTGTACCTATGTGTGTCTGTGTGTTTGATCTGAGTTCTTCTCAAACCTGTTTATCCGTTATAGCATAAAGAAGCAACAACATATTCGTAAATTTCGTATTACACAATTTATATGCCTAGGTTCGTAATTTTTTGTTATAAGTACCGTATATAATTTTATGTGCATTCAGTAAAAAGCTTTTATTTAAACGTTACACACAGACACTTCAGATTTATTTATCTGTATAGATTTGTAACACTTTACTACTGATCTCGTCAATAGATGGCGCTGACAAAAAGGTTGAAGGAGCAGAAAAGGGACATTTCACAATAATAAATAAATATGTTGGAACAATAACACACAGCACCATCTAGTTCCATGGTAAGCTACGAGGCTTGTGTTATGGATACCAGATAGGTGATACACTACACATATGTATGTAACTTTAAATACATACATATTATATATATATAAACACCCACAACCGATGTACAAACATTCTCAACAACTCGAACCCGCGACCGCTGGCATAGCAAGTAGGGTAACTACAAACTGAGACAAACATGTCGCCACATATAACTCATTCTTACTTAAATATCGAAAAAGGCCTTGGAATGCGGTATCAACTTCTTGGTCTTCATGCGTTGTATCATTTTCTTCAAGGACAGGTACAAAAACTTTCATTGGTTCCACTATTTGTAGAAGACTCTTAGGTATCACCACCTGAAAGAAAACATAAGTTTTGATAACAAAACGAATCGGTCCAACAGTTTCGGAGATTAGTCCGTACAAACAGAAAGAAAAACAAAACAATTGAAAAAAATCTGGATTTGTTCTATTTCTCTTCTTACATCCCCCTGTAACTTGGTTTTTAGCATTTTTTTCTATGTACAGACATTCGACCTCTACAGTTTTATTATATGTATAGATTTTCGTTCTCTGCACAATCCATGATTAAACATCTGATCTGATGGATACAAGGCAGTGGTAGCTTAGTGGTAACGCGCTCAATTGGGAGACCGAGCGAAGCGGGTTCAAATCCCGGAGCTCGCACCTCTGATATTTTCATGTATTTTTTTTAATAAAAAAAAGGGCTTCATACAATCCATACTAATATCTATATACATTTATTGTCTTTTTTGTGTGAAATATAAAAAAAATCATGTTATTGACCGACTAACTCGTTTCCTCCTTTCAACAACACCCACACCAATGTTATAAATTCGAAACTAACTTAACGTTTTCAAGCCTATGCCGCTAAACCAATTTTGATGAATTTTGGTATATATATGGATGGAACCTTCAAAGGGGATAGGCATTTTGTTGCAAAAATGTAGGGGGTAAAATAGGGGGTTGTAATTATGTGTTGAAAACAAATCATTTTCAAGTTAAGGGCCTAAAAATTTGCAATATCCAGTAAGTTTGATAAGATATAAAAAATGTTTTGATGTTTTTGACCAATCAAAGTTAAATAAAATCCTCCCAGATCTCAAGTTTTTTTAAAGTACCTACGTTTTTGCTTTTCTATACCTTTGTATATGTATGTTGAGTAAATATGTACAAATGTACATAACATTTTGTACATATTTACTCTATTCTATACTAACGCTAAAAACGGGTAGATCGCTAGTTGTTAATAAATTTTAAAGATTAAAAAAAAGAAGTCATGAGGACTTCCGACAGAAATGAAAACTTCAAACTATAAACAAACAGTTGTTATTTAACTTTACTTGTTTGATCTTAAATCAAAATGTGTAAATTAAAACTGTTCACATTTATCTGGTTTCAACATCTATCGGCACTCTGAGTGTTAGCTAACGCTACGTGACCATGTCGATGACGACTTACATGAATTTACTGCCCATCCAAACCAACCTGCCTATACAAGTTTTCACTTCAAAATAAAGCTTACCGGACAGTAATCTTCATTTGTTTTTTCTTTATTATTATGACATTTACTTGTGTGGTTCTTTGCCGAGTGCAGATCAAAAAAACATAGTGAATCTTTGCATACCAAACACATGTACAACAATTTATAGTTATCTGTATGCTCCAATAGATGCTTGAACTCCACACAATCCTTCTTTAAAAGTTTTCCGCAGACTCTACACTTAAAATTGTTAGGTGTTATCCAATAATGTAACAACAAGTTAGGTTTGCTTTGGAACTTTTTAAAACAAAACCCACAGGACTCCTTCAAAGGCTTGGTTACGCAATCATGTACATTGTAATTGTGGATATATTTTTTACACTTCCCGCACTTCTTGGGTTTCAAAGGCACGGGAAGATCTGATCTAACCGAGTGAAGTCCGTTTTGATGTCGTAGCAATTCCTCCTCTTTCCAGTGTTTCCACGGACAAACCGGACATTTAAATTCTAGATATCTATCCTTGGAGGCTCTTTGATAAAACTTCCTGTTCCCTTCACAATACCCTTCATGCATGGTTAAAAGTAAACATGTTTGAAAAGATTTGTCGCAGCCATCACATATGAAGGAATTGTGTCTGTGATACAATATATCTTTACCGCATCTCCAACAGTTACTTTCTATGGGTACATTGCAATCTCCCATTTTTCTATTATTACGAGCAACAATATAGCTATTATGACCTTCAGTACATAAAACTATCCCAAATTTATCATGGTATTTTATATGTTCTTTCAAATCATGTAAATACCACCATGCCATTTCACATATGTAACAAACATACATTAACGGTGTGTCTCGAACTAATGGATAACAGGTCATCCATGCTCCCCATTTCGTTATAGCTTCTTGTATCTTTATTTCTGTTTTATTAAGTTTAACTTCAGAGATGTCTTGTCCAAAATAATTCCTCATGTGGATTTCAAGTAATTTGTCAGCATAACTAACTGTAGTTTTCGAGAAGATTTCAAATTCTTTTTTAATCATAATTTTTGTTATTTTATAGCATGTCACTTCTATTTTATCAACGTTTTGAAGACTTCTAACTGATTCAATTCTTATGTTAATGTCTCGTACAATTTCTGAATTTCCTGGATTTACTACTGTGGGAACAAGTGATATTACTTCCTCATCCTTTACAGGCACAGGATCATTGTTAGTCGAAGAAAAGATTTCTTCATCAGTCAATTCTTCATCATATTCTTCGATTTCAACTTTAACAGAGAACTGTTGGTCTTTTTTACATTGAGAACTGCTGGAGCTCAATTTTTTCAATAGCGACTGCCTTTTTAAATTTGCTAACTCCGTTTCAATTTCTTGCTGAAACATAAAAAAACAATAGCATGCTTAATTTGGAAATATTAATACTTTTGAATGTTGACATGGGAGTTCTAGGACTTCACCATAGATTACAATGACTTTAGACATAAAGACTGTAGAAGTAAAGTGCTTACTTGGAACTAATTTGAGTTTTTTAAGATTCTCATATTATCTATACAGATAAATAAAATAGAAGTGTCTATTTGTAATGCCAAATTAACAGTTTTTATTAAATGCATATGATATTTTATATGGAACTTATAAGAAAATAAAATTTAATTTTCTGTCTGTTTGTTCTGGCTAATCTACAAAACGACTGGACCAATTTTGACGATACTTTCACTGGCAGATAGCTTATGTTATAAAGAGTACCTTGGGCTACTTTTATTATGGAAAATGAATCAGGGTTTAGCACAAAAAATTAAAATCCATGAAATTGTGACCGTAATCTACATACTTAGGGGCACACTTGAGCAAAGCGAGGGGTAAGTTGTTAGTTTACTATATAGCTAAGAAAGTATTGAGAAGAAATCTGCATATCTAAGAAAATATAATTATCATGATATGCATTATATTAGGGCCTAATTGCATCGAGCCCCTTACCTTATAAAATTTTGTCACTTAATAAATATTTAAGACTTTTTAATTCATTTCATGAACTACTATTTAAAAAAATTGTAATACAACGGTTTATTCTGTTATAGTAATGTTTACAATATTAGATATAAATATATTTTTTTTGTTAAATTACAAATAATTATTTGAGTGTTATAATAGAAAGACTAACTTATGATTTACGAATATCATTATATACTGATAAAGTATTAATATAATTTTTGATTAATCATTTTTTTTTAATATTAAAAAATCAATCATTCTATAAATATATTAAAAATTTTAGAAAGTTACAATTATTTACTTGAATTCAAGCAATGTTAATTTATTATCATTTAATTTTATTTTACTCTATACAATTTAATAAAACCTAATGTCATATTTTAATTTTATGCAAAAGCATGCCAAAGGTTATATAAAAAGATTATAAGTATGTTTTCTTAAAAAATCTGAGCAAAATTACTTAATTTTTGCCCATTTTTACTTCACTATACTTGTGAAGTCATTAGTTAACAAAAAACAAACAATAACTGCGAGTCGGTGGTAGAAAGTGAAATCTACCCACAAAATGAAAACTAAAAATATTTATCTCTTAAGCAATATTTGAATTTAAATTAAACATATGTTATAAATTATTGTTTCTTTAATCATATAGAGTTATATACAACGTGCTTATTCTATATAATTAATTCTTTCATCTCAAAATGGTGGTCCTACCTGCATAGCAGCTATATTTTCGTCATCGGAATCTAAATACTGCCGCGGCACTAATTTAGTTTTTCTACTTCGTTTTTTACTGTTTTCTTCCATTTTAATATTTTATAAAACCTTAGAACATCTTAAACCCTCTTAAATTATTTTCTAATCTGTTTCTTTACGACGTACGAGTTTAATAAAACTTGAAATTCTACATGCGATAACTTTGTGAATTATAGCACTATACAATTATAAAAGCTTTTTCCGTTATATTGAGCTTATGTTCTACCCTTTTCTAACAGATGCATAATTAATATTAAAAGTTGAGATAGAACATAACAATAACGACCTCTTTATTTAGTTGGTTAGAATTTTACCAGAGTCGGGTAGTTTGTCAGAAGAAAAGTTTCGTTTTGAAATTGGCTGAATTATATTTAAGTTATGTATAAAAATATTTTTGACAAACAATTGTAATATATATCGACAATTATTAATTTTCAGACTATTTTATTTATATAAAAGTAATTATTAATATAATAATAATAGGCTGTATAATGTGAAGTTTGGATGTAAGTAACTGACGGTAAAAAAATAAGCATAACCTAAAAATGTTTTTATTTAATAAAATTTAAACCTGTACATAAATAAAGTTTAAGGAAAGCAAAATGAGTGTATTTATTAGAAATCTTAGACCAGGCGCGGTTTATAATGCCCAAATATTGTGGCGTTTTAATTCAACAACGGCTGAAACGCTAAAGCAAGGTGAAGATGAAGAGGAATTTAGAGTCCTCGATATTTTACAGAAGAAAGATCGGCAGCAACGGAAAGTAGCCCGTAGAACTGATATTCAACCAGATAGGGCAGACAAAATGTCAACAGACCAGGTCAGTTAATCTTTAAAATATTAATGATATTTGTGTTGTTGAAGTTTTACATGAAGGTAGATCATGAAAAAATCCTTTTAAATTATCTTAATATTGTAGACTAGCATAGCCCGCGGCTCCGCCCGCGTTCAGATGACAAAAAATCAAATTCTTACGTGTTACATATTAGTATACTCTTACAATGCAGTTTTTATATTTTTTCTTATAAATGAGACATTTTCCCGCGGTAAAAAGTATCCTATACGTTGACCCGGATAACCAGCTATCACCATACCAAATTTCATCAAAATCCCTCCAGTTGTTTTTCCGTGATGCGGTAACAGACAGACAGACAGACAAAAATTCTAAAAACTACCGATTCGGCCTCTGCATCGATAATAATGTCTATTTCAATAAGATTTTCCAAATAATATTTAATGTACAGATTCGGCTTAGTTACAATTTTATTATATGTATAGACTAAATTTATAATTGCAGGAGGTAATTTATATTTGATAAAAAATATATGTTTTACTTATTAATTGTTTTTTAATATTTTATAATAAAATATTGAAATACAATTTTGACAATGAATTTTCATTACTATTTTTTTACAAAGTATATTCTAAAATCTAAATATTATTTTGCTTTTACAAACAGCTGACTACACAACTAAAGTTTTATGAATATTCGAATTTACATAGATTTATGTTTTAATACTTTATTATTTTATGTTTTCAGAATTGGGGCAATGTGTGGCCGGGTCCAAGATCGTTTCATCCATCTTCAGTCCCCTTACCAATAAGACAAGGCTATGTACCAAAAGGTCAAGCGCCTCCTGGAAAAAAAGCAAACGCTGAATTAATGAAAATACCAAATTTCCTCCACTTATCACCTCCAGTGATTAAAACCCAATGTGAGGCCATCAAAAAGTTCTGTACAGAGTGGCCAAAATTACTAAATTCTGAAGAAGCTATTGAAAAGCACTACCCAGTAGAAGTTATAACATCTGATTATTGCCATGCAAGCCCTACAATAAGAAATCCTTTAGCTCGTATAGTGACATTAAGGGTCAAATTATCAGACTTAAAGCTCGATAAACGTTCAAAAGACAAATTCTTAAGATTAGTCGGAGACAGATATGATGAGAAAACAGATTTGGTAACATTTACTGCCGATAGATGTCCGGTGAGGAAACAGAATTTGGATTATGTTAATTATTTACTAACGGCTTGCTATCATGAATCCTGGGCAGTTGAAGATTGGGAGCAAGATAAGATTCTTGAAGATATGGAATATTATGACTTTGATATGCATCCATCAAAGAAAAATCTGGTGAACTGGTACTTGAAGAGCCAAAATCAAGAAAATAATTTGACTGACGATGAAATTGTCAAATATGATGCCTCATCTATACCTAATGGAGAAGAATATAAAGAAGCTGTCTCAAAATTATTTAATGATGGAGAAAATGAAGAAACAGTGAAGAATTATGATATTGCCGTGAGAAAGTTGTTAGGGTTACCAGAAAAGAAAGTTGTAACATAATAATTGTATTAGTGAATATATATTTTAGTTTGTATATTGATGTTTAATTTGATAATCTGTTAAATAATAAAAGAGTATTAAAATTGAATGTTTTGGGATGTAATCTATTTCTATACATATAATAAAATAGTAACTTAACAAAATCTGTTCATGAAATATTTCTTTAAAAACAATGACTTATATATTGTGTACAGAATATAAACAAACTAAAACAATCTTCAGAATTTTTCTGTTTGTATGTCTGTACATATATCTGTGTGCCTTTTCAGGCAAAAAGTACTGAAGGGATTTTAACTAAATTATGTGTAGTGATAACTTATGACTTGGGACAACATTTAAGCTATGTTTTGCTATAGGAAAATCTTTCGTTTCCACCTGAAAACACAATAACCGGTCGGGAGAGTCTCTCCCGTGAACATGATTGCTGTAAAGAATTCGAAACGTCGGGAACCAAAAATCAAAATAAATCCGCGAAAACCAAAGAGAATTTAACCACTACGTTTTACGAAAATCTCCGAAAATATAGTTTTATTTTTTATTATATAATCAAAAAGTTTTATTTAAAATCTCAAATATTCACGTAAATCAAAAAATGATTTGCATATTTGAAGTTTTACTTCGTTTGGCACGTTTAGAAAAAATTATGAGATTAAAATATTTACGATGCGCGCGTACAACGATAGCTAAAAAGCAACATGATGAAGTTAGCTGCATTCCTTTTACAAACAGAGAGTTGTGACATACGGGATGAAATCTTTAGCTATTTTTGTTCTGTTACACCAAAAAACACACGTTTTTTTTAAATTCTAATATTTCATTAAGTAAATGTTTCTGAGGGAATATCGTTATATACTTGTTTTTTTTTCCTGCAAACTGTAAATTGATATTTAGTACATTAATATGAATATAATATAAAGTGTACATCTACCTACATATAATAAAACTGTAGAGGTCAAATGTCTGTACATAGAAAAAAATGCTAAAAACCTAGTCAGGGTAGAAAATAAGAAGAAGAGTAAGAAATAGAAGAAATACAGTTTTTTTTTAAATTTGTATTTCTTGTCTGTTTGTATGGGCTAATCTCCGAAACTATAGGACTGATTTAAATGAAATTTTGCATAATGGTACTTTATATCCTCGGTCAACATCTTAGATACTTTTAAACCCGAAAAATTAAAAAGTTCCCGTGGGATAGTTAAAAAACTATAGTTACTTTAGTTACAATGCTGGTGTTCCACAAGGCTGCGTACTGTCTCCTACTCTGTGCATATCAATGACAAGTTGCAAATCAGCAACATTCATTGCTGTGCAGACGATAGCACTGTGGATGCCCTGTACACTGGCCGCGCTAATATTTCTCGGGAATTCGTCGACGAGAGTCGGAACAAACTTGTGTCTGAAGTCGAATCTTTGTTAACCAAAGTCTCGGATTGGGGTCGACTAAACTTAGTCCAATTTCACCCCAAAAAGACACAAGTTTGCGCGTTAACCGCTAAAAAGTCGCCATTTATCGTAGCTCCTCAATTTGAGGACACTCCTCTGTCTCCCACAGCCAGTATCGGAATACTTGGTGTCGACATCTCGAGCAACGTCCAGTTCCGTGGTCAATTGGAAGGTAAGGCCAAACTGGCCTCAAAGAAGCTTGATGTGCTCAGCAAGGCGAGACAGTACTTCACGTCTTAGCGTCTTATTCTTTATAAGGCGCAAATTCAGCCCCACTTGGAGTACTGTTCTCATCTTTGGGCGGGAGCTCCCCAGTACCAGCTACTTCCATTTGACCGCATTCAACGTAGGGCAGCTCGAGTTATCGACGATCAAGCTCTCTCCGATCGGCTTGATCCTTTAGCTCTGCGTAGAGATGTTGGATCACTCTGCATCTTCTACCGCATTTATCACAGGGAGTGTTCCGAGGAATTGTTCGGACTGATCCCGGCTGCTGAATCTCATCATCGGACATCGCGCCAAAATAGTAAATTCCATCCCCACCACCTCGATGTTTAGCGTTCCACAACAGTGCGATTTTTAAGGCATTTTCTGCCCCGCACAACCACTCTGTGGAACCAGCTATCGCCGGCGGTCTTTCCGAACCGCTACGACCTGGCCACCTTCAAGAAGAGAGCGTATACTTTCCTTAAAGGCCGGCAACGCATCTGCAAGCCCTGCGGTGTCGCAGATGTCCATGGGCGGCGGTGATCACTTTCCATCAGGTGAGCCTCCTGCCCGTTTGCCCCCTTAGTCCCATAAAAAAAAAGTTACTTATACATATTAGTACACAAAAATTATTGATTGGATTTTAATGAAATTTTATAAAAATATAGTTCATACATCAGAATAACAAATGGCTACTTTTTATCCCGAAAAATGTTCGGGATATATTTGTATTTGTCTAGAGGTCAACCCGAGCGAAGCGAGGGTGAGCCGCTAGTTTGAAATAAAACTATATTATCGGATTTTCCGCGGATTTATTTTGATCTTGTTCCCGACGTTTGGAATGCTTTACAGCAAGCAAATTCTTCAAATCTATTTGTAAGTGTGTAGGTGCTGTCTGTAACAACTATATACATACATATAATGACCTTTGAGACGTCTAAAACCTCAGTCTCTCCCGTGACCATGTGCGCTGTAAAGCACTCGAAACGTCGGGAATAAAAAATTAAAATAAATTCGCTAAAACATCCGAAAAAAATTTTTAAATGTCAAATATTCCGAAAATCTAAGAAAGTAATATATAGTGTGCGTCCACATAACTTAGTTTAGTGCACTTGTAGGAAAAGGGTCTCACTGTTACTAAAAAAATCGATAAAATCTCGGTCAAATAAGCACCAAAATGTGTTAATGGCTTACCAAATTTATCTACGAAACTAGCATTGCCCGCGGCTCCGCCCGCGTTCAGATGACCAAAAACCTAATTCTTAGGTTTTACATATTAGTACCTATACTCTTACAATGCAGTTTTTGGGTATTTATATTTTTTCTCAGAAATAAGATATTTTCCCGCGGTAAAAAGTAGCCTATATGTTGACCAGGATAACCAGCTATCATCATACTAAATTTCATCAAAATCTGTCCAGTGGTTTTATCGTGATGCGGTAACAGACAGATAGACAGACAGACAGAAAGACAGACAGACAGAAAGACAGACAGACAGAAAGACAGACAGACAGAAATTCTAAAAACTATACATTCGGACTCTGTATCGATATAATGTCTATTTCAATTAGGTTTCCCAAAAAATATTTAATGTACAGATTTGACTTACAATTTTATTATATGTATAGATTATAGTACGCTAAGTATGGAACCCTGAAAACAAATTTCACTCAAAATTAGCCAATTTTGGGAACGGTGGTGTAAAAATAAGTATAATTTTTGATAATGTTGATAGATACTAGGCAGTGGTAGGCCAGTGCTAACGCGCTTGCTTACAAAACCAAGTGAAGCGGGTTCGAACCCAGGACGTGAACGTCTGATATTTTCATGTGCGAATCATTTGCAACATCATATATGTTAATACGATGGAGTAGAAATGTTGTGAAAGATATGTTTGAGGGAACCTAACTTGTAGCTAAAACGCCTGCTCTGAGCCAGCCTCACAGAGTACATTGGTATATACTAGCCAGCCTAAAAGCAATATGTGTTTTGAATATTCAAAACTTCAAATAAAACTGTATTTTTTTAATTTTATTTTAGTATAAAGGCCATTTCATGTTTATAAACTCTTAACCGACTGCGGGCTGCGGCAAAGGCCAAAGGATGTTATATCTTTGACCTGTATGTATGTATGTCATTTATAGTCTCGTTATTACTAAACGGCTTAACCGATTTTGATGAAACATCAAAAGTCGGACATATAAATACATATGTAGCAAGACTCGCAGCAAGTACAAAACATGTAGGTATGTCCTTTGTCAATTTGTTTCCATCTTTTTAGTTCGCTTTTTATGTATAGTCGAGTATTTTTTTTATTTTTGTGATTAAGATATACATACATACATATATATCTTCTTAACGTATAGAATTACATTTCTCAATTTCGCTTCACGTTTATTTTGTCATACTCTAGTAGATTTAATATCCAAAAAGCCATAAAAATGCACTAAAACCGTTAGTTTTGTTTTTCAATTTGCTAGTTTACAAATCAATATGGCGGTTTATGTCAAATTTAAGTTTTCGTTTTATTTTTTTATTAGCTCAATATTTTTTGTTAAAGGTGGTGACGATTTTAAAACCTGTAAGTTTTTTTTAATTTCATATTTATGGTAAAAACAAAAAAATATATAATAAAATCAGTTGTTTTTTTTTTCAGATTACAAAAAGCTCTGTAGGTATTAATTAATGGTTTAACATAATTTTATTTTTCCTTACACTTTTCTTTTCTGAAGCTCAAAAATAATATAGATTTAGAAAATTCGTTTAGAATTGTTCAGTAATGTGAGCTTATTATACTTTTAAATGCTCACTCAGGGATTAGGTACTTTGAGGGATTACCACATCATTAGATGTGTTAGTATATTTTTTTAAAGGTGTTATATTGTTTTATTTTCTGTACCTAATAGTAAAAAGTTACTTATAATAAATAATAAAATAAGTTAGTAGCCTACTGTTTATTTGTGTACTAGCGATTCACTCTCCCTCCGCTCGGGTTCGTCCCTAGATACGTTTTAACGGTTAGTAAAATTTCTCAGATATGAGATATTTTCCCGCAGTAAAATGTATCTTATAAGTTGACCCGGATAACCGGCTATCATAATACCAAATTTAATCGAAATCTGTCCAGTAGTTTTGTCCAGACAGACAGACAGACAAAAAACTATAGATTCAGCCAGCTGTAACGACAATAATGACTATTTTAATAAGATTTTCAAAAAATATATATAATGTATAGATTCGACTCAGAATTTTATTATATACTTATACATAGAAGATAATCCGCTTTAAAGGGACGCAGCGTGATGTTAGACGACCCTTAAGTTTCCTCAACATAAAGGCTATAATATAAACTAAAAAAAAAAAATTATAGTTCAAGTAGATAGTTCTAGAGAATAATACATTCAACTAAACATAAAAATAAATAAAACTTATGTTTTTAATGTTATATTAGCGCTATTATTATAGATATAAATAAAATAAATTGTATTTGACAGCTAATTTCAAAAGAGAACATTACGTGTACTGGCCGAATGGAACAATACCGTTTCATATTAATCAAGAGCATTTTGGTGAGTAAAAAAAATAGTTATAATTAGATATTTAAAAAGTTTTAATTTTCGATACTTAAGCACCAGGTTCTTTTTTAACGTTGGGAAATGCATTTATACATACCACCTGCATACATACGGATTACGTGGGATTCACGGGCTAGAGAAGCCAGTACTACCCACTAAAATCCAACAGAACCTGGGAAGTCGCAGGACCGCTTACGCACTCAACCGCGACGCCACAACGAGATAGAGTACCATGTCCTGAACTTACACTATGCCACCATTATTTTATTATTAGAGTAAAAACAAAAATATAAAATATACTAGCATTGCCCGCGGCTCCGCCCGCGTTCAGATGACCAAAAACTAAATTCTTAGGTATTACATATTACTATACTCATATTTACATACACATACATTGCAGTTTTTGTATTTTTTCTCAGAAATGAGATATTTTCCGCGGTAAAAAGAATCCTATATGTTGACCCCGATAACCAGCTATCACTATCACCATACTAAATTTCATCAAAATCCCTACAGTGATTTTTCCGTGATGCGGTAACAGACAGACAGACAAAAATTCTAAAAACTATTGATTCGGCCTCTGTATCGAAAATAATGTCTATTTTAATAAGATTTTCCAAAAAATATTTAATGTGCTGATTCGGCTCAGAATTTTGTTATATGTATATGTTATAGTCAAACTCCGAAGCTCCGGCGCTCCTAGGTTGGACTGGTCAATCCTCAGGTCAGACTGAATGACTTAGTCAAAGCCCAAACAAATGTAAATTTTCGGCCTTTGACTAAACAATTTTCGTCAAACCTGGGAGAGACTAATTTGGTCAGGCAAACGTCAAAACACAATTATATTAAATCGGGGTTTGACGAGTCAAACTCCGATATAGGTATGAAGTGTCTTATCTTCGTATATTTGGAAGCATTTTATCATTTAAGCAGCTTTCAAGTCTTAAGAACCGCTTAACTCTGCCAGTTCTGACACCTGATTGGTCAGCTTACGTGATTTTCACTTTTATATTTGAGATGCTTTGAGAGAATGCCGTGTGGCATTAGGCCCGCCTTTTGTACGATGTGCAATAAAGTATAAAATAAATAAATAAATGCTTTGGAATATACGGAGGTTAGTTTGTAAGATTAGGTATAAAAAAATAACATTTTTAAAATTTTGATGTTACGGACTCTTCATGTATTATTTTCAACATTCATTTGTTATAAATCTAATGATTTACATCTTAAGTTTCATCTGAACGGGTGCGCAACTTAGACCAGCTTGGCAACTGGCTTCCCTCAAGGCGGCGGATCCCAATGTTCATTGTTTTAATAATTTCTTAAGTAATTAACGACGAGTCCCTTTTTAGGCTGACTCTTTTTCTTGTGACACGTTTCACATAAATCCAAGTAATAGTTTACGCACTCTTTTGTGACATTTGCATACTTTTTATTTAAAGCTTTCAATGTGAGATCTCTACCACCATGACCACATTCCTGATGAGCACATTCAATCACATCGAATAACTCGTCATCCGTAACGTAGTATTGTATATTTTTTGTATCTGAATTGTCAGGCTTAATCAATTTTTTTTCGTCCCCAAAACAAACAACATCGTAGCGTCTGAGACGGCGATACTGCAAAGACGTTTTCTTTTTAGCTACTTTAGCGGATTCTACCTCACTGATAATCTGCTCATACAACTGTTTGTTTTTTATGTGAAATGAACACTTATTTTTATTCAAATTAGAAATTTTCTCTTTAAACTTTACTTTTAAAGCTTCTTTATCCACGTTTTTAGTAACAACAACACCGTTTGATTCACTCATCTTCAATTTTACACAATTACACGCCCGCACGCTCAATGAACGAACATGAAATGACAAAACAATCGGTCGGAACACCGCGAGAGACATTATGAACCTGTTTAAACATGTTCAGATCAACGTTTGACCGAGTTTTGCAGTCGCTTCTAGGATTGACTAGGCCAAAACCGAAACAGAATAATTTACTTTCGACGTTTGACTGAAAAGTTAGGAGCTCCTGGGTTTGACTAAAAATACTTCAGGCAAAGGGCGAAATTGAAATGTATTTCGGGGATTGCCTGATGGCTTTGGCCAAACCTAGGATAAACCAGTCCTTCCGCGAAGAGACTGTGTATCGGACTTTGACTATAACATATAGATGAAATAATAAATATTATAATGGTCTTTCAATCCTTTGTTTATCTGTTTCTACAATTATGCAGATCGCATTTAGAGAAAAAAACTAAAATACTTTTTATTGTACATCATTACCAACATACAGAACAAAGAGTATAAAAAAATAAAAATGGCACAATTATCGACCTTATCGCTAACTTAGCGATTTCGTTAACCTTAGATATATATAAACTTTTGAAGAAGATTCTGTATCCTCCAAACTATACATCCGTGTATTATATAGAATACTTTTTATCCTGCCAATAGATTTTTATCCTAGAGAAAAAAATAAAACATGTATAGATTGGTGCTTCCCAAGCAAACGTTTTTGTAAAGACTGACTTCTATCTTATAAAAAACCATGGCAATAGCTAATAACTTTAGCCCTATCAAGCTGGCAGTTTGCAGGATTAATCGAAATATTATATAAAAATAGTTGCTAATTACTTGCTAAAACCCCGATTTTGTTGCTTAATTCAGTGTAATAAAAAAATAATTGCCAAAATGAAATCTTCTCCATAAGCAAGTTGTAAAATTGTTAGTTTTATACATACCTATTTTCGTAGAAACAAATACCTATCTTTTCACACAGTACCAGTAGGTCGATGTGATTTTTTGCGTAGACTTTATGGCTATAAGGTTACTTTTTATGTCTCTACATCAAGTAAATTGTTATTATTGTATAATACTTTAAAGATTAACTTTATTTTATTATAGTAAAATGCAAATTAACATATTATTGAAAAAGGAAAATTTTATTATGTAGGTATGAGTATTGCATTCAGCCCTTTTTAATGTCCCGCTGCTGGGGGTGGGCTTCCCAATATTCGGGCAATCAGGCTATAGTCCACACTAGCCAATTGCGAGTTAGCGGACTTCACAGGTCTTTTAAACTTGGTAGGTTCTCTCAGACATGCAGGTTTCCTCTCGATCATTTCCTTCATCGTAAGACAAGCGATTATCATGTTGAAAATGATTTGCACATGAGAATATCGGAGGTGCAAGACCCGGGACTTGAACCCCCTTCACTCGGTTTCCCAAGCAAGCGCGTAACCACTGAGCTACCACTGCCTTTGCCACGGGTAAGTAAGGTACCTAAATCTTTTTAATTTTTTTTACAGATAAAGAACAATCGCTGGCAATAATGTCATCTCTCTCGTACTTCGCATTCAAAACTTGCTTACAATTCAAACCGGTTCTGGAGGATCCTTATCAAAATCATGTCATGGTGTTTGAAAATCCCCGTGGGATCAGGAAATGTACCATCGGTGTTGAAGGCCATGGTAGAGAGGGGCCTCATGTAAGTTTTTCTACAGCCAAGCCCAAAGAAAATTGATCGTTATATTTATGTACATATATACGTCCGAACTTACATATGTTCCCTCGTCCTACAATATTATAAATGCGAAAGTTTGTGAGGATGTATGGATGTCTAGATGTATACATGTATGGATGTTTGTTACTTTTTTACGCAAAAAGTACTGAATGGATTTTAATGAAACTTTACAATAATATAGCTCATACATCAGAATAACACACAGGCCACTTTTTATCTTGGAAAAATGTACGGTTCCCGCGAGATAGATTTGTTTTTGTTTTTCTTGCTAGTATTTAATAAATGGTTTAAAAACGATTTTAATGAATTATACGTCGTAAAATTCTTGATAACGCGCGTCATAAATATATGGAAGTTATTAAAAATCAAAATGGTAGATTTTACGGACGCATTTAAGACTTGAAAATTGTTTTTGTCACTTTTCGAGTAGGGTAATAAAATAAAGATAAAGAGGCGATTACAAAAATGTAAACAACTTATGTTTAAAATACTTTAGGTTAACAAATTGTTAAATAAAAGTAAAAATAACTTACCAAAACTAAAAAGCTGTAAATACAGAAATATTAAAAAAAAATATAAAAAAAACCCGACAGCGTAAAATGCGAAATAGCGACACGTAGCAAGACTCACAATAAGGAGTGATTACAAAAAAAAGGATTTTTTTGTAAGTTACTTATATTATCTCTATTTATATTTGTAGGTAATCTCATTATTGTTATTTTGGTAGTTAAAATAATAAATTAGCATAATTTTTATCTTTTTGCGGCCAACCACTGAACTCCTTTTGTTAAATTAGGCGCACAGATTTCTAAAAAACGACAGGTCATTAATTCTAGAGCATGATTTCTTTCTTAAAAGATCAGGAATCGAACTTGCTATATTTTAAGGATAATGGTGGACTCGAGTGGTGTGAAGTTAAAGTATATTTTTTTAAACTAGATATTAGATATACTCTATTCTTATTTTATTCCGCTACAAAGAAAGGGAATTAAATTCATAAATATACTCGTATAACGGTTTCCAAAAATATTAACCTTTAACTAGAATCGAACTCGCATCTTCGTTACAATCGTAGTAGTCAGCCCTTTTTAAACGGGCCTCTTTTTGCTAAAAGGGGGTTCAGTCAGGTCATCCCTCACGCGGGCCAAGTGCCGGCGGACTGAGCATGTCTGCAGACAACTTGCTAGGTTCTCTCAGACATGCAGGTTTCCTCACGATGTTCTCCTTCACCGTAAGACAAGTGGTCATCATGTTGGAATAGTAAACCTATATAATGTTTACAGCGCATAACCATCGGCTACGACTGTCTAAAACCTCCCAATATAGAAATGCTGGTTATGAAGGCCCTGGGATTCCCCTTTGAGCACAACAGAGCGAGTCGGGACATTTTTATTGATGTACAGTATGAAAATATTGAGCCAGGTAAGTTTATTTTCCTTTGTTTTGGTAAAAAGGTGGATTAGTATGTGGTAATCTCTTATTTCCCTCCCTATCCTTCCCTATTGAAGGGAGGCCCGTGTCCGGCAGTGGGACGTTAAAAAGGGCTGGATACAACCCCTTATTTGCAACCGGGGTTGCAACATCCAGGGCCCCTACATGGTAGGGGCCCCCATAATTATAAGGGGTCCCCAATTATAATATTTAATGAAAATAATGGTTAGCAAAAAAAAAGTATTTAAGTTTATTTGCAATACATGTAAATAGAAATAAACCACCTTTAACAGTGTAAATGTTTTGTTTGAATGTAGTGTGAGGTTAAGCAGTAAGATAACCGTTGTGTACAAGACGATTATTAAGTGTCATTCCTAGCAAATATCAATGTATATTAAATATGTGTGTAAAAAAGGTTTTTTTTTATCTTTGAGTAAAAGAAGGGCTTATTCACGAACTCAATATTTTAAAAAATACAAAAATTCAGCCAAAGTACTTACCTAAAATTAACAAATATTGTAAGGTGGGTACTCTGGAGCCATTTTTGTATTTTTGAAAATCATTTTATGATTTTGTAAGTAAGTGCTGCCTGTAACAATTATATATATCCTTAGTATCTCCTGTGACGATGTTCGCTGAAAAGCATTCGAATCGTCGGGAACCAAAAATCAAAATAAATCCGCGAAAAAATTCGGAAAGATAGTTTTATTCAAAATGTCAAATTTCGCGTAAATCAAAACTATTAATTCTTTTATTTAAAAGGCGGTTAGAAATAAATGTATAACTCTTATGGTAAGATAGAGCAGGGGTATAGTTGGTATCCTACGTGGGGGGAATTCCTATAGTAGAATGTACCTTTTTTACCAGTATTTCTTGGTCAATTAAGATCAAAATCGGTACATCAAATTGGCAATAATCTTAACTTAACCTACCTTTACGTTTTAGTTTGTCATATCGGACTTATTTCTCTTGCTGCTTTTGTTTTACCAATGAATTATGAAATTGTATATTCTAAAATTCAAATGTTGACGTCAGAATTTTCGAATATCGTAAAAAAAATTATCGTCCGAACATATATTTCCAAGCTATAGCAATAATAAGTTGCTGTAAGCATCAGAATCTTAGGATGGCAACAATTTATGTCGCAGTCAAATCTCATATATTACACGTATCTATTATGAAAATTATTCATATCGAATGATTTCGATATGGTATTATTACGAAATCCTTTATAAATATATGACTTATTACCGTAACTCCTTGGTTACATTGCGTGCTATATTATCGTTATCAGATAACACATGACTGATAAACACAATGCACAAAAGGAAATAACACAATTATTGTTCAATTTAAATTCGATCAGCAGTCCCTTATCAGCGCTCAAGCTGTCAACATGTCGCCGGACTTTAAACTTTACGAAAATATATTCATTGAAGCTAATTTACAATCGACCGATTACGATGGTGTTGTTGTTGTTTTGTATCCCCAAGAAATGAATGTTGCGTTGCCGACGCACATTTGCAGTTTCATAGAGAGAATTTCAAATTTGGATAAACATGTGCATAAAGTTGCTACGGTTTGGAATTGTGATTATGTATCAGGAGGTCGTCTGATACTTTCACCGACTGGGAAAATTTCGCCATACCATGATGTGAAGGTTATTAGAGATGCAGCGAAGAAAGGTATGATGAGGGCTTTGGATGCTGGAATGAAAAAGCCATTGCTTGTGGTTGAAAACGTTGTGGATTTCCCTGATGGGCAGTTGGTATGTATTCTGGGAGCTTTGGAGGCTTTTTATAAGCCTTTACAAATAAGAGAAAGACAGGATTCGAAGAACTTCATCAGAATTGGTTTACATACTGAAGAAAAAGAGGCTGAACCTTTTGAGAGGATCGTCAGGAACGCTATAGCGTTAGAAAAATCAAGAATTTTTACTAGAGATATAGCTGGTGGTGATCCAGAGAGAATGGCGCCAGCGAAGATTGTGGAATACATCAAAGATTCTTTCGCTGAAGACAGTAATATAACAGTTAAAGTTATTGATAATGAACATTTAATTGCAGAGGAATATCCGCTTTTAGCAGCTGTTTCTAGAGCTGCTAATCGTGTGGATAGGCACAAAGCTAGAGTGGTTGAAATTGAGTATACTTCATCCAATCCCAGTAGAGTGTCAGAAACATTAATGTTAGTCGGTAAAGGTGTGACTTATGATACCGGCGGCGCTGATATTAAAATTTCTGGCAGAATGGCGGGAATGTCTCGTGATAAAGCGGGAGCAGCTGCCGTGGCTGGTTTTCTAAAAGCCTGTGCAATTTTAAAGCCTCCACACTTAAAAGTGAAAGGTGTTTTATGTTTGTGTAGAAACTCAGTTGGTTCTGATTCTTATGTATCTGACGAATTGATTATTTCTCGAAGCGGAAAATCTGTTAGAGTGACCAACACTGACGCAGAAGGTCGTTTAGCGATGGCAGATTCAGTATTTAAGTTGGCCGAAATTGCTGGGAAAGAGCTTAACCCACATATTTATACCATAGCCACCTTAACTGGACACGCTCGCGCCTGCTACGGAAGCTACACAGCTACAATGGATAACCACAGTGCCAAAGCTACCAACCATTCAGGGAGACTTCAGTTCAGTGGCTCTCGGGTGGGAGAAGGTTTTGAGGTATCGACAGTCAGATCTGAGGATTTAGCTGTCAATGCTGGCAAATGCAATGGTGATGACTTGGTCCAGTACGATACGGATGCGAAATATCGTAATCATCAGCTAGCTGCCGGTTTCCTGATCAAAGTTGGTGGTTTAGAAGATAAGAATATAAAATACACTCATCTAGACATTGCCGGAGCTGCAGGAATGCCTCCAGAAGACCCGACAGCTGTGCCTGTACTGTCTTTGTGTCATTTGCATAAGGTTTTACTGTAAAATTAATAATATATGCTTAAAGATCACATGTAATTTTGTATTTTGGAGGAAAAAAAATAGTATAAGTACACAATTTCGATAAATTATAGTCTGTTACATAATATCGAAGTTAATGTAAAGTTTAATAAATATACTCATATCATCATAGGCTGTTAATGTAAAAGTGTACTAAGCTAAAAAAATCGATGTAAATGGAGCTGCAAAGCCTACTTATGTACTAAATTTCATCAAAATCCGTCCAGCCGTTTCAGCATAACGAACAAACAAACATACATACATAAAATTTCGCTAGCTATAAACATTACAAAACATAATATTGAATTTAAAACTTTGACCCCAATACAATTTTATTATATTTGTTGATAACAATGTTAACTGGTGGAGGGTAATTATTGTGATGTGACCGATGATTCTTTGTTTTATTTCACACCTATGTTTATTTTTATTTATGTTACTTGTGGACGCGGCAGTGCTCAAGCCAAGTTCATTAGTTAACGTTTTATATTACTGATGTTAAAATAAATAATCTGTGAATTTTGTTTGTTGTTTGGTATTTTATTTCTTTGATAATAATTTTAGCTTATAAGAATTATACTGTCTCACTTGTTTTTTCTTTTTCGTAAATTTTTATTTGTCCCGTAATTTCTTTCAAATGGAGCCGTCTTTTTTATGATTCTATATATTCGTTTAACAAATTTCATCAAATAACGTTTAGCTATATCTCCCAATAAAAGGATAAAAAATAAGCAGTCATGAGGACTGCCGACAGAAGTGAAAACTTAAAACTATAAACAAACAGCTGTTATTTTTGGATATTCAAATTAGTTGTTTGATCTTAATAAGTATTATAATTAAATATAGCAATATTATTTATTTAATTTTAGCTGTTATTATTATAAATATTACAATTTTTAAAAAATCTTTATGAATTACTTATATTATTTAGTGTTGCTATTATTATATTATGCATAACCATAAAGAATATTAAAAAATATTAATTATTTATCTACGCAATATTACCTATTGTTTTATATGAAATTTAAAAAAGTTAAAATATTAATTTATATTGCTATTATTTAAAGTTAAAATATTAAGCAACACTATTGCTACCTTTATAGACAATAAATATTAATCATCATGCGATTCACACAGTATGAACTAACTACATCTACTGCAGAAGTAGATTAAGTTAGTACATACTGTGTGGATCGCAATAATAACAGTAATTCTGATTATTATTTTTTGTTATTTGAGTAATCGGTGAACATACATAAAAAACCGACGAATTGAGAGCCTCGTTGTTTTTGGAAGTCGGTTAGAAAACGTCGATTTTAAAAAATATCGCATAACTTACACAGAAACATTCAAATTGAATATCTCTTTCTTTTTTAAGGTTAAAATATTTAATCTATACTAATATTATAAAGAGGTAAAGTAGGGGGTAATCTCTGGATATACTGAACCGATTTAGATGAAATTTAGTAAGATGATAGTTTGAGACCCTGGGAAAGACACAGGATCTTTTTATCCCGGAAATCATCCCTTAGGGGGGTGAAAATGGTGATGAAGGTTTGTATTGGAAAGCAAGCCAGGGACGAAACCTAGTGAAGCAAGGGTGAGTCGCTAGTACCTGTTTATATAATTTTTGCCAAGTAGATCCCAATCTATGTCTAAGCCAGCAATTATGCTATCAATCATTTTTATCAAAGACCCTGGCTTCTCCTTTTGCTACTGTTAGATAAGACAATAATCACTAATAATGATCCGTGAATTTATCTATTGTTATTATTATTATTAAAAAGATAATTCCGACGAATTGAGAACCTCCTCCTTTTTGTAAGTTGGTTAAAAAGAGGCGGCCAAGTTCAAGTTAGACTTGTATGTTAGGATTCTGTATCATAAGTACAAAACAGTACTCGTATTCAGTACTTTTTTTTTAATGTCCCACTGCTGGGCATGGATCTCTCTTCAATACAAGAGGGATCCGGCCACAGTCCCCCACTCCGGCCAAGTGCGGGCGGACTGAGCATGTCTACAGAAAACTTGCTAGGTTCTCTCAGACATGCAACTTTCCTCACGATGTTTTTCTTCACCGTAAGACAAGTGGTGATGTTGGAAATGATAAACGCACATAAAAATATTAGCGGTGCGAGGATCGTGATATGAACTCACTTTACTTGATTTACAAAGCAAGCGTGTTGCTACTGTCTTTGGCAACAAAACTAGTGATAACCAATGATTAAAATTTATAAAAATAATGATTACATATATTTGTGTTATATAATAATGATTACATATATACCAGTTATAAATAAGATGTGTTTTTTCTATAAGAGTTAAAGTAATGAATAGGGTTATATAGATGGGACAGAAAAAAACGTCTTTTTTACATTTCATCATTAAAAATATAGCGTAATAGCTGATAAGGTGGAAGTTGATTTTATATGAAACTATCACTGATGGATAGAGAATTCGTTAGCAATTTATGTAGACTTCTTTTAAAAGCCGAAGAAAATGAGACAGGCAGGAGGGTTTAATTTAAGGCTATCTATTATATTTTTAAGGTTCCATCCCATTATTTACAAAAGAGAAGCGGTTGCCTTATGAATTGCGAATATTACCATATGATGTGAACAGCGTAATGCACTTCGGTGAGAGGGATTACAGCAAAAATGGTCATAGAACTATTATTTTCAAGGTAAAGTTACTAAAATTATTTTGACTTTGAAAGTGGCTCTATACGTTAGGGTATGCCCGTTAATCTATACTAATATTATAAAGACGTAAAGTTTGTGAGTTTGTGAGATTATGAGTTTGTGACGTTGTAGGGGGTAATCTCTGGATCTACTAAATGGATTTAGATGGAATTTGGTAAGAAGATAGTTTGAGCCCTTGGGAAGGACATAGGATACTTTTTATCCCGGAAATCATTCCTTAAGGGGATGAAAATAGGGATAAAAGGTTGTATAGGAAATCATACTTTGTATAGGGATGAGGGAACGTGAGTCGCTAGTATTTGTTTGTTCCTAGAGACGTTTAACGGCAAGTTGAAATACAAATCTTTGAATTTCTCGGCTTTTCTGTACTATAATATACATGTATTAATTATACATACAAACCTTTCTCTCGAATCACTATCTATTGCTGAAAACTGCATTAAAATCCGTTGAGTAGTTTAAAAGATCTAAGCGAACAGACAGCGGAAGCGACTTCATTTTATACTATGTAAAGATAATCAAACACGCTTCGGTTTACTTCTGGAATATAACTTTACAAGCAAAATTTTTCAGACATCCCCCAGCGTGTATGCTTAATTTTAATAATATTTTTCTGTAAAATAATATTTTATAAGAACAGACGTCACTCACGTGCCATTTTAATATGACTCTTTTTTTCTGAAAAAAAAAAAATATTTCATGCTTTCACCGCATGTGTGCAATGTGCATGCCTGGCCATAGTATGCCGAACGTAGACATATCAAATACAAAATTTCAAGATGTAAATTTTTATTTTATATATTTTGTATTTTTTCTTATATTGTTAACCACACATGTTTCATGGTTAATAGATATTTTTATACAAAAATTTTCTTTTGCTTAGAATACAGACACGAAACAACAGCGAATAGGCCTTTCAAAAACAGATATTAGAAAGATCGAAATAATTTACGGACCCGAATGCCAGAGAAGGGATCGTCAAGCAAAAATCGATATTTGCAAAAACTACCCGGTTCTAAGGAAGAAACGGGAAATCAATATCACTTTAGGAAGTTTGAGAGTTAATCGAAATATAACCGCTCCACCAGAAAACTTAACAGATGAACTAACACAAAGCATAAACGAATTAGGCATAACTAATGAATTACAGAAGCTAATTGAACATGTTCATAAAATAACTGCAGTCGCTTTGGAAAACGCAAGAATAAAACACTGTAATAACTCAAAAGAGAAAACTGATAATAATAATGAAAATAACGCTTTTAATCCTACAAATGATATTACAAAAGTGATAGAAGTTGTAAAAGATTATGCCGAATCTGTAATTAAAAAGGTGGAAACTAATTTAACGGCTTTCTGTGATAGCACAGACTCTATAGATATATTTCATATAGGACGTTGTAGGGGAAACGAAAATAGATGCCCAGGCTATTATAAATCTACAAAATCCGATCAAATGAAATATTCAACACAGTATAGACCCTATATCGTACGATCAACAAGACATGATGGTAAAGGGCATAAACTCCAATATGATGATCACTGGTTAAGAACGAACAATAATAGTGAGACAAGAGGGAAGAGAGATTTGACAGGTGTCATAGATAATCAATCTACAGATAAAATAGATGTTGCAAATGTAACAACATCGGGCAATGCGAGTAAGGAGGTTTTAAGGATGGGTACAACAATTATAAGTCAAAACATTGTTAATTTCGCGTCATTGCGGAGGTTTGGGAATCGAAAACATAGGTAATTTTCTGCCAGTTTTAGTGTTTGTTTACTTGTTGAATTAAATAATGTCAATGTGTAAAAATGAGTTTGAATTCTAAATAGTTTCTGTTGAAAATTATGTATTTCTAATTAAAGCGAGTAGAACTTTAACAAAACTTTACTGATTAAAGTCATGAAACAGTGTACAATTTTCTTTATTTACGATTTCTATGTTGAAAATAAATAATAATATATATCTTATGATGAAAACATAAATCTCATAGGTTAACAAATAAACGGTATAAACTAATGTCTGTCGGTCTGTTCAGAGAAAATGGTTTTTTCTTCTGAATTTATTAGATTTATGCCAGATTGACAATACTCCGACACTCCTAAGGCTATTTAGATAAAAATACAAGATGAAAAATCTCATTTTTTATAGTTTACGAAAAAATATAACGTCCTCTTAAAGTCTTAAATTTACGATTTGTTAAAACAATGTACGCAATATTATTTTATAACTATATTCTCCACAATCCATCAAAACTGGTACTTGACCAAATTTCTACCAAGAAATTTCTTAATGTTTAAAATGACCAAAAATAATTGGTTTTTGTTTTTTATTACAAATCATGAACGACGGATGCGGTCGCGGGTTCGAATCCCGTTGGGGGCATTCATTTGTGTGATGAGCACGAATGTTTGTACTCCAGCCGTGGGTTTTTATATTAAAAATATGTATTTAAAGTTATATGTGTGTAGTGTATCAACTATCTGGTATCCATAACACAAACCTCGTAGCTTACCATGGAACTTATTTATATTTTAATAGTTTTTTTTTAAAAGAAAATAATATTAAATATATTTTTTTCTTTAAGTTTAAATCGAAATAAGGAACGTCAACCAGAAATAGGAGACGAATCTTATGTATCATTGGAAAAACCTAAAAACAGTAAAAAAATCGAGAAAAATCGTCCTGAATTTATCAACGTAGAATTAAACCCACAAAAATTAACGATAAACCGCCAAGAAAGATATAGAGAGAGAAAAGAGAAGGAGAGAAATATAAAAGATCGGGAAGAAGTAATACATTTAGCAGATGGCATTGTGGACACGTGAGTAAATTTTTTGCCAAGTCCTTTCTTTATTCGTCTTAAGTTTCTTTAAAATCGGCCAAGTGATGTATTTATTTAGTCAAGTTCACACAACAATGCGACATATAATAAAAAAATATAAAATATTAAAAAGAAATACATTGTAGACCATATTAGCTCTAACTAGACATAGGCTAGTTCAACATGATATTAAAAAATCATTCTTCTATTATCCTACACCTAAATAAAAACAAATCAAATAGTATAAAAATAGTGCAAAGGAAAAAAATACCAAAAAAATCCTAATGACAACTAAGTGATTTTGAAGGTTGGTGCGGACAAACAGACATATAATATTAGCCCCGCTGAGTTTCTTTCACCAGTTCTTCTCAGGTCTGAGCCTTCTTCTTTCCGAACTGGTAGTAGACTCATGACGTTCAGTAAAAATTGTAATAATTTAATGCTATATTTTGAATTTGAATATTATTTAGGTTCTGTAACCAAGATTTTCATTTCACGGAACTATGTAGTTACATTGTATCATTGAGAACTAATTTAATTTTCTTCACAAATTTTTACAAACGTACATAGATTATAGGTTTTACCAGTGGCAGTTTTCGGAACTAACAAGTAGAAAATGAGTGATTAGGGAAAAATCCTTTCTCTGTACTTTGTTACTACTATGTCTGCATTAAAAATGGAAAAATAAAAACTTAAAAAAAACCAACTTCAAAAAAAACATTAAAAAGTAAAAAATAACTGATTGGTAGTTTTCTTCTACTATAAATACCTAATCAGATATTTTCGAATTCGGTGTACTTTTTGTTATGCAACGGCTGGCACCGTCTTCGAAAATATCTGATTAGGAAAATATCTATAGTAAACTAGCGACTCACATTCGCTTTGCTCGGGTTCGTCCCTACGTACGTTTTAACTTTTAGTATAGATTTCTCAGAAATGAGATATTTTCCCGCAGTAAAAAGTATCCTATATGTTGACCCAGATAACCAGCTTTCATCAAACCAAATTTCATCAAAATCTATCCAGTGGTTTTCCCTTAATGCGGTAACAGACAGACAAAAATTCTAAAAACTATAGATTCGGCGTCTGTATCGATAATAACGTCTATTTCAACAAAATTTTCCAAAAAATATTTAATGTACAGATTCGGCTTAGTTACAATTTTTTCTATATGTATAGATGAAAGCTACCAATCAGTTATTTTTAACTTTTTAGTGTTTTTTGAAGTCGGTTTAATTTTTTTAAATTAGCTGTAGGAATTTCGTATAATTTGTTTTTGATATCTTTTTATCTGTAAAGGCAACCACAGATATATTTTAGTGGGTTTTACAAATACTTTATCGTCGAAGTTATTACTTCAATTTGTAAATAAAGGATTTCGTCACCATAGTAGGGAAGCCTAAGAGGGGATTTCGGGATTCACTCAAACGCGGCAGGTTAACATAAAGGGGGGATACCTTGCACTCTGTCGAGTACCTCCGCCATATATACATATGTCCTCTGTATAAATAAACACATTACCCTCCTTTCCGTTGCGCAGTCGGGTAATAAAGTCGCGTCTAGGGCAGCCGATCAAAATATTAAAAAAATATTTTGATAAGTTAGAAATATTTGAGCGCGTTATGCGTCTTGGGCTCCAATACATATAAGTTAGCATTCAAAGTCCTAGAAAGCAAAAATATGCCGCCCCCGGGTGGGCTCGAACCACCAACCTTTCGGTTAACAGCCGAACGCGCTAGCCGATTGCGCCACGGAGGCGTTATCACAAATTATGATAAAAATAGGGCAATATACAAACCTAAGTCAGACAATAAATCCATACTTAATATTATAAATGTGAAAGTGTGTTTGTTTGTTTGTCTTTCTTCCACGTCGAAACGGCTTAGCGGATTATAGCAGATAGTTGGAGGGCTGGAGAGTAACATAGGCTATTTTTTACTGCAGGAGATTATCTCTTTCCCACGGGAGAACACGCTATAATACAATCCAAAAAAATATTTATGATCAGAATTACTTGAAACTTGCTATTAATACTCCTCAATATAATTAATTAAATACGTGTTTTAGCATTTTTCGAAATTCATACCATTAGGGGGTAAAATAGGGGATGAAAGTTGGTATGAAACCTACCTTTTTAGAGTTTTGTTTGTAGTTTTAGCGCGAGCGAAGCCGCGGGTTCTGCTAGTTAATTGTAATTTATATATTTATGCAAAATTAATAAGGCTGTTGCTATTCGTACTCAAAATAAGGACGAATAAAAAATAATTATTTTTTATTTTCCCTAAGTTATTTAGCCACAGTAAAAATTATTCTATATGTTGATCCGAATAACCAGCTATCATCATACCAAATTTCATCAAAATCGGTCCAGTGGTTTTTCTCGTGATGCGTCTCCAGACAGACAACAACAGAGTTTTTAGAATTTTTCTTTTTTATTAATTATCTGTCTAGACAGACAAAAATTCTAAAAACTATAGATTCGGCCTCTGTATCGATCTAAAATATAGAATTTAAATATATGTATAGATAATTAAATCGAAAATTATAGGCTGGGACCAAAAAGGCAAAAGATTCATAAAGAAAGAAAAAGGACGAGCGTGCCAGAGACAGTAGAACTCTCGAAAAAGAACAAGGAGTTTTACGCTGAACGAGTGTGGCCTGATGGCATCGTGCGATATGTTATAACAGAAGATTCAAATTGTGAGTTTCTTTGTATTTTTCAAGCATTAGTTCTCTTCTCCTTGAAAGAGAGATAGCAAAATAGTAGTTTATTTTTAATTTTATTTTTCCTCTTGCTTGTTTCCCCATACAAACTTTCATCCCCATTTTAACACCCTTAATGGATGATTTCCAGGATGAAAAGTGTGTGATGAAAAAAGCTATTATTACTATAGTAATATTTATTGTTATAGATGACTTACAAGGCATGCGTGCGCGTTTGGCGGAAGTCAATAATATATTGAAGAAAAAAACCTGCGTTCGAATAGAGGAAGTGTCGGAGAGAGAGGGACAGAAGTATGAGGACTATCTCGTTCTAGACGGAAGCGCTGATTACGTCACAGGCACAGTGGGAGGAAAGCAGGTAAGTTCTAACTTTTTAATTCAATAGTGAAATTTTTAATGACTATATTACATATATTGTATAAGTTTAAATATACCTCTCTCATGAGATACATATATTATAATTTACTAGACAAAAATCTAACCCAAAGGAACCGTGCCTTTTTTTGGATAAAAAGTGACATACATACGTATGTGCTATTCCCTAATTCGGTGTTCGTCCCTAGTTACGTTTTAACGTTTAGTATAGACTTCTCAGGGATTAGATATTTTCCCGCAGTAAAAAGTATCCTATATATTGATCCGGATAACCAGATCTATCATCATACCAAATTTCATCAAAATCTCTCCAGCGGTTTTTTCGTGATGCGGTTACAGATAGACAGACCAAAAAATCTAAAAACTGTAGATTCGGCCTCTGTATCGATAATAATGACTATTTCAATAAGATTTTCGAAAAATATTTAATGTACAAATTCGACTCAGTTATTTTAATATATGTATAGACTAGCATTGCCCGCGGCTCCGCCCGCGTTCAGATGACCAAAACCAAATTCTTAGGTTTTACATATTACTATACTGTTACATTGCAGTTTTTGTATTTTTTCTCAGAAATGAGACATTCTCCTGCGGTAAAAAGTATCCTATATGTTGACTCGGATAACCAGCTATCACCATACCAAAAATTCTAAAAACTATAGATTCGGCCTCTGTAGCGATAATAAAGTCTATTTCAATAAGATTTCCCAAAAAATATTTAATGTACAGATTCGACTTAGTTGCAATTTTATTATATGTATAGATAATAGTATTTTTGAAAAGAGAGCAGGTATACGAGCGTCGCCACACAGACAATTGAATAGCAGACAGATGTTGTTTTTAAACCTATAGGGGCATCTAAATGAGGGATCGAGTTTCTTTTGAGTTTATATTTTAAGCATTATAACCATACTAATATTAGAAATGTGAAAGTGTACCTACTTGTTAGTTGTTTGTGTTCTTTTTTCATATCGAAACGGAGTGACAGATTGACATGATTTTTTTGTGTGGAAATAGTTGGAAGGCTGGAAAGTGACATAGGCTACTTTTTACCGCGGGAGATTATCTCTTTCCCACGGGAAAACATTATATAAGTAACTATCATTGCCCGCGGCTCCGCCCGCGTTAATATGCCCAAAACCAAATTCTTAGGTTTTATATATTAGTACGAGTATACTCGTATTAGTATATTAGTTGACCCGGATAACCAGCTATGACCATACCAAATTTCTTCAAAATCCCTCCAGTGATTTTTCTGTGATGCGGTCACAGACAGACAGACACACAAAAATTCTTAAAACTATAGGTTCGGCCTCAGCGATAATAATGTATATTTCAATAAAATTTTCCAAAAAATATTTAAAGCACAGATACTGCTTCAATAAATTTTAATGTATCTATAGATGTAACTAATTTATAAAGCCAAAAAGATTGTTTTTTGATAATTTAACACGGGCGGGGCCGCTGGTAATTTAGTAGTAATTCTAATAAAATCATAGAAAGGTCGAATTTGTACGTTCAATTTTTTGGAATTAAAACTACGTATTTTAAAGACACATGGCGACATCTATTGACAAATATCTAAATAATACGTAAATTAATTTCATTAAAATATTTTTTTAATGAATAAAATAGTCCTATTGATATACTTTTTCAAGATCAGCTATTTTTAATAGTTTTTGACATATTTAGTAAGTTAACTTGCTAAAATCTATATAGTATCATCGTTTTTTATTCTAACCAGTTTTTGTATTTTTTCTCAGAAATGAGATATTTTTCTGCGGTAAAAAGTATCCTATATGTTGACCCGGATAATCAGCTATGACCATACCAAATTTCTTCAAAATCCCTCCAGTGATTTTTCTGTGATGCGGTCACAGACAGACAGACACACAAAAATTCTTAAAACTATAGATTCGGCCTCTGTATCGATAATAATGTCTATTTCAATAAGATTTTCTAAAAAATATTTAATGTACAGATTTGACTTAGTTAGAATTGTATTATATGTATAGATATGTATATAGCTTATCTATTCCATACTAACCGTTAAAACGTTACCTAGGGACTAACTCGAGTGAAGAGAGTGAGAGCCGCTAGTAATTTATATGTATAAGTTACTTGCGGCTCACCCTCGCTTACACCCACCCTTGCGACTAGCTTCGAATGTAATCTTTAAGTCAATAAAAGTATTTTTATTTATTTATTTTTATTTTTGTGAAATAATAATGCTACCGATTATATTTATGATATGAATGATGAATGATACCGATTTCGGCCACGGTGGCTAGTCTCATTGAGACTAGCCAACTGCAGGTATGTTATAGTGCAGACACAAGTGCACTCTGTACTCCTGTCACTTTCATACTCCGGTGGGACGACACGAGACACGACCGGTGAGAGATCAGACGCAGGACCGATGCGACACGTGCTGTCCGAGGCACGGGGGTGAAACACCGCCAACTTCCCAACTCCGACTATTACTGAGTTACTAAACAGAAAGGCTCAATAACTAAACGTGACCCGACCCGGGACTCGCACCCAGGACCTCCGGATGTGCAGTCGTACATGCTAGCTACTACACCACCGAGGCAGTTAAATTATGAAATAGTGGAGTCGTGGAGTGATATAACTTTATTTTAAGTAGGTTAGTTCAACGACCGTATCTATATCGACAGCTATTTGTTTATTAGTTATAAAACAAGTTCTCTGTTCTCATTAGTTAAAGGAGTATCAATTTAGTATAAATACAAGACAAACTAACTCAAATTTGCATTTTGTTCAAAAATTTGCTATCTGAAATTTATTTATATTACTTGTATATATATTTTTGTACGTACATTTTTAAAACAAAATAATCAAGATTGAGGCCGCCATTTTGGATTTTTTTACGATTTTAATATGACACTCACGCTATCACGATTTTAAAGTCGTATTCTCATTAAAATCGGTTCACCCGTTTCGCAGTTACAAGGGAACATAATATATTATATATACATACATACAGATCAAATATCATAAAACCATCCTTTGGGCTTCGCTGTAGTCAAAAGGTAAAAATTAGGGACGCCGCAGGTAAATGGGACTTGGATGAGATGTCATTCTACAATTTGTTGTATAGAAATTAAAAAAAAATGTATAGAAATGACAATATCTTTATATCATTATGTTTTTATTTTGTTGATCGTAATTCCTATATATATTTTTTTGATTTTTAAAGCTGCAAAATATATGTATATCATTCCGAAATACTTACATAAGAAATTTTAGTAAAATTTTATCGACTTCACATACGGAGGAAGCAATTATTTTTGTTGTATGTTTTTTCGTTTAGGTACTACTTTTATCTTGGTGTTCATACAAAATCCTATTAAAAAAACTCAAGCTTTTCCCAAATTTCGCTTTCCGGGCTATTTTTCATGTTCTTTTTAAACATTATTGTCTGGCTTGATGTTCAGTTCTATGACACTCTACATTATTTCTTGTTCTGAGATCACATTATAGTATTTTGAAATCTTATCCAGATTATATATATTATACCTATTCGTTTTAACTAATAAACATGTTTTAGCATTTATAATAATTAAATATGTTTTTAGGGATTTATAACAATGTCCTAAGCCTAAAAAAGTATTATTTGTAAAATTTGTAAAATTATTTGTTTTTTTTTACAGCTATACATAATTTCGCGCCAAAATCTGTTATAGAGTTGACATATAAACAAATAAGTAAAATTACATTGTGCAAGTTTAATTTGCTGAACAAAAAAAACATCTTAAAGCTCCATTATTAAAAAATCATTACCTAGATTTTAAAATTTTATTTACATCTGTAAATTAAATCGTAAATTATGCACTATTGTTAGATCAAGATTTCGATGCAGTAAATGTGCGAGAAAGAGACAGATTATGTATCAGCAAATTCTAAGTGGTCAGAAAGAGATGGCTGTATTGACGTTATGTTCGACGTCAAGCTGTAGTATTTCATAGATGAATCTGTGTAAACAATCTGTGTGGCCATGTCTAACTTTTTACCCTTTTTTTTGTGGGTATATTTTCCTATCTATACATATAATAAAATTCTAACTAAGCCGAATCTGTACATTAAATATTTTTTGAAAAATCTTATTAAAATAGACATTATTTTCGATACAGAGGCCGAATCTATAGTTTTTAGAATTTTTGTCTGTCTGTTACCGCATCACAGAAAAACCACTGGAGGGATTTTGATGAAATTTGATGAAATATGGTATAGCTGGTTATCCGGGTCAACATATAGGGTACTTTTTACCGCAGGAAAATGTCTCATTTCTGAGAAAAAAATACAAAAACTGCAATTCTAATATGTAAAACCTAAGAATTTGGTTTTTGGTCATCTAAACGCGGACGGAGCCACGGGCAATGGTAATACAAGAATAAAATAGATAATTGAAATCTTTTTTAAAAATAAAATATTATGTTACTAAAATACTATAATATGTGTAATTTTGTATATTTATGCAAGTTCCCTAATAAGTATATAACTTTTTTTGTGATAATTATTAGCTTTTTATGCATTTTACACAAAATAAGTTGTATTTTCTTACTAATAATATTTTTTGAAGCTTCATGACTATGAATTTCGTATATAATTGTGATATAAAAATATAAACCATAATTTTATATCACCAACAACATTATTACAGTAAAGTTTAGATTCATTTTTGAAAAAGGTAAAATGTTAAGAAACTTTAATTTTAAATTATTTGAATGCTTTGTTATAATTTTAATTATATATTTTACTTCAAAGTAAATAAAAAAAAAACTTGAAAATGAATTCAACAATTACACTTTTATTAAAATAAATAATTTAAATGTTGGTTAAAATTATTTTTCTGCGTATGGCAACACTTTTCTAGAACCGTCTACTTACCGTGCTTTGCGATTGGCTGATGTGGACTCTCGAACATTCTGCTTTCTTATTGGCTAGTATATAAAGCGGCGCGATGCTTTAAACATTTTCAATTGCGATTAGTTTCATGTCTGAGTTGCATAGTATTTAAATATGGTGGCTATCGGTATAGATTTAGGTACAGTGTGTTCGTGTGTGGCTGTTTGGCGTAACAACAGTGTGGAAGTGATACCAAATGAGCAAGGAGATAAAATAACGTCATCGTATGTCGCCTTCACACCAAAGGAACGATTAATAGGTGAGCCCGCGAAAAACCAAGCGTCCGTCAATGCGGCAAATACGATTTTTGGCGCGAAACGTCTGATTGGGCGTCGATTTGACGATATTGGTTTGCAGATGGACTTGCGCCATTTCCCTTTCCATGTTGTTAATGTTAATGGTAAGCCAAAAATTGTGGTGCGCCACAGAAATGAAAAAAAGTTATTTTCACCGGAAGAAATAAGTGCAATGATACTTTTCAGGATGAAGGAGCTTGCTGAATCGTTCTTAGGTTGTACAGTTGATAAGGCCGTTGTTACAGTTCCAGCGTATTTCAACGATACTCAGCGTCAGGCCACGAGGCTTGCTGGCACTATTGCAGGTTTAGAAGTTATACGTATCATCAATGAGCCGACTGCAGCCTCCCTTGCTTTTGGTTTGAGTAAGAATTTGAAAGGAGATAGAAATATTCTCATTTATGATTTAGGTGGTGGTACTTTCGATGTGTCGATATTGAATGTTGGGGATGGTTTGTATGAAGTAAAAGCAACTGGTGGTAATTCTAGATTGGGAGGTGAGGATTTTGACAACCGTATAGTGGCTTATTTTGCAGAGGATTTTTTCAAACGCTTTGGAAAGGAAGTTAAAAATACCAAATCACTGAGGCGACTTAGATTCGCCGCTGAAAGGGCGAAGAGAGTTTTAACATCTGCTGAAGAAGCGACTGTATATATCGAGTCACTTAAGGACGGAATTGATTACAAGGGTCGTATCACCCGAGCCTTGTTTGAGCAGATGTGCTCGGATTTGTTCAAAGATACGCTTAAATCTGTACAAAAAGCGTTGATGGATGCTGGTATGAAAAAAAATGATATACATGAAGTAATTTTAGTTGGTGGCAGCACTAGAATACCAAAGATTAGAAACATGCTAAGTGACTTTTTTGGTGGAAAAGAGTTAACGAGTTCTATCAATCCCGATGAAGCTATAGCTTGTGGCGCAGCCATACAAGCAGCTATTTTAACTGGTGACAAAAGCGAAAAACTTCAAGATTTACTGCTCGTTGATGTCGTACCACTGTCGTTAGGTATAGAAACAGTTAGAGGTGTAATGTTTAAAGTTGTTGAGCGCAATACTCCCATACCTTGCCGTAAGGTCAAAGAAATAACTACTTTAGAAGATTACCAAACTTCGATGACTATCGAAGTATTTGAAGGAGAGAGAGCTCTTACTAGAGACAATCGCTTACTAGACGTCTTTGAATTACAAAATATTCCTCCAGTGCCGAGAGGAATAGCTAAAATTGATCTGATATTTGATATTGATGTTAATGGAATATTAACGGTTTCTGCTGAAGATAAGAGTACTGGTAATAGCAATAGCATAACAATAGAAAATGTTAATAGATTATCACAACACGAAATAACTAGAATGATAACCGACGCTGAAAAATTTAGAGAGGAAGATACTGAAAATAAATGCCGTTTAGAAGCTAGGAACCAATTGGAAACATACATATATAATGTGAAGCAATCTGTTGTTGAAAATTTGGAAAGATTGAGTGGAGTGGAATGTGCGGCCATGATTGGAGAATGTAAGGAAGCCCTCGCGTGGTTGGATGAGAATCCGGAGTGCTTAAAAGAAGAGTATGAAAGAAAAATGTCTGAACTTCTTAGAGCTTGGTCCTTTAAAATACAAAAACTAGATAATGCATCTCATAGAACAAAGAGGCAGAGAAATAACTCGAATCAATATTCTGAGGCTGCAGAACAGATGGCTATTATAGAACAAGTGGTAGAAGATCAATAATTGATATAATTTAATATATATACCTCTTGGATTGGTAAGTACTTGATCTTTTTACCGTTTGTTTTTTGTGTGTGTTTTACAGTTCTTCTTAATATCTTTGGTTTATAGTTTGATAATTGTGATTTTATAGTACAAGAAAGAAGTGAACATCTTTGGAACATAAGCGAACAATATTATCTATATCGAATAATAAAATACATCATTTCAGCAAATTTTATAATGGAGCCTGAGAAAAAATAATTGACTGAACTTGTAACAAGACTTAGAAAAATATATTTGTAGTAAGTAAGGTTGTTATAATAAAAAATAGTGTCATTTAAAAAAAAACCAATAACATCATTCAACATGGCGATAATTTCCATCAATTGACTATAAACGTTTAATTGTATAAGATGGAAATCAAATCCACCCCCACCGACGCAAATGCTAAACATTCGCCATATTGTATGAAAGTAAAAGTGAGTGGAAAAAAATCATCTTTATGCAAAGTTTTTACTTGTGCTATTTGCTTTTGTTGTTGTTGTAAATAAATAGGCTTAGTTATTTTAATTAGCTACCTCAATTTAATCTGTGATGTTTTAACATTGGGTTTTTAATGATAATAGTGCATCAGGAAAAGTGATTTGAAGTTTTTTTTAATATTATGTGACTTAAGTTTATGTATTATTACCATTTTGTATAGTTTTACATTAAAATATTTAGAATTATAGTGTTTGTTTATTTATCAACCCATTCCATTTTATTACTAATTTTTCAAAAGATATTAAAAAATTATATGCTTTTGCGCAGGGGGCATTTAGAGGATGAATTAAGATTCAGATTCATTATTTTTTAAAAGCTGCTCTGATGATTTAATGAAGGCTGATTTTTTTATGCCATCATTTCATTCATAAGATCATATTTAATAACAGTATATTTAAACGTCCATTTGCTGGGCCCGAGCCTGTGTGTCATCAAAAACTTATTGGGTTCTCTCATACATGCAGGTTTCCTCACGATGTTTTCCTTCGCCGTAAGGCAATTACCACTTGCCATGTGCAATCATGTTAGAAATTACTCGAACAATAAAATATCAGAGGTGCGAGACCCGGAATTTGGACCCGCTTTACTCGGTTATTCCTATAATACATATACATAAAAAAATATTACAGTTGAATTTCGACCACTGGGCGAAGATAGTCTAATTAAAACACTAATGTATATATCACTTAAGTTTATAAAGATAATCGTAGCTTAATGTGCCAAGAATTACTGTCATTTATTTCATATCTAATTAAATATGTTTACAGAAAATGGGCGTTAATTTGGCAAGAAATCAAATTCACTACAATATAAAAAAATAATTGTGAATGAGATGACTTGGTCCAAATAAATTGCTTGTGTTGGCTATGGTCGCGGTTTTAAATTAATTATTTTTAATCTGTCTAGATATAAATACGCAAAGACAAAACAGTTCAGTACATTTTTCTCCTCTGTTTGTCAAACGATTATCTTTTTTTATTTAGTAGCTTCCGATCTTTAGTGCTACCAATTTTTTTAAAACAGTTTTTATATAGATAGGTCAAGACAAAACAGTTTAATTATAATGGTACTGAACTATTTTTTATTCTAAGTACTTATCAAAGCGTATAATTATTATCAGGATACCTATACAATGAATATAATTTTTTTTTTGAAAAATGTAAATTCATATAATATGTTCAAGAATGATTAATAATTATAGTCGAATTTTGACCACCAGCGAACAATAGTTTATACATATGTATAAAAGCGAAATACCATACACTTATTATTAACTATGTACTATATCTCATCGAAAGCTGAACTGTTTTGTCCTTATCTATTTATATAGATGTTATGATATATTATTCTACAATTATTCTATAAAATTTTTAATTAATATCTTCTTTTGTTTTTTTTTAGAATTTCGGCTGTATAGAATTATTTGAAGGCGGGCAACACCGGCAGCACGCCGCCATGATGGTAATGGCGATGCTTGGCTTCTATTTTGAAGTTTCCCGCCATGATAGAGACAAATATATTAGAGTGCACAACCGACATATCCGACCAGGTACATTGGATATAACTTTTGTTTGTTATTTCGTTCTAAGCTTGCGGTTCACAATGAAACGTTTATGCATACTAATATTATAAATATGAAAGTTTGTTTCTCTTTCACGCCAGAACGGCTAAACGGATCTGGATGAAGTTTGGCACCGAGATAGATTTAGTATAGTTTGGAATAGCTAGATAAAAAGTAACCTCTAGGTTACTTTTTATATCTGGGGCTCCTAATATTAATGGAATTAATCAATTACCAAATCCTCCAATTATAATTGGTATAACCATAAAAAAAATTATAATAAAAGCATGAGCTGTTACAATAGTGTTATAAATTTGATCATCTCCAATAAGTGAACCTGGGTTTCCTAGTTCAGTTCGAATTAATAAACTAAGAGATGTTCCTACTATTCCTGCTCAAATTCCAAAAATAAAATATAAAGTACCCAATATCTCTATGATTTGTAGAAAAAAGTCATTTTCGCAAAATTTATCCCGGAAGAGTGTCCGGTCCTGTGGGGTAGATGTGTTTTTGTTTTTCACTAGGGACAAACCCGAAGCGAAGCGAGGGTGAATCGCTAGTACTTACATATATAGATAGATATATATTAAACAATTATAACACCCGGAATATAATAATGTTCTAAAGGGTCAATGTTTCGACAAATATGTCGAAATAAATATATTTGAAGAAAACATATTATGTGAATAGAATTTAACTATCTACGAAAAAAAGTAACAGTTCAAATTTTTTTTATTGATAACACTAAGGTCGTGAATAGTCATTAAACAAATAAAAGGAAAATTGGTTGAAAATCAGGTGAGAAAAAGGTACTGAACGGTTTTGTTTTTGCCTATTTACCTATCTATATTATTATAAAGGGGTTACAAACAAACGAGGTTTGTTTGAACGTGCTAATCTCAGGAACTACTAATCTGATTAAAAAAATTCTTTTTGCATTAGATAGCCCATTTATTGAAAACCCTATAGGCTATATATCATATAATATATAGTCTATCTATCCCATACTAACCGTTAACACTTATGTACCTATATAGATTTTTATGAATTTTAAAGGTAAGTTTTCAACACGCACTATCCTACGCCAAAAAAATATTATGGCGTTGAGTGTGAAGCCTAGTCGTGCCAGTTGTCTTACTTCAAAAATGTTCGATACCCGAAACAAATATTATTTTTATTGAATATTTTTATAATATTTACTCATATCTGTAAGATGTAGTACGTGTGTAATAATAACAAACCATGACGAGTGCATGACCCTTAGTTTATATTATGAAATACAGCCAAAAGAGATTTTTTGTCTTAAGCTAACATTTATTTTTTAGATAAACTCCATCATTTCGAGAAGATCCGTTCAGACGCGACACTACCATTGCCATACGACTATATGAGCGCGATGCACCCCGCTTGGCAGTTTTGGAGGAGAATTGGCAAAAAAGGCATATCTTCGGTTGCGACATACAAAGATCAGGTTTATATTTTATAAAATTTTTTAGATTTACTGTGTATTTGTATGTTCGATTGAGAACTAATTTCACAAGTTTAAATTTAGTATAAAAGATAAAACGAAAGACAGCAGAAAAAAAAAATATTTCAGTCCTTAAACTGCATAATTAGTCCAGATAAAAATATTTTTTTTAATCTATATTATAAAGTTCCTATTTTTTTGTTTGTAGGTTTGATTTTTTGTTTGTATGTTAGTATCGAATAGACTCCGAAACTACAGAACCAATTTAGATGAAATTTGGTAAGAAGATATTTTAAGACCCTGGGAAGAGAGAGAGAGAGAGAGAGAGAGAAGATATTATACATTTTAAAAGTTTGTCTGTTTGTAGCAGCAGTAGAAGTAAACTGTGAAACTTATTTTTATAATAATGAATAATTTGTCAGGACCCAGATGGCTCTGTGATGAAATCTTTAGGACAAAATCGCGAGCTTCTCTCAAACATAGATATCAAGAAGATAAACAGCGTGTACGGGGTCAGATGCTTTCAGAACCAACGACGTGTGGATTTAAATTACGATTCAGTATAAAATTTATGTGTTTTATTTAAACCTGACATCTTTGAAAGGAAAATAAAAATGTTTTATATATTTTAATTTAAAAAAAATACAAACTGACAGCGTAAAAAACGAACTATACCGATGGAAATAAGTTGACGAAGGAACATATTATGCAGTCGGAGACATACATACATACAATTTAACTGCCTCGGTGGTGTAGTGGCTAGCATGTACGGCTGCACACCCGGAGGTCCTGGGTTCGAGTCCTGGGTCGGGCCAAGATTAGTTATTGAGTCTTTCTGTATAGTTAGCCTCAGTAACAGCCCGGAGTTGGGAAGTTGGCGGTGTATCACCCCCGTGCCTCGGAGAGCACGTAAAGCCGTCGGTACTGCGCCTTAACTCTCACTGGTCGTGTCGAATGGTCGTCCCACCGGAGTATGAGAGTGACAGGAATAGAGAGTGCACATTGTGTCTGCGCGTACACTTGTGCACTATAATATCTCCTGCGCAGTTGGCTAGTCTCAATGAGATTGGCATCCGTGGCCGAAATCGGTCAGGAGAACATCATCATCACATACAATTTTTATTTACAACTTTTTGTTTATTTTATAAGACAATTGAGTTTTATCTAACAAGTTGATAAGCCATTTTATTTTTTGCCTATTATTAGGCTTCTATCTAATACTACATTCTAAAGGTTTGGAAGAAAAGAAATTTCAAGACATTCAAATCAACACCTAAAATCTGCCATTTTGATTTTTTTCAAAATTAATCATAAAAATATAACGTTTAGTATAGATTTGTCAGAGATGAGATATTTTCCCGTAGTTAAAAGTATCCTGTATGTACCCGGATAACCAGCTATCATCATACTAAATTTAATCAAAATCTGTCCCATGGTTTTCTCGTGATGCGGTAACAGACAGACAGACAAAAATTCTAAAAACTATAGATTCGGCCTCTGTATCGATAATGATGACCATTTCAATAAGAATTTCCTAAAAATATTTTATGTGCCGATTCGACTCAGTTAGAATTTTATTATGTATAGATGTAATTCTTCTCAAAAATTGTCAATGAACGTTTAAGAAATAAATCTCTTATTCTCTCTTCTCTTAAAAAGAAAACAATCTTTATGGCAACATCGGGAATAGAAGCATAAACAGCAAAATCACACAACATTTTTTTTGACTTTAACATTAATTTTGGCGGCGGACCTCATATATATAATTCTGTAGTCTGAGTACAAAACATACATACAGCTACCAATATCTAGTTAACTGTTAACCGGTTCCGGTTCTGAGAGGCTGAGATCGCTGCGACTCGCCGCGTCATACACGAGCACGTCGCGTGCGTATTTCCGTCGTCGCACAACGCAACGTTCTGCGGTTATGATCGCACTCACTGCTGTGGAAACGTGCCTTATTATTGTGGCTACCTTGATATAGCTTAGGCTTAGTTTGATTGGCCTTTATTACCATAACAATATTATATATGAATTAATTTAAAAAAACAAGCAATTTAAAAAAAAATCACAGTTAAAATGAGAACTCGCACATCAAGGGCTCTGACTAAACTTCCGTACAATGGAACATTAAATGTGAACCTAATTTATACGTTAGAAGTAAAAGAAAATATTTACATATTCAATTTATGGGCTACAATAAATTAGTTTTTTTAAGACAAAATTATAATGATTAATTTTTACTCAAATATCTCATATCTAAAAAACTATTAAATTATTGTTACTATTCTTTATAATATCAAGAGTCTCTTAGATTTACGCGTAAATTTGAAATTTTAAATAAAACTATCGGAAAAACCTTATTCTCTACCGCGACCATGATTGCTGTAAAGCATTTGAAACGTCGGGAACCAAAAATTTAAATAAATGCGCGAAAAAATCCGATAGTTTTATTGACGACACGTTTGGCTCAGTTTGTAGTAACCCTACTTGCTGTCGCGGGTTCGAGTCCCGCTGGAGGCATTTTATATTTGTGTGATAAGCACGAATGTTTGTACTTTTGTCATGTTTATATTTATAATACGTATGTATTTAAAGTTATATATGTGTAGTGTATCAACTATCTGGTATCCATAACACAGGCCTCGTAGCTTACCATGGAACTAGATGGTGCTGTGTGTTAATGTCCCAACATATTTGTGTATTTATTTGAATTATCATGAGTATGTTTAGTCTTTACCTATAGAAAAACTAAGTACTAACTATTAACAGTGCTCTGTACCATCCTCTCGATCTTGTGCTCTTGTCGCCAATGGAAGAACATCTTTTTAATTATTGCCATCACTAGAGCTATCATGAATATGCTTATTCCAAACAAAATTGTGTATAAAGCCATTTTTATATCTTTTAAAAATCATTTTTTATTATATTTTTTATTATTATTTTACTGACATGACGCGACGTTTGAGAAATTAGATTGTTGTGATATAGCGTACTGAAATTTATGAACAAAGTTTTTTAAAATAAAAAACAATGTAGTGCATAACACAACGTGCCTTATAATTTAATTTATACATTTAACATAATAAAACATTATTATTATCTTTTTTTAATAATACTTAAAACAATTAATAAAAATAATATAATTTCTTTAATCGTATTTGGCTGTTTGATTTTCGACTAGTGCCTTAAAAATTGTTATAAATTAAAAAAAAATAACAAATAAATTTCGCGCGAATACAAATAAATCTTTGAAATCTATGTAAACTGTAGATTTTTTTAGTTGACAAAATGTTTTATTATTCGTAATTGAGATATGATAACTGAAGATTATGGCGAGTACTTTAGAATTATTTACATTAATTGACATTATTTATTTAAAACTTTTGTTTAGTATAAAAAATTATTAGTTTTGTAAGTTATCGGTTTTATATTTTAATTATATTTCAGTTGAATTTATAAGACAAAAATATCGCTGTGCAATAGTAATAGCAGTTATAAAAACCAAACCCGCCAACAAGACAATGGATGAACATATAAACAATTTAAAACTTCACTTCAATGAAGTTATAAATGCTAGCGATAAAATATCAGTTTGTGAAGAAGATTTTAATATAAGTGACAACGAAAGTGATACTAGTGTTACGATATTAAAAAAATTTGAATTTAATAATTTAAATGTCCGACAAAAAGACAGTACATTGATAGATATGCAAGGTATAGGTGATATGGCAGATCCTGTGAATGATGTAAGTTAAGATTATATATTGTACTAGCATTGCCCGCGGCTTCGCACGCGTTCAGATGACCAAAAACCAAATTCTTAGGTTTTACATATTAGTATACTCTTACATTACAGTTTTTGTATTTTTTCTCAAAATGAGACATTTTTCCGCAGTAAAAAGTATTCTATATGTTGACCCGGATAACCAGCTATGACCATACCAAATTTCATCAAAATCCCTCCAGTAGTTTTTCTGTGATGCAGTAACAGACAGACAGACAAAAATTCTAAAAACTAAAGATTCAGCCTCTGTATCGATAATAATGTCTATTTCAATAAGATTTTCCAAAAAATATTTAATGTACAGATTCGGCTTAGTTACAATTTTATTATATGTATAGGTTTGTATGTATTGTATTCAGCACTTTCATTTTACCGTCCCACTGCTGGGCGTGGGCGTCCCTTCAATTCGAGGGGGATCAGGCCATAGTCCACCACGCTGGCCAAGTACGAGGGGACTTAGTATGTCTTTTGAACACTTGTTAGGTTCTCTTAGATATGAAGTTTTCCTTGCGATGTTTTTCTTTCACTGTAGACAAGTGGTAATATAATGTTGGAAATGATTTGCACATGAAAATTTAAGAAATGCGAGACCCGGGATTTGAACCCGCTTCCCTCGGATTCCCAAGTGAGTGCGTTATCACTAGGCGATATTAGGCAATATTTATTATCTTAATGGACAAAGGTTCGATTCCATATACAGTAACTATGTATTAAGTAGTATTTTTTATTGTATGTATTTTATATATTGTATTTTGGGTAATAAAAGGATATCATTTCCATCTTAAAGTTAAAGACTAGATGTTTTTTTCGAAATATTACTCGCTCTCAATAGATCGAACATAAAAATAAGTAATAATAGTTAAATTATGCAATTAATACTCGTATTTCTTTTTAAATAAAGATTTGAGAAAGTTTAAAAAAACATCGCCTAACTTTGAATGAACAGATTTTTTTTTACATTCACAGATAACAAATTCTAATTCACAATCAACGTATTGCGAAACACAAAAATCAAATTTAATGTCCTTAGAAAAAATGCCGGATGAAAACACATGTTTTTCTTCTTCTCAAAATAATAATATTCTCAAAGTTACTTCTATACTTGATTCTGAAGCTACTGAGTTATACGCAGCTTACGCGTTTACAGACAAACATACACATGTCAGCCAAAGCCAAGATAATTTAGTAATATCTAATAAATATTTCTTATCAAAGTCAGATACAATTAAAACTTGCGAACAAACTTTAGATGATAAAAATATACACAAAGATATAAATTTTGATGCTAATAATAATATAGTGGCAAATGATAATAATTTGAAGTTAGCTGGAGTCAATTTGGATAACAACAATAAATTACAGGACAAAGATGAAATAGTAATAACTGTTAGTGCTAAAACAATGGAAAGCAATATAAATATGAATTTTTCTCCAGATTTTATTGAATTATTCGATGAAAATGCCAAAAATATAAACAATTCGCAAAAAAATCAAAATATAAACAATATCGATAATATTCAGAATGAGACAGCTGATTTAGAGTGTAGTCAATTTACATTAGATTTGTCTTTTAGAAATAAAACGAATGAAAAATTACAAACAAAAATTTCAAGAAAGAATACGCAATTTCCCCAAAACACATATTCATTTGATGAATTCGAATATTTTACTGATTCAAGTCAAAATTTTAGTTTAAACTCATTATTAAATGCTAGAGAAAAAGAAAATATAGAATTTTCTCAAATAAATTGTGTTAATAACAGAGAAGAAAAACAAGATAATATAAAAGATATCGTTAAAACAAAAGATATTGTTATAAATGATGGAAAAATTGAAGTTTCTAAAGCAAATTTCATTTCGAACGCTAAATTAAATGTTAAAATAGACGAATTAGATGACGAAATGGAGTTTATTTCAAAGGACACATATGACATGCAAGATGTAACAGAATCTCAAGTAGATATAGTGACATTTAAAGTTCTAGAAGAATTGAATAACGTAAAGAATTATTTGAACAGAAGAGAAAGAAGCAGCGAAAGATACAGAAGTAGTCAGTTTGAAGCTCTTATTAATGGTGAGATACTTTTAGATACTTTTTAGATTTCATAAGTAACTTTTGTTAAGGTTTATTTCGTTTGAAGTTACTTTGAATAATCATGTAAATAAGTATGAATGTGATAAAGTCGATTTTAAAGTTTCTAATTTTTTAACTGTTTGTTTACGCATTATTTAATTTCCAAGACCAGCTAGCTGATCGGATTTTTAAAGTTATACTTCTTTTTGAAAAACTATTGGAAAAAAATTATGAGAGTGATTTTTTTTTTTACGATGAGACAGATTTGGGTATTTCTCCGAGATTGCGTTCTTCATCTGATTAATCTGGCCAAAAATTATTTTCATTTTTGGCTCTATTCAACATACTCTTATGATTAAAGACATGCCAAATATTATTTGGCAAAAAATCAAAATAAATCCGCGAAATAATCCGAAAAGATAGTTTTATTTAAATTGTCAAATATTCGCGTAAATCTAAGAAAGTATTATCTCCATGTATAATGTTAAGAAGATGGCATACGAGTTTGGTTGTATTTGGTCCGTTATTGATTTGTGTAAAATACTAAAATTGTACATTTCGCAACTATATGATATAAGTAACGTATATTACGTAATTAAATAAATATTTTTGAAGTTATACTTCTTTTGGCACGCTTGTAAAAGAAATATGAGACTAAAATTTTTACAATGCGCGCGCACACCGACAGCCAAGAAGCAACATGATGAAGTTAGCTGCATTCCTTTTATAAACACAGAGTTGTGACATACGGGATGAAATCTTTAGCTATTTTTGTTCTGTTACGCCAAAGAACTAACTCTTACGTGCGTATATAAGTACACACACATGTTTATTATTGAACTTTATTATTTAAATTTCTCATCTCATATTTTCTAGTGTCGGACACTAGTGTTTTGTCGGTGTCTGGTATAAACGAGTCCGCGCATTGCTTGCTGCGGCACATCACTAGCAGCGCGTTGCTCTCGCGCACCATGCACATCACTAGCCATGTGTCTAAAGTGAGAACAATTTTATTTCCTAAATAAAATCTTATAATATTAAATGAACAATTCTTGTATATATATAAATGTACGTATGTCGTGTATCTCGGAAACGACTCTAACGATTTGGATCAAATTTTGTATTTAGATACGGTTTTGCTTTAAAAGTTTATCTATAAATGACTTTTCTGAGAAAAACCCAATCTTTTTATATTTACCGGAACAACGGCCAAAATAATAAAAATTAAATCGGACTGCTACTAATGTGAAGCTTGAAAGTAATAAAAATGTGTGTTATGTTTGTTACTGCTCTACGCTGTAACGGCTGGTCCGATTTTGATGAAATTTAGTACACAGATAGGCTATTTTTTTAATATCATACCGATACGGATACTTTAAAGTTTAAACGTCCGCCATTTCGCGGGCTTGGTGTGGCTTCAAAGTACCATACATAGAGAAATTACGACTTTACTTTGTAGCGACAAAATCGCTAATCGCTCTGTTATGATAATACTTTGACGTCAGATTCAGTCTGACCAATGGCGTGTGTTTCAACTACTTTCAATTACCCCACATATATTTGCACTTATAATAATTATTTTCGCAATCAAAAAGAAATTACATTAAAAATATTGATATAGGCTTAATTCAAAAGCAATAAAGATTATAAAAAAAAATATTTCACCATTATTTAAATTACACGCATATTCCCTACTAGCATTGCCCGCGGCTCCGCCCGCGTTCAGATGATCAAAAACCAAATTCTTAGGTTTTACATATTAGTATACATTGCAGTTTTTGTATTTTTTCTCAGAAATGAGATATTTTCCCGCGGTAAAAAGTATCCTATATGTTGACCCGGATAACCAGCTTATTACCATACCAAATTTCATCAAAATCTATCCAGTGGTTTTCTCGTGATGCGGTAACTGACAGACAGACAGACAAAAATTATAAAAACTATAGATTCGGACTCTGTATCGATAATAAGGTCTATTTCAATAAGATTTTCCAAAAAATATTTAATGTATAGATTCGGCTTATTTACAATTTTATGATATGTATAGATTAGCGGGTCAAAAGCATCTAAAGAAGAAGACCACTTTTTCTTAAGTGAATGTGGTAATTTTTGGTACTGGATATATTTTTTACAATTATATAAGGAAGTAAGCTATTGTTTAAAAAATAAAAAACAGTCACGCATATTCCCTATTGTGTATCTTGAGTTTTTATATATCAATACACACAGATTATAAATTATCAAAGTTAAACCATTTGAAAATTAAAGGTTTTCGTCTTTTTTTATAAATTCTTAGGTTTTGGGTAACCTCATAGACAATTTGCACGAAGAAGAAAAATATCCGCCCTTTTTAGAAAGTTTATTGGAAACAGTCGATAATTTGCTACGATATATACACACGGGGGATAATTGCGAAGAGAATATTGTAAATATATTTTATTTATTCATTATTAAATTGCCTTCTAAAATGATAGAGGTTTTTATTAAAAAAAAGATACACTGTAGGTGTAATATTCTGTATCTAAATTAAAAAATAAACCACTCATAAAGTCACTTCATGCATTGAGTATTTCTCCTAATAGTTAAACTTGTATCAACCTACTTACTGCTGTTGGAACTCCCTCCCTTAACATTCACGTGCGTGATGGGGGGGTTTGACACTCCAAAATTCCCATCAGAGAATTCACTCAGAAAGACTCAATAACTAGCTTGACTCGATAGGGGAGTCGAACCCAGGACCTTCGGATAAGCACTTGTACATGCTATCCACTAAACCACAGAGGCGATTTGTACAAAATACAGACTAAATAGTAACTTTTTCTAATGATGTTTGAACTTCTATGTCATGTCAGTATAGAATCTTCTTTTCTAAAAGAATATCTGTTCTTCTTAGAAATAATTTGGACCTAATCAATCTAAATAGTTTAGAAAAAAATAATGTAATTTAATTAAAATACTGTTTATTTCAGCACTTTTGTTCTATTTTTTTTCAGATATTAAAAAAAGAACAAGCCATCAACCGCTTATTCCTTCTCAATAGATCCATACACATCATACAATATTCCATACAAAAAATCACCTCCATTTTACAAGATACCATACAATATATAAAAATGGATTGTTTCGAAATCAAACACCCAGATATAGCTGAGAACATCTGCCATATCTTCCATATTCTGGAGATATTATTACACAGACATACAAACAAACAAACACAAAACAAAAGTCAAACACAAAGCAGCCAAAGTTCCCAGGAAACTTTGAGAAAGAGTGCGTTGACAGAAACTTGGAGGAGAAGATGGAGTGGGGGGGAGATGTTAGGGGGAGTGGAAGTTAGGGAAGAGAAGTTAAGGGATAGTAAGAGTTGTGGAGCGGATAAAGTTTTGAAAGACTGCAGTAAAGCTTTGCGGTCTTTTCTAGTAGACGCGATGGATGGGTTTGGTCTTCTTGCTTTTTCAGCTCTGAATTGTTACAACATGTTGCAGAATTGAGCTGTTAAAGGAATAATATATATAATCTTTTAACGATTTGGATCAAATTTTGTTTTTAGATAACGTTTTGCATTTTATCTATTTAAGTAACTTTTCTGAAAAATTATATACGGAACTTATAAGAAAAACAAAATTTTTAACATTTTTGTCTATCTGTTTGTTCCGGCTAACCTCCGAAACGACTAATTCGGACGGGACATTCACTGGCGGATTGCTGATGTTATAAGGAGTAACTTAGGTTACTTTTTTTGAGAAAAAAATAAGGGTTGCGCTCAAAAAAATAAAAACGTAACTAGAGACGCACTCAAGCACAAAAAATAAAATAGATTAAATAAATTATTTGTATATTGGTGTAATTAGTCCTGAAAACTGCCGGGAAATCTTATTACTGGCAATAAACAAATATTATTATTATTGTTATATTATAATATCAAGAAAATAAAACAATGTCACAATTTAAACAATTTTATTTCATAATATCACAGACAGAAAAAATATTTTATTTAAATAAAACCTATTTTTTAACCCCCCACGTCCAAGATGGTCGCCGCCACAAAATTGGGGATTACATATTTTTTCACAACTCCCTCAATGTAGGTATTAAATGAAAGAGCTTGATTAGTAGAATACTTTACACTATGATCAATTTTAAATCCAAGATGGCCGCCACCAGATAAAGGCGCATTACATATCGGGGGGGTTTTTTTTAATTTGTTATTTATCACTTGTTAACCGCGATAAACAATTCATAAAAAGTAAAAGCGCCATCTGTGAATATACACTACAAACACATCGTCTGGTTGCTGATATTTCTATAATTAATCAGTAAAATTAAGCATATTTCATTTACGAGCGCATTATTTCTTTTCCCTTTACTTAGAATAATTTATAAAACAATAATACACCTTTTTGGGATCTATTTTTTGATCTTTTGTTAATTTAAAACAACTTCAATAACAAATAGATATATGTAACGCCATCTATTGACATTTATTTCAACAAATTTTTCATTGTTCGTGATGAGACCTCGTGATAATACTAAATCTGGTAGATTTATTATTCATATAGTTCAGATATTTGCTCTTCAAGCTTTGCTTTCTCGCAAACTTCCCTCAAATGTCGATTTAATTTGTTGTTGCCCTGGAACATAAAATAATACTTTCTTAGATTTTTGCAAATATTTAATATTTCAAATAAAACTATTGTTTTAAATTTTGTTTTGTTATTGTATTCAGCCCTTTTTAACGTCCCACTGCTGGGCGTGGACCTCCCTTCATTACGCTCGCTTGGGAAACCGAGTGAAGCGGGTACAAATTCCGGGTCTTGTACCTCTGATATTTACACGTGCGAATCATTTCCAATACGATCACCACTTGCCTTACGGTGAAGGAGAACATCATGAGGAAACTTGCATGTCTGAAAGAACCTAGCAAGTTGTGTGCAGACATGCTCAGTCCGACCGCACTTGCCCGGCGTGGTGGACTATGGCCTGATCCCCCTCGTAATGGAGGTCCACCCCCAGCAGTGGGACGTTAAAAAGGGCTGTACTGTTATCTGTTCAAACCCACAAGCTACACCTAATATAATATCACCTTATATCCTATATAAAAAAATCAAACTTTTTTGTTTCAAAAACCAACAAACAAATGAACAAACAAAAAAAACACCTCTCACTATCATTAAAAAAAGTACTAGATACACAATCTCATGCAATGCAATACTGTTCTTTACACAAAAAAATAAATAAAAACGCGCTCAAACGTTCAAATGAGCGCTCATTCGGTGTAGACATTTTTTGTCGCTGACTGTGTATCTACTTTTTTGTTCGATGCTCTCACCTTAAAACTATTCCCGCACAGGTAACACACCGCCATTGTAACTTCGGCTTTTTTGTTGTGTTTGGCCATATGTCGCACAAGGGACTTGCGGCTGGTGTAGCGCGCGGGGCACGCGGGGCACGCGTGCTCGGCGCTGGGCGAGTGCACCGTCTGCACGTGCGAGGTGAGGGACCGCTGGTTGGGGCAGATTCGATTGCATATGGGGCACTCGAATCTAGGAAGGGAATTATTTGAGATTATTTTCAGGTTATCTTTATATATATATTATTTTTCGAGGGTAGGAGTGAAACGCAACACACGTCGATTCGCAATCAGCTGATTTATTTAAATTTATAATTGAGAATTAAGTTATTTATTTACATTATTTTAACATAATATGTTTTTGTGAGTACTTATTTACCCCCCAGCAAGATTACTCCTCGTACTTATTCACTTTAATTAACTATTAACACATTGAAGAATATGGAGTCCATCAAGGAGTCTTTGTCCACACTGACAGATATGTTTAACGCCCGGATGAATGAATTTCAGCAAGACTTAAATAAAACATCGTCATCTGTTTCATCTAGTGCACTACCAACAGAATTTCATAACTTTAGAAATTTCATTGTTTCCGTACTGAATACTTTACAACGTCAAGTTGAGTGCCTTGCATTGGAAGTAGACCGGCATGAAATGAGAAGACGGCGTAAGATGATTCTCTTCCACGGTGTCCCGGAGCATAAAAATGAAGACAGTGCTGCCAGAATCACAACTTTAATCGCTGACCACCTCGATCTGCAGAACTTTTCTACGGAAAGCATTAAAGACTCTTATCGCTTAGGCCGCCCCGCCGAGAAGCCTAGGCCTATCGTAGTGAAGTTTAGTGATGTTAATGTGCGTAATAAAGTGTGGTTCGCCAAAACAAAACTCAAAGGCACTGGTTTCACCCAGTCTGAGTTCCTCACGAAGAGTAGGCATGAAGCTTTCTTGGAGGCGAGGCAACGTTTTGGTGTCAACAAGTGTTGGACTCGGGATGGGTGCATCCATATCATTGCCCCGGATGGATCTCGACATCGTGTGGAGTGTAAACTGGATTTGAGTGGAATTCCGAATAATCCAGTTAAATCACCGCAGAACGTATCAGTTCCCAAGACGACAGATAAAGTGGTGGCTTCTCGTGTTAAACGAGTTATTAAGAAATAATTTATATTATTTTTCCTAGTTTTATAAGTTTAACTTTTTCGTTTTAGGTATTAGGCACGTTCCTTATTTATTATTGTTTACTGACTAAAATGATAAATACTTAATAGATTATAGACAGGTGTGACAGATTATAATATTATGAACAACAAAATGTAATATAGATAAATAATATTTCATTGCCTACCGAATGTTAAGTTCTGTCCACACTATATAAATTTGTCAGCTATGAACTGTGTGTTATATATATTTTTTTTATTCTTTTTTTTTGCTTTTATTGTTAAAATTTTTTGTTTCTTTTAGTGATTGAGTTCTTATATTTAGTTTAATGCCTAATACCTAGTTTATTTATTTATTTTATTTTTCTTCTGTTTTGTTTGGTTTTTTTTACATTGTGAAATGGTTCTTCTTTCTTGCAACTGGCGGGTGAACAGTATTTACTTGCTACTTATTTTATTTATTATTATTATCTATATTTTTTTATTTTTATATATATATATATATTTCTTTAGTCTAATTTTATATTTTCATTACATACATTTAATATGACTTCGAATGATATTAGCCTAAATAATTCCTTCTTATCCTGTACTACTTCTGAAGGCGATAGCAGCAACGATAGTTTTCACAGTATCCTTTCACTTGGCGAGGCCCTCGACTTACACTTCTCAGATGTTCCGAAAAATTTTAATCTGGTTCACATTAACGCCCAGAGTATTCCAGCGCACTATCCTGATATGCTGTCATCTTTTACATGTAAAAATATACACGCTATTTTAGTGTCGGAGTCATGGCTTAAACCATGTCTTCCTTCAACTTCTTACTCGCTACCAGGGTTTCATTTAATTAGAAACGATCGTACTGGACGAACAGGAGGTGGAGTTGCAATTTATCTACGTTCTCATATTCCTTTTTCGATTGTTAGTATGTCTCAACAACAGGGGAACGTAGAAACCGAACATCTTTTTATTGAGATCGCATTATGTCACTCTAAAATTCTCCTGGGCGTTTATTACAATCCGAGTCACACGATCGATTATTTCTCATCATTTGAAACCCTGTTAGAGCAATTTAAACCTTTGTATGATCATATTTTGTTGATGGGTGATTTCAACACGTGTCTTCAAAAAAATGATCATAAAGCTAATCGTCTTAGTTCCCTTATAAATGCAGCCGATTTAAATATTCTCCCACTAAATCCCACTCATAAATTTCCAAATTGTGTACCTTCTCTTCTTGACCTAATCCTTGTATCTTCCACCGACCTTGTTGCAAAACATGGCCAGTGCTCTGCCCCATTTTCTTACCATGATCTTATCTATTTATCTTATAAATTAAAGCCACCAAAAGCAAAATCAAGAATCCTTCTGCAGCGCAATTTTGGTGATATCTATTTAGAGAGATTGCATGCGGATGCTGAAAATATCGACTGGTCGGCTGTTACTAATGCAAGCACAATTGATGAGCAAGTGTCAATCTTTAACTCGTTGTTAATCCAACTGTATGACATCCATGCTCCGGTCCGTCCTGTTCGTATGAAGCATCTTCCGGCTCCGTGGCTTACACCCGAAATAAAAAAACTCCAAAGAAAAAAATTTGTAGCGAAGTCAAAGTACGAATCTAATTCTAATGATAGCAATAAGACTAAATTATATTAAGGCTCGCAATCGTTGCAATATAGTGTGTAGGGATAGTCAACGACGCCATATTTATAAATCGGTCATCGAAGAAGATGATCCAGATAAAATCTGGAAGTTTCTCAAGTCTCTTGGAGTAGGTAAATCTAAGCATAACATAAATCCACATAATATAGACTTAAATCTCATAAATCAGCATTTCTCTTCTTCGGCTACTATTAATAGTACAAATAAGTTAAGCACACTAAACTATCTTTCTACTTTACCTACTCCTGATTTTCCCCGTTTTACTTTTAGTCAATTTTCCGAAAGTGATGTTAAGAGAAATATTATGGCAATAAAATCTGATGCTGTTGGGGCAGACTGTATAAGCCGTAAAATGATTCTTCCTTTACTTAATCATATCGTACCTATTATTACTTTCATTTTAAATTCCTCAATTAATTTCAATCAGTTTCCTTCTTCCTGGAAAGATGGGCAAATATTTCCTCTTCCAAAAATATCTAGTCCGTCTTCTTTTTCTGACTATCGACCTATATCTATTCTTCCTTTCCTATCTAAAGTTCTGGAACGACTTGTACACCAGCAATTGAGTGCTTTCCTTTACAAGCACAATCTTTTAAATTCGTTTCAATCCGGTTTCCGTCTTAATCATAGTACGACTACGGCCTTAGTCAAAATCACAGATGACATCAGAGAAGGTATGGATGACCGAAGACTTACTGTGTTAGCACTACTAGATTTTAGTAATGCTTTTAATTCAGTGGACTTTGATATCCTGTCTGCCATAATATCTTCTCTTAACATATCTCCTGAGGTTGTTGACTGGTTTCGTTCTTACTTGTGCGGTCGCCGGCAACGCATTCGGATTGAAGATTCTTACTCCGATTGGTGCGCAGTTAATGCCGGTGTTCCACAAGGTGGCGTGTTGTCTCCTCTCCTATTTTCAGTTTTTATTAATTCTATTTGTCTCAAAATTTCTTCTCGCTACCACCTATATGCTGACGATTTGCAAATTTATACTGTGACATCTGTGGCTGATTTACCACGAGCTGTAGAAAATATAAACAAAGACCTCTCATCTATAGCCACATGGAGTAAATCGTACGGACTTAATTTAAACGCTGCAAAATCGCAGGCAATTATTGTTGGCAGTCAAAGGTTGTTGTCAAAAACTAAGTCAATGCAAATACCAGCAATTTTGCTAGATGGTGTTCAGATTCCTTTTCATGATAAAGTTAAAAATCTTGGTTTAGTAATTGATCAGCATTTGTCATGGGGCCCGCAGGTGAGTGAACTAAGCCGGAAGATATTTGGAGCTGTTGCTTCTCTTCGCAGATTGCGAAACTTTCTTCCGATTCCTACCAAAATTGCGCTAGCAAATTCACTCCTTTTACCAATTCTTGATTATGCTGACATTTGTTATCTCGACATAAAAGAGGAGCACTTGAATAAACTTGAGCGACTCCAAAATCTTTGTATACGGTTTATTTTTGGCCTTAGAAAATATGACCATGTTTCTCAATTTCGTAAAAATCTCAAGTGGCTTCCAATCCGATTCCGCAGGAATACTCATATTCTTCATCTTCTCTACTGCGTGCTATTTAATCCTTCAACTCCTATCTATCTGAAAGAGCGTTTTGAGTTTCTGAACGATTCCCATGATCGTTCACTTCGCTCTGTCCAGAACTTCCTCCTTAAAATTCCTACTCACTCTTCCTGTTTCTTCACAAATTCTTTTACGGTAAAAGCCGCTCGATTATGGAATTCTATTCCTTTAAGCATTAGGTGTGCTAAAAGCCTAGATAAATTTAAAAGTTTATTGAAAGATTACTATTTATCTCTTTAAGCCTTTCTCCTTTAGTATTTCCCCTTTCTCTCTTGAGTCCTTTTCCCTAATATCATTATTATTATTTCATCTGTTATGTTTAATGTAGATATTATTCTATATATTATTTGGTTGTTTTGTTGAATGAACATGTATGTAAGTATGTATATATGTATGTATGTATGTATGTATGTATTTATTTGTGTGTGTATGTATATATGTATGTATGTATTTATGTATGTATGTATGGATTGGTATATATATATCTATTTATCTATAAGTATTTATATACATAAACGTGTCAATGCAAGTACACCGCCTACCGTCTTATGAACATTTACTCCTCTTCCTCAAGGTTGCCTGGAAGAGATCGCTTCCAGCGATAAGGTCGCCTGCTGTACATCTTTTCTTTGTGTTTTTTTTTGTATTTTAATTTTCGGTGTGCAATAAAGAGTATTATTATTATTATTATTATTATTATATTAATTCTTCGGTACGTGTTTATGTCACTGAACTCCTAGACAGCTGAAGTGATTTAAATATAAAAAATGTTTGTGTTTGAGTGGGTCCCTGGATTCAGAACTGGACCCGATAGGTGGCACTGCAGTCGGGTTGTAGGTTTTTTGGTACATACATACAGAAGATTTATTTATATGTTTGGACAGGACAACGTCTGTCGGATCAGCTAGTTTAAGGTAAAGTAGGATAAAAGCCGTCTGCCTGTCTGGACAAAAACTGTAGGGTAGACCCTACATGTGTAATGGGACTGATCGTTTTAAATTTTAGGGTGGGTTACCTAATATATAATAAGCATACGGAAAGACATTTTTATAATTGTAGGATTTTATTTTAACGTCACAATAGGACAAAGACTATCCCTCCCTACTTTTGAAATGAATCACTTGAATAGTGGTAAAAATCGCTTGTAATTTTGGTAGAATATGTATGTATGTATTAGTTATTAAAAAAGAATAAAAATATAAACAGAAATTAAGTTACAACTCATGTGTACAGAGCATTAAAAAACCATATCCGAAGGGTCAAAAAGGTACCCTAATGTCGTCACTACCCTACTTAATCTATACATATATATATCTTTTTAAAAATTTCTAAATTGATTAGACAGTTTGTGTTATTATGGTGAATATTTAAAAAAAAATATTACAAAGTGAACACATAGCCAACAATAATGTGTAGTTTATATGTACAAGGTTGAAAAAAAGGTGCTTGGGGCAGATTCGGTTGCATATTTTAATTATTTAATAATATCCAATGTCCATATAGCCTATAACACTTGCGTTATCAAAACAAATCTAATGTCCGAATTAACAAAATCGGTTCAGCCGCTTAGTAATTACTATGGAACGGATCGGACACACATACAAACATACATACAGTTCAAATACTTAAACTACCAGCTTCGATGGGTAAAAAAGATAGTTTTATCCATGACACTCACAGTATCTGCTGTTGGTTCATACGATGTAATGGTTTGAACATACATACATACAAATATACAGGTCAACCACAACCCTCGCGCTTCGTCGAGTCGTGACGACAAACTTTGCCGAGTGGAGTATTCGTTGAATAGGTATTTAAAAAATATTTTAGGTTTCATTCATCATTTTTCATTTTTAATAACAGTTTATTTAATAATTTGCGTGCCTCGCCGGGTAAAAGTAAGGTATCATCCAGGTCACTCACAGTGTCTGCTGGTGGCTGACGTGGGTCCGCAGATGCGCCAGCAGGCTCTTCCTGGAGGCGTAGAGCGCGCCGCACGCGCAGGCGGCGGGCGGCGCGCGCGCGTGGCTGCGCTCGTGCTGCGCGCGCGTGTAGGGGCTGCGGTAGCGCGCGCCGCACTGCGAGCACGGGAACGTGCGCTTCACGTGCTTACTTTCAAATACAAAATATTTTATTCACCACTAGCGACTCACCCTCGCTTCGCTCGGGTTCGTCCCTAGGTACATTTTAATTTTTTTGAGCGGAACATAGATCGTGATGAAATTAAAAACACATACATACACACAAAAAAATTATGTACTAACAAAAAAAATAGTGAATATAATAAATTAAGTAAATCATTACTTAATTTACAATGTACACGAAAATTTCGAGTTATGCCTATTTTACACTTAAACCATATTTCAAGTTAGGCCTATTTTACACTCTATACTTACATCATATGTGTCCTTAAAGTCGCATGCGTGTTAAAGCTGTCTCCACACACACCGCACGAGTGCAGCCGCCCGCTCGCCTTGTTCGTGTGAACACGCCTTATGTGTTGTTGGAGACCGTTTGCGTCTCTAACACAATTCAATAAAATCGACTGTTTATTATAAACTTAATGAATTTCCTCGTATATTCTCATATGAAAATAATTATTCTATTTTTAGATGTGATGTTTTTGTATTTATAATAATTTGAAAAAAAAAGAATAATTATATTGTGTCACTAATAAAAATATAAAAAAATTAGAACGTACCTATTTTTGCAAATCGGTTAAAGCAGTCACTTAAAATAAAGAGATATTTAGAGATTTTAATTGAATTTACTGTCAAGATATAGAGTCAATGAATGAAGTAAAGTTAATTTATTCGCAAATGAAAGAAAAATAAATAGACAGACAGACGGACAACGAAATGAACCCATAAACGATCCTTCTTCCCTTTTGAGATACGAAGAATTTTTAAAACTAAAATACAACGTGTGTGTGTACTTATGTACGCATATAGGAAGTTACACTTCTTTGGCGTAACAGAATAAAAATAGCTAAATATTTCATCCCATAATAATATAACAACTCTCTGTTTGTAAAAGGAATGCGGCTAACTTCATCATATCGTTTTATGGCTGTCTGTTTGCGGGCGCATCGTAAAAAATTTACTCTCATATTTTTTTTCCAAACGTGCCAAAAGAAGTATAACTTCAAAAATTAAGATACAATCATAAAATGTCACAAAACAAAAAAAAATCCTCACACTTCCCTAAACTGCCTAAAATCACAACCAAACAAACACTCACCTAAACAAATTCCCGCACACGTGGCAAGCCGCCTTACCCCCCTCCCCCTCCCGCTCCCCCGCCCGCCCCCCGCAGCGGTGCGCGCGGGCGGCGCGCGGGCGCAGCGCGGCGCCGCACGCGGAGCACGTGTGGCGCTCCGCGTGGTTGGCGGCGTGCACGCGCAGCAGCGCCAGCGACGTGAAACGTAGCGTGCACGTCACACACTGGTGCTCGCCGTTGGACTTGTAACGGTTAGATTATAAATAAATAAATATGTTGGCACATTAACACACAGCACCATCTAGTCCCATTGTAAGCTACGAGGCTTGTGTTATGGACACCAGGTATTTGAGATATTACGCATATATAACTTAAAATACATACATATTATAAATATAAACATTAGACACCCATGCCTGGAGTACAAACATTCATGCTCATCACACAAATGAATGGCCTCAGCAGGACTCGAACCCGTGACCGCTGGCACAGCAAGTAGGGTCACTACAATCTGAGCCAAACTTGTCGTCAATCAGAGATTCGTATATAGTGATCAGATTAGAGTATAATTAAAAAAAAATTAAGAAAAGAGTAGATAGGTCAATATATAGGATACTTTTTAACTGTGGAAAAATATCTCATATCTTAGAAATATATACCAGGGGGTCTCATAACTAACAAAGAAAAATTAATTCCAATAAATATCAATAGATGGCGTTACATGTATCGATTTGCTTTTGACCCAAAAAGGTGTATTATTGTTTTAAAACATATTCTAAGTGAAGGGAATCGAAATAATGCGCTCGTAAATCAAATTTGCGTAATTTTACAATATCTACCATACGTTACACATATCCATACATATAATAAAATTCTAACTAAGTCGAATCTGTACATTAAATATTTTTTGGAGAATCTTATTGTAATGGACATTATTATCGACACAGAGGCCGAATCTATAGTTTTTAGAATTTTTGTTTGTCTGTCTGTCTGCTACTGCATCACTGCGGGAAAATATCTCGTTTCTGAGAAAAAATACAAAAACTGTAATATAAGAGTATACTATATGTATGTAAAACCTAAGAATTTGGTTTTTGGTCATCTGAACGCGTGCAAAGCCGCGGTGTATGTAGTGTATTATAAAATAAAACAGTTTAACTATTTGCGAATCAACAACATCTATTATATATTCAAGCAAACAATATAAACTTTTTATTTTCGAATATCTGATTAAGTATCTGTTCTAAATGAAAACCTCCGTTTAGTTATTTTTTACTCTTTAGTGCATGGAACTTGGTTGTTATTATTTTTTTAAGTTTTTATTTTCCTATTTTTAGTGTGGACGTAATATGTAAGAAGAAAGTATTTTAATAACATATTCGATTAAGCTATAAATAATTTTTTGTTTATTTTTTTTTAAAACCGCTCGACCGATTTCGATAAAATTAAATGGGACCTGGGAAGTGTAGCCATTGAAACAAAAAAAAAATTTTATAATCGACGAACATACACAAAAAAAATACATACAGACAAACATAGAACCGCCTCTTTTTTGGAAATCGGTTAAAAATAGCCCAAATTAAAGCTGTCCAATTTCTTTGTGTAGAATGAGGCATCTGTACTAGTATAGTATTATATGATCTGTATCTATACTAAACGTTAAAACGTAACTAGGGACAAACCCGAGCAGAGCAAGGGTGAGTCGCTAGTCTTATAGTAAAATTAGAGTAAGTTATTAATCACTAACTTTAGCGATTATAGCATACATACAAACATCTTGAGATTAAAGACATGATAAAGACTCCTACCTCTTCGTGCCTCATCATGTGTGCCTGATAAGTATCTTTGAACAAAAATCCTAACGCACAATTATAGCATTTGAATTCAGCTTCTATATATTTCTTTTCTTTTCTGTTAGCTTCCAATTCCGCTTTCTGTTCTTCTATACTTAATATCGTCTTCTTGAAGCCTTTCTTCTTAGATTTCTTCTTTTTTGATACTTTTTTATTTTTAGGTTTTTTATCATTAATTCCATTTAAGTCCTCTAATACTATGTTTTTATCATTATCTTCTTTTGCTTCATTATCATTATTACCATTTTCAACATTAAATAAGTTATGTTCTGATTCATTATTTTCATTTTTAATGATTTTTTCTAAATCTGTATTCACATTAGCATTTTCATTTAATGTAATTTCATTTTTATTATCTTCTTCATTAGATTCTATGTCTGTATCATTATCATTAGCTACATCTGTATTTACATCAATATTTTCTGTTACATAAATATCATTATTTTCATCAATTTTCCTATTATAATGATAATTATTTTCTTCTTTCACTTCATTATTTTCAACATTTTGATACTGACACTGATTAAAATATTCATGAAAGACATTTTCATGTTCTAATTTTACATATTCATTATCATTATTATAATTTGTATCGTTGAAGTCATTGTTGTAACTAAATTGATAAAATTTGCTTCGTTGATATTGGTTGCAATCTTCAGGGCACAGAACATGTATTTCTAAATCGCTCTTTTGCAAATTCAAGGTGCCTTTTTCTCTGAAAAGAAATAAACATATATGTTTTTAGAATATTTGCAGTTTTTTTTTGGTAATAATAATATGTTAGGACATTAACTCACAGCACCATCTAGTTCCATGTAAACTATGAGGCTTGTTATGGGTACTAGATAGTTAATACACTATAGATATATAACTTTAAATATAATCTAAACACCCATGACTGGAGTACAAACGTTTGTGCTCATCACACAATTGAATACCCCCAGTGAGACTCAGACCGCTGGCACACTAAGTAGGGTCACTACAAACAGAGCCAAATATGTTGTTAACAAGGTAACCAAGTATATTAATAATATTTTACTAGACACCACCCCTATTTAAATACACACTTTATGGGGAAGCAACAAAACTCTTAATACAATAAATTATAATGGTTTTATTATACAGTCAAAGAAAGTTTAGATATGGATGTGCATAAATAGTCACTCGTATTATAGAAAATAAAAGTATAATTGAAATTACCGAAATAGAACCGGATACTCCAAGCTCCGTTTTAAGCAGATAGATCTGAACAATGACAATTTGTTGAGCACATGACAGCAGATATAGCACAGTTGAGAGTCCGGACATAACTGAAAAAACGGATTAGAAGTTTTAATAATTTTAATTTATTATATTATAATATTTATTATGTGCTCTGTAAATAACATCTTTTTATATTACTAGGAAAGGTAAGATTATTATACAACTTATATTTTTCAATTAGTTTTTTATTTTATGTACATGCATGTGGTAATAACGAGTTATGTTGTTAGTTTATTTGGCTGGCAAAGAATTTCATGACATTCATATCAAATATACAGCAGATCATTCAACTAAGACCAGAAAAAAATATCTTATTTTCTATATAAATAAATTTAGTCTCTTGGTACATAAATAAAGTTTCCCTCATCATTTCCTTATTCCTTCATCATTCTTAGCATAAATGCAAATTATATACTTTAATTACTAGCAGAACCCGCTGCTTCGCTCGCACTAAAACTACAAATAATCTCTATAAATGTAGTTTCATACAAACTTTGGTCCCCTATTTTACAATGGATGATTTCCCCCTTATAGGATGAATTTCGATAAATGCTAAAACACGTATTTATTTAATTTTATTGAAGAGCATTAATACGGAATTTCAAGTAATTCTGATCATAAACTTTTTTTTGGAGTGTATTATAACTTTTCTTCCCGTGGGAATTAGATAACTTCCCGCGGTAAAAAGTAGCCTATGTCACTCTCCAACCCTCCAATTATCTCCACACAAAAAATCATGCCAATCCGTCACTCCGTTTCGACGTGAAAGAAGGACAAACAAACAAACACACTTTCACATTTATAATACTAGTATGGATTTTGAGTCTATTAGCTAACATGCAGTTAATTATCTAAATAGCCCTGTAGTATAGGGTATCAGGTTCGAGTAACAGGAACAGATGATGATGGCATAATGAAAGTCAGAACATCACATTACAATGTAAGGCCCAAGAACAGAATCTATTAGTTGTTATAGATATTCTTTAAGCAGCTATCTATCAAAAAAATACAGTTTCCTATCTTATAAACTAATAAATATTAATAAATAATGATAAAAAACGTACATACATTTATTCCAACAACTTCACGATATTTGTCTCGAGTCTCTTCATTGGTTTCTTTATTAACAGTGCTATGGCATATAAAGCACAAAAAAGAAGACATTTTATTTCATTTAATAACTCCCTAATATCTTTAATAAATCAATATTTTCGATAAAAATATTGTTTATTTACATTTTAATATTTTATTTTATAACACAGATTAAAAAATATTTACAGATAAAATATAATAATTGTTTTCGAATTTACTTAATTTTACGAAAAAAAATATTAATTATATTCTCATTTAAAGCATATTCATTTGAAATGTGTATTTAATGTAAAATTTAAATTTTATTTTAAGTATACGTAAAAAAATATTAATATTACATTGTTTATGGCACAGCAAAATTGTCTATAGCATCAACATTAGTGATGCCTGATATATAATATCGATTTATAATTATTTTAAATTAAATATCAAAAATTGTTAAATATGTTGTGTGTAAAGAGTGTAAACGTATGAACTTATTATCATATACTCGTCCTTATCCCACGCTCTATGGAGTTAATAGAACATGTTTCCGTCTATCACTTGTTATCTCAGCATGTATACCCTTTTCCCTTATTCCTTACTTTCTTTTATTTAAAATCAGATATGCCTACATAATATATATTGCTAGTAAATTAATTCTCAGCTTAGTTATTACACTAATTCTTTTCAATATTTGTGTATCTGCTACATTATTTTACCTGTTTATCTTTCACATTTTTAATATTTATGATGAGCTTAAATGGTTTACAAATATGAAACAATTTTTTAAGGTTTTTATTCGTATTCTTCTCAGCAAACCCTTTCACTTGATATTCATATCATGGGGGTGCATAGAAAACATAGTCTATGTTGAATTTAGAATGACGTCATTTATCTAACAATGCATTATCATCTAAACTAAACGTGTATGTAAAATTTCAGCTCAATCAGTTGTGCATAATCGCTTTCAAATTCAGTTGCAAGATTTGACCTAAACAAACATATATACTATTCTTTATGACACTTATATGTAAAATATAGAGATTAACAAACAATAAACTTAGTTAGCAAAAGTGGACTTATGTCTAGAAGAGATCTCTTCCAGTCAACCTCAGTGAGTTGGAGAGATAGTATTAAAAAGCAGGCTAAAGTACAGTTACTGAAATATAAATACTTAAATAAATATATATTATATATGCAAATAAGAAAAACAAACATACAAACTTTCTAAGTTAAATAAAAGCTTGTAAAAATAGCTTATAGTACAAGGTGGCTTATTTCTTTCAATGTAGCTTTTTATTATTGAAAGAAATTTATTTATTTATTTACTAAGAAGATCATATTAGCGTATTATAACATAAACAGTTTAAATGTTAATAACTGCATTAGCTAAATATCTGAGTCGCAGTTATTAACGCCCACCTCTCGAGCAACAGGATACAATTGCTTATGCTAAATTATCGTATCAATTCTAATAAAACAAAAAAGAATAGATTTTCAAATATCAGAAATATATAAAACAAAATATTCGACAAAAAAAGTTATGATTTACAAAATAAATAATTAATCATATTATATAGAATTTGTTGATAATTGCAGTATGTATTTGTAAGTTAAATGTGTGTGCATGTATGAGTTTAGTTGTGTGTGTGTATGTATATATGTATGTATGTGTGATGATGATGTTCTCCTAGCCGATTCCGGCCACGGCGGCCAATCTCAATGAGATTAGCCAACTGCGCAGGAGATATTATAGTGCTCAAGTGTACGCGCAGACACAAGTGCACTCTCTATTCCTATCACTCTCATTCTCCGGTGGGACGACCACTCGACACGACCGGTGAGAGTTAAGGCGCAGGACCAACGGCTTTACGTGCTCTCCGAGGCACGGGGGTAAAACACCACCAACTTCCCAACTCCGGGCTGTTACTGAGACTTATTATACAGGAAGACTCAATAACTAAACTTGGCCCGACCCGGGACTCGAACCCAGGACCTCTGAGTGTGCAGCCGTACATGCTAGCCACTACACCATCGAGGCAGTTATATGTATGTGTATTAGGAGCATGTGTGGGTATTGTGCGATAATACGAGTTTTATTTTTCTCAAAATTAAGAGAGTTAGTAAATTTTTCAGTCAACAATATCTGTAATTTAATAATAATATTAGAAAACCCTTACTAAACCCTTTGATCTTCTTCAAAGTAGAGAAAAAATAATGTTAGAAATATTTGAAATTTCATTAGGTGAATATGTTTATTTAGCTTCTTATTCTGAAATATATGTTGACTGTATGATATTAGTTTATTATAAACATCAGTAAAGTGAGAATTTAAGCGAAATAAGGCCGGTAGAAAATGAAATAATATAGATATCTAATCTAATCTGACATCGACATCGATTATCGACATAAAATATCAATATGGTCACAACTCACAACTCGTCACGCATTCACGCATGTCGCACGTCAGAAAGATAATTTTTGTCTTGAAGCAAAAAATTATTTAAACATTTTATTCCGACTGAAGTGCCGAATTGAGGACAATAAATTATAATATATCTGTGTTTTCGTGCCTACCGTTAAATATTAAATAAACTGTACAGTGTTAATTTAAATCAACACAACATAGTTGTTTGTCCTGTGCGAATATTTATGCGAAATTTCGAAATTTGACCTTTTTTTTTGTGTTTCAATGGATTTGGCAATGTACGACGCCGGTAGTTCAAAAATGTTTCGAAAACAGCTTATTTGATGACCGATACCTTACAAAACAACGGCTGTGTTGCTGGTATGTATTACTAAACATTGTTGTGCCTTATTTATTATCTTTATTTAATAATATTTATGCTAAAAAAATCGATTATGAATATATGTATTTACGAGGCTATTGCTATAGTTACTTTGTTGTAGTTTTTAATCCAATTACCTGACATATTATTAGGTCATTAAGGAGAGACCAAGTGTTATAGTTTTACTTGTAACAAGATTCTAATAAGAAAAGCTTATATTTAGTTGAAAATAGTTGCTGCGAAAATGACCGAGTTCGATTACTTTTAAAATATAAAATACATAATTTAAAGCTCATAACCTATTTGACAATTTATGTCACCCAAAACATACTTTATAAATTGTAAGACTTGATTTGATTTAGGTATACCAACATACTTTTTATATACAATGTTTAAGTAATAAAGTTATCAATAAATTGATAATTTAAATATGTATACATAAACACTGTAAAATGCATATACTGTGACTTGTTAGCTAGATGTCTCATTTAGATGTAGGTATTATCAAGACAGTACCTACATGGAAACAAAGTTCTCCCCGTCTTTGCAGAACTGTTGTCAAATTTTCTATTATATCCTGGAAGTTTAGTTCATAGGTTTACTAGTTTCCCAGTTATTCAGGACAAACAAACATAAAATAACAATTATTTTTTTTATAATATTAATTTTAAAGTAATTTGAACATAGTTATACCACCTTTAGTGTTGGATGTGTTGGTCACTCTTGAGACAAAAACTTATCATAAAATAATAAAAATTGATATACATGGAAAAAAGAAAAAGATATCATGAATTGAGGATCTTCTTGTCTTTGAAGTTGATCAAATATTGTTAGTAAAATCAAAACCTTGCATTTATATAATTTATTTTTTAACTTTTGAACACATACTCCTACCAAACTTTTTATAAAGAATTTCTTTAGGAACCTCTATCATACTATTACAATATTTGACTATACAACAGGAACTATTCTAGAATTAAATAGAATAATAAGCACCTTGTAGCAGACTCAGGTTCATATACTTTTTAAGCAAAAACTACCACCATCATTATCTCACTGCCCTTGTATGTCTTTCTTTCTCTTCCATTCTCTCCTATTGCTTGTCATCTCACCATTCACACCTTTCTCTTCCGTGTCCTGTTTCACACAATATAGTCATCTTTTGGTCTCCCTCTACTTCTCTATCCTTCTACATTTATTTCCATCACTCTTCTCGTCACATGCATTTTATCCCTCCTCTTCACATATCCATACCAACTCAGACAATTTTCTTTCAACTTCTCTGTCACTGCCTCAGCACAAGCTTCCTCTCAAGCAAAAAATACCAATGGGACATAAAAGATTCTTTTTTATGTTAATTAAAAAATTACATGAATCCATTGGTCCAGGAAGTGAGGAGATAATAATAGGATCAAATCAACAAACACGCTTACATCTTTATTACATTACTAGCAACTCACCTTTGATTTGCTCAGGTTAGTCCCTAGGTAGATTACCCATACAAACTTCCATCCCCATTTTCACTCCTTTAAAGAATGATTTTTGGGATAAAACTATCCTATGTCCTTCCCAGTGTCTCAAACTATCTTCTATCCAAATTTCATCTAAATCGGTTCTGTAGTTTCAGAGATTACTTCCTGCAAACAAACTCACTAACTTTACCTCTTTATAATATTATCTTATACATATTATGTATATTAAAAATTTGTATAAAAATCACATAAAGGCATATAATTTAATTTATTTCTGTATGTATAAAGGTTCTTATATCTAATTTGCATAGAATAAAGATATTTGAATATTTAATACATTGTTACGATTCAGAATTTAAATTTAGTTGTTATTATGTTTACATTTCAATGATGCATTAGGATGTACAATTTAGTCACAGAAAAAACACAGTCAACAGAATAATGGCATATGTACTAAAAAAATTGTTTATACTTCTGATTGTTATTTGAAACTTGAAAGATAATGTTATAGTCATCCATACTAATATTATAAATATGAGAGTATTGAGGATGGATGGCTGTTTGTTACACTCTCACTCTAAAACCGCTGAACTAATTGATGAAATTTGGCACAATGGCAATAATCTGGAATAACACATTACTTTTTATATCAGAAAATTTATGGTTCCTGTGGGATAAATTTGTTTTTGTCTCAGGAATCTAAGGCGAAACGAAGGTGGTGAGTCGCTAGTTAATATTAAATTTAATCTCATCCTGACCAATCTTAGGTTATCATGATAGCCAATCTCACTGAGAATTGCCAACAGCGCAGAAGATATTATAGTAGTGT